CCATTCCTTCGTCGGCTGAAACTTGGAAAATCGTTAAAAAGAAGGTGTGTCAATTTTTTTTCGCTTAAGCTCCGTATTTTGTAAAGCATCTTTTTGCAAAACAAGAACTGATTACGATTGCAAGACTTCATGTATAAGACTTTGCGACTGGTAAGAATTTCTCTTTTAATCAGGACCGTAAGAAAGAGTTTGCGTTTTTTCTGAGGAGAGTTATTTTATAAAAGGAATAGAAAACTTTTTTCCTGTGTTTCCATAGTCTGCTACACAGCCGTTTTTAGTGTCGTCACGCAACGTTCCTCCCCACTAACGGCTGCTGAAAACCGAACTACATTCCTTTCCCGTGATTAGCCAATTATAATTCGGCTCCCATTTTCTGGAAAGTGTTCGCGCCACCTTTGCGGTACTGTGACTCCTCCAATCACAGCTTTGCTTTTATCGTTGCCCCATGTGTGAATGACAGAACAATGAAAATCGTCGTGTGAAAACAAGCAATTAACTACAGTTTTGTCGTGGTCGAGTCCTATTCAAAATTTAGGAGATAAGCAGCAACAGCAAGAAAGTCGAGCAAATTGCGATTCACAACATGGATGTGCTCATAAAGTTGCCAGGTACAGTTTCGGGAAATCGCTCATCGATAATTCACAAGATTGCTTTTTGACTCAGTACCCTTGAGAGTTTATTCTTCACAGAACACAATGAGCACATCCGGTACATTAAATTCTTCACTACATATCAGCACATACCGTATTTATTCGAATAACCGCCCTGGGCGCTTATTAAATTTTTGGACCTTGAGAGTGGGCTCTTATTCGAGGTGGGCGCTTATTCGAGGCTGGGCGCTTATTAAATTTTCACCATTTTCAGCAAGTGAAGTATGTTTATTTTGTAACAAAACAATAAATGCTAATAACAAAACGCGAAGAAGTAACAAAGCAAGGTTTCTGTAAAATACTCTGAAGAAGACTCCGTCCTCGGGGAAGTCTCTTATTAGAATTTATTCACTCAAGTGGGTGGGGTCGGGTGAGCGCTTATTTGAGTTTGATTGGGAGGAGTAGAAGGTGGGCGCTTATTCGAGGGTGGGCGCTTATTAACTTTTTCTGCCTTTAGGATGGGCGCTTATTCGAGGTGGGCGCTAATTCGAGGCTGGGCGCTTATTCGAATAAATACGGTATGCACGTTAAATGAAGAACCAACCGATCCTGGTAAAAGTTTTCTAGGCCTATCAAACCTTCTTTTCACTTGGAACTTTCTTGACCGCTTAATACAAACTTTTTGCAAATAAACCTTTTCGTTGCTTGAAAACACAGAGCCCGTCTAAATTCAGCGACGATTGATTGATTTGTCGAAAACTGAGAAGCGTGCTCGCTGCCTAGCGCCCTGCGGCTCACGTATTGTCAAATTTCTTGTACATGATTGGTTTGTTCGTTAGACCACAAACACAAAGGGAAAGGAATGTAGTTCGGTTTTCAGCAGCCGTTAGTGGGGAGGAGCGTTGCGTGACGACACTAAAAACGGCTGTGTAGCAGACTAGTGTTTCCATAGCCTGATATAAACACTCAAGGGATTAGGAGAATTCTCGACAGTTATGCAAATCGTTTAGGGGATCATATGCACTTCCTCCTCCATCGCAGCCGACGCCACCGTTTTCTTTTGTGCATAAATTAATTCATCCACCTGCTACGCAGGCTAATTAAGAGATAGTGCCTAAAATAAATCCCAGGGATTTCCGTTGACGGGCTGTATTTAAACATCATCTCGGTGATGGATATTGTTCCACGAACTTTGAACGTAAACATTATTCAATAGGGTTCACTTTATCATCTTCGCCAGACATCAGCATCTTTCATTAATACTCACTCGGGACCGACACCAGGTTTTTTATCAGTAAAACCCAATCGAAAATTGAGTTAGACGATACCAACGAGGTCTACTTTCCCCGCTCTTTTTGAACAATTTTAACGTGGGTTATATTACGTTTTCCTGGCATTAAAAACGGAGATGAATTATCACTTACAGGCCTTAGCTGGCGTTCTGGCTCGCTCCAACCGGTGCAAAACTTCCGCTTAGCAGAAGGGCAATAAACCAACTGAGCTAACCGGGAGATAAAAACCAAGCCAGGAATATGACTTGAGTCAAGGAAGAATAATATTTGTTTAATATTTCTCACAACTTATTTGCTGTCACAAAATAGCTGTCAAAAATTAATGCAAATGGTAGAGGAAATATCTCCTCAATAAAATGTTTCTGTGAGAGGGATTGTTATTATATAGTTTAACTTATTCCGAAAGCGAAGATCCTGATCCTTTTTCTACTGGATAAATGAGTGAGTTTGTGGCTCAGTTTCGTCGGAACTCGAATGTCTAGATTTCTAATTGCCCTTACATGTCCTTATATCTGAGTCTGAAGGATTTAAACAGTCCTTAGTTTATATCTTATAGACTATATGCGGCTGAGCTCCAAAGGCGGAACTTGCTTAAGATTAAGTTTCGCAGAACTGTAAGTAATAACAGAAACTTGCCGTTACCACAGAAGGAAAAAAATGAAAGAAAGAAAAGTAAATTCATTTCTGTTTCAGTTCGTACTTACATGACACATAAAACATGGGGTTAATAAACTATATCAGTTTTAAGAGGCTGTCTCAGTAAAAACCGCCCACTCAATTTCGCGTGAAAAATAATTTTGCCTGAAACTCTGGCGAGTGAAAGGCTTTATCGAGACTATAACTAAAATAGGTTTGCTCTGATTCACAATAATTTTCTGGCCGCGCTGGGAGGCGTCGAGTATTTTGTCCCGCCAAGGCCATTTTGCACGTCTTGAAAACTGAAAATTTGGCATTTTTTGCGGCGCTGTAAAATGTTTGATTTGCACCATCTGCCAATGAATTTTATACCTATTTATAGGTAAAAATCTCTAGTTTTTCCCAAAAGTAATAGTTATCCGCTAAATTTAGCTGGAAAGACGAAATCGAGCAAAATATGACCCCAACTAATTGCCTTAGAGCGAAAGGCCAAAAATGACCCTGTTTTAAAAGCTTATTTCTGACGTTTGGGACATAGTTGAAAGCTCTAGACTGAATAGACGCAAAGATAGACCATCTGTTATTAGTAATATACAAAACCCCATGTACGATTTCAGTATTTTAAAAGTTATGACCGTTTGTATCAACGCGTATGCGAGCTAATACGATATTTTCAGATTTAGCGTAACGGATCTATCTCAAGCAGATTTTGTCAAAAGTACGGCTTACCTATTTCATTACTGGCACTGACTCACAAATTGAGCCATCTTCCAATCGCTGAGATGCCGGAATCCATAAAATTCCAGTAAATGTGCTTTAGAAACTGCTGGTATGCAACCATTTTTGAATCCCATGCTAACAATCCAAAGCTCAAAACAAGTGAAATTGTGTCACGTTTCGAGCTAAATAGCTCGGTAAAACAACCGTTCAGAGGTGAAAGTTTGCTCGAGAATCAGAAAATCAACTAGGCAGGTCTCATTTTGGATTAGAAAATTGAGATTTCAGAGCTACAACCTCGAATAAACCTTCTAATCAACCGGCTCTGCAAAGTCAAATGCAGGTTGAAACGTACACCGGAAATGTTGAAACCCGGAAATACAAAAAAACCGGAAATGCGGAAATCCGGATCATCCGGAAATCCGCAAATCTGAAATCAATCAGAAGCCGAAGGCAATTCCAACAATTAGAGACAGCTGCATTCGTTTAGGCTTCTTTTCGACGTTGAGACACGTAAAAGATAAAACCTTCCAAACCGGCGTAGCTGTGTGAATTTTTTCTGAACTGAAACGCAGTTCCACGATCGATTGCGTTTGGCAAATAGGCTCCATAAGAAACAGTAAATATCATTAACCGGTAACAAACATTCTATGTGCGCTAACATATCACACTTGTGACTAATACTTAACAGAAGTTGACTATACATCGAAACTGAATGTGTCGAGGTCTAGTAAACCGAGCCAGTATAGAGCACCTTTATCTGGCCGATTCATTGCTTGCAAGAGTTGGTTCATAGAAGCACTTATCTATTTACGACTTTGTCCTCAGAAATTTTGTTTTCTTCTAATTCGATCCAGTAACTGTCTGATATATTACACAATGTTTCAAGCGCATCGGTTGCCTAGTTTTTGTTTACTTCATGTAGCATGCATGTTTTCGACTGAGGAAGAGCCAGCAAATAAACTTTATTACCTTTGTTGGTTTTTAGATACGGCTCCAAGGTTATCCCTGTAGACCAGTTTATTTCGTTTATTTTGCCGGTTCATCGCTCGAGAATTGGTACATAAAAGTAATCTTATTGATGACTCTGTCCATTCAGAATTTCACCTAAAATGTTTGTGTAATATTATTACCATTTTATCGCATTTTTCTCGGTTCTCAGAGACTGTTCATTTCGTTATTGGATTGCGTTCGGAAAGTGCTGATTTTAGCCATTTTTGACAGAGAAAAACCACCTGTTTCTCCATCACCGACAATAATTTTGCACCCCCTCTATAAAATAAACGAAAACCACCGGGTATTGCATAGAATTCAAGTTTGTTTTGAGTACCGAACAAAAGTCATTGAAAGTTTATGGCAACAACATGCAAGTTAGCAGACTCTACTGATGTATCAGTTAACCTGCATAAGGAGAGACTTGGGTTCAGTCTGACCTCATACTCTCAGCTACACTGCATACCTGGTGGATCAGTAGTGTTAGTACTTATAGTTAGCCTAGATGGCCAATTTTGATTTCTCTGTTTCACGGTTTCCGCATGTATGGGACGATATATTTTATGTAATAAGTGAATTAAGGGAGTTATTAACTGGAAATAGCTCTGAAAATTGTACTAGCATCAAACGTATTAGAGCCTGCAGCTGCTTGGATCTTTCTCTAAAAATACATCAATATCGGGGACATAAAAAAAACTGTCTCATATTTCGTTTTTAAGTTGTTCTTGAATGGCAGTTTCAACTCTTTCTTAGTAAGCTTAAATCCAGGCTTTTGACATTGACTTTGGTGCGATCAAATAAATTCAAGAATGGTCTGCAATCGGATACATTTCCTGGGCGTACTTCTTTATCTAAGTTGTCCCCGGGGTATTATTCCGGCTACATAACTGATAGGACCATATAGTTATCCCTATTATATTATGCCCGTTGGGTATGTATAATATATAACAATTATTCACTGAAGTGGAGGTGGCTAGTCGTGATTATTTACCGAACTGCGAAGCAGTGCGGTAAAATATCCACGACTAGCCACCGACACTGAGGTGAATAATTCTTTTAGTATATACTAAAACAATGAGATAATTGAGCACAAAAATGATGACTTTTAACTCAAATACTGTTGCCAACGATTAAAATTTTGGCGCGAAATGACCGGGCCGCCGCGGCCGTCGCTTTTTAATGCCGACAATTAAAACTTTTGAAGGCATTTGTTTAGCTCCTGCGGGGAAATTTCTTCAAAAGGAGTTGTGAATTCTTTTTGTATTTAAAATCATTCTATAAAAAAAGGTTATTAAATTTAGTTTTAAGCTTATTTATGAACAACTCAACTAAATAAGGTAACGCAAGACTTAAACTTAATTTGCATTTGTAAACAAAAAACTTTTTCACCGGTTTTATCGATAAATTTGTGTCAAAAAGACAAACCTTTTCCTGTTAAAACTTCCAATCCGACCTTCGTCACCTTCTTCGTGTATTTCGGAAACAGCTTGCTTGATTAGTTGTGAAATTTATTTGTTTGTTTACGGCAGCAAACCAGGAAGGCATTTTGCTCGCAACTTACGTGAGTTTGGCGTCGCTCGCTCGGAGGAACTGGAGGTGAATCAGTGAATAGTGCAGGATATTCACTGATTGAGTAGCCAATCAGAGCGCGCGACAAACACTATCCACTGTTTTAGTATATACTAAATAGATTTAGCCAGGGCTAAAAGCAAAGCTCTCTTTAATGTTTATAGATTCCTCAAAGAAAATATAAAATCGATGAATACGAAAGACAAGTTGAAAGCAACGAGAACGCTAAAAACAACAACAATAGATCTAATTAGCAAAAAAACAACTTTGCACGTGCAGCACACTTTTTTTTCTAATTAGCAAAAAAACATCCCTGCACGTGCAGCAGTTTTTTTTGTACATTTCGTTACCATAGTTTTACACGACAAACGTGAAACTTCTTTTAGCTTCCTATTTACGCGTTTTATGGAGGAAATGTTTGTGTTCCTGTTCACTCTATTTTTTCACTGCCGCTCCTTTTTCACATTAATAGCCGCTAGCATTCTTCATTTCCTTACCGCCGCTACATAATTTTCATGTTTTTCTTCCAACGACATTAGTCTCCGTTGTTATTTATTTCTCGGTCCTGACAAGTGTGACACTTGACATCGGCTTACATGAAGTGTGTGTATGGGTGGGCGGGGCGGGCAGGCGTACGCTACGTCATAACCAAATTTTCTCGGATGGATAGTTTACCAAATTTTCTAACCTATGGTGTTCCGCTGGCGCGCTTCGCGCGCGAGAGCTCCGCTATAAGCTGTGTAGCTATACCTCTTTTGGTCTGAAAATGGTGGAGAGAATTTATCCCCAGTTTTAACCTGAAATATAACAGAGTAAGGAAAGTCACATTTTTTGATGTGAAATAGGGTAAGGGATTTAGGAATTATATTACGGCGCACAACCCCACCGCAATTTTCCAGGGCCTCCTCCTCCCACCCCGACTCGCGGTTATGCATCGGTTCTCCATCACCAACGAAATTCATTGACATTTTTAAATGTCGATGAATATTATTCAATATCTTTATATGTCAATGGATATTATTTAATATTATTTTATTTTTTACAAGCTTCGATGATGGCTGACAAGACAACATTGATAGTTATCAGTTCCTTTATCATGTTCCCAGCTGTGATGATGGCACAGGAAGTTGTAAACCATGGAGGTAATGACTAATGACATCAGAACCAAAATTTTATTGCGCACCTGTTTGTAGGCATTATGTTTAAGCACCCTGTTGCTCTTTAATATACAGAAAGCTGTCAAAAAACCATTCTGAAGTAAAAAAAAAATGAAATAATTATTTTTACTCATAAAAAAAGGGCGATCAAGACTTAGGAGAGTGCGTTCGATATGTTTGTTGAGGCGGAAGGGTGGTTGCGATGTAGATAAACATGATTATGGCATATTTTGAACGTAAGGGTTGCGTACAGCGAAATCTCTATTTAAACTGTGTATTATTTTAAGAACGTTTTCAAAAGATATCGTATGGTTCGGTGTCAAGTGCTTTTAATCGGAGGAGACATTGGCCAGCGTCGGACTTGTAAATGGAACATTTTGTTTTACGGCGCGAGTTACAGGGCGCAGTTTCTCAAAGGCCGATTACTTCTTAACCCGAGATTCCTTTTCTTTCTTCAAAAATATTTCTTCGGATAATTTTCTCTGTTATGTTTAACAGCATCCAATCATCAACTTGTTGACAAAATGAATTACTTTGAATTTACTGGTTTAAAAGCTTTCACATCTGAATTCAAACTTCGCACTAACCCTATCAAAGCCTTCAATGGAACGTGTGTGCGGCTCACGTCAATAACTTTTCCAGTAATTTGGTCGAGCGTGTTGATTTCAGTGACTCGAGAGTGGCGCTACTGTGGGCTGATTTATAAGTTTTTCCTAATAAATAACATAGAGTTAAAGTGTTCGTTTGTCCGGTGCCGAAAATATCACAAGTCATGGTCAAATGGCGCCGCCGAGCTTCACATCTCGGTAGATTTACTTTGTGGCACAACGGCTGCCGAGCTATACAACTCGGTAAATTTACTTTGTGGCATAACGGCCGCCGAACTAAACCCGGTTTGATGCATGCACCAGTAGTCGCAGACATTTTCCAAAGACAGTGACGAACATGCTGAAAAATATGAAGGCTTAATCCAAAGTAAAATTTAACAGCAAACTCCTGAAAGATGAACGCTTTGGACGATTCAGCAATCACAGATCGATGTACGCTTTACGAAGATTGAGCAAACTTTTTAAAAGATGAAAGCTTTACGAAGAATATCAGACCTTAGCAAACCTTTGAAAGATGAACGCCGAGGACACAAGAATCACCACATGAGTTAGCGCGTCAAAGTGAGGAAAAACTTAAGCAAGCGCCTCAAAGCGAGGCAAATGTCTGAAAATGCAATCTCAAAAAAACCTCCCTTATTAATTGCACAGGTCACCCAATAATGCACAGAACATCCAACACAAATTAGGGGTTGCGTTCTCGTACCTCGAACGCAAGTACTGTTCATTTATTGTTTTGCTGTTTCGCAGTTTGTCCCGTTCCGATGAATAAAGAAGAAGAAGAGATAATTAAAGAGCAGGAAAGAAACAGAGAAGAAATGGAAGAGATCATGAGAGAGATTGAAATCAGTTGTTTAGGTGAGTGATTATAAACCATGGGATGAATAATTAAGTACAAGTAAAAATAACTTAAGGAGGGTTGGGGTCGTTTTTGTTATACAAAGAACAATGTAAATTATGAATTTCTGAACCCGTTCTCTTCATTGGAAGCGTTGTTGCTCATGGGACGAAAAAATCCCGCGCGGATACCTGGGGGGGGGGGGGGTACTCTGGATTTCAAGGGACAGATCCTCGAAGCTTTTGTTCCGACGCCTACTCTCCATTGTATATATAACGCTCCTCATTCAATCTCAATTCGATTATAGTGATATTGTCTGGGGTAATTGTGGAAAAACTTTGTTTGACCGGTTACAGAAGCTTTAGAACCGTGCTGCTCGTGTTCTAACCTTTTCTAGGTGTGATGCTTATGCCAACCGCTTATTTAAACAACTTAATTGGAAAGACTTGAGCACTCAGTTTCAAATACAAAAAGCCCTAATGGCTCACAAGTCTTTAAATGATCTTGTTCCCGGATATTTATCCTCTAAACTGTTAAACGATGTGAAACGCACTACTCCCTAAGGGACTCTGTTAACAAACTGAGTGGGAACTAGCTTCATGAAGAACAGCTTCAGTTATAGTACACAAGTTATATGAGAGGGCTAAATTTTTAACAATACTAATTAACTGCAGTGAAGCACACGTACCATCACTGCGTTATGGCCAATACCTTATGTATGCGCACAACCATATCACCCAAGTAGTGGCAGCCATGGACAGCTGGTTCGCCCTTATTGAGGCTCATCCGCCTGGCATAGCCGTTGGGTCAATTAGCGGGGGATTGCTGGCGTATCAAAGAACATTTACTGCTGAGGCGTGTGCAAGCACAGCATGAAAATGGAGATTTACGCAAAATTAAAGTTTGCGTAAACCTCCGTAAAGTTGGTCATCCAACTTTACGCAAACTTTCCACGGCGCGTAAAGGTTTGTAAAGGTAAATTTACGCGCTCGGCTCTTAAAGGTTTCGCGAAGCTAGCATAAAGTTGTTGTAACAGCTTTACGCTAATTTACGCAACAAGTAAAGGTTTAGTAAGGTTGTCATATAATGCTAGCTTCCTAACAGCAATTTATTCCCGGCACTGTTTTTAGTAAGTCGTTTGTGTCCTGATACTAGTTCGCATAGTTTTTTTGATCACTCATTTGGTGTTCGATGTTGGTGTGCGATGTAAACAAGCCAACCACGCAAATTTTTTTTGGCGGTGCGAACGACTTCGTACACGCTTAAAAATGACGCTGAAAAGAAAATTCTGCTGGCAGAGTTCATGCAAAGATATAGCTTGCGATTGTGCGGCAATTTTCGAAAAACGGCATATCTGTCGCGGCAAACACAATAGCCTTCAATACTCAGTAGTATTCCCTCATTGATTTCAGTCAGTATAAGGTGTTTCTTCCTTAACGGTCACCTCTCTACACGGGCCATTTTTGTTTTGTTTTTTTTTTTCGGCGGACGGTCCATACATGACATACATTTACTCTTCTTTCAACCTCTCTACTATGGCCACTTTCTTCAATGTCCCTAAGGTGGCCGTTGTAGAGAGTTTCAACTGTAATTTGATCAAATTGAAATAATTGGAAAATAAAGAAAAAATATCGCCTCGCAAAAACGGCGAGTTTTACTTAAAGAAAGAACGCATTACTTAAAGAGAAAGAACGCACTCACAAATTACTGTGACCATTTTACAATCAACGGAGTACTGGCTTCATTGTTGAACCTCCTTTATCGTTTCCTTATTTTTAGTCCGAGGACTTCAGGTTTGGGAACGGACAATTTGTTAAAAGAAAGGGGCCTGGAAACAATACAGTGAAGGGACACCTGGTCAGCGGGCTTGTTCCTTTGCACATGCTCAGTCAGGTTCGCTGATTTGGCGTCCATTTTGAAAGTGTCCAACGGTTTCAAACTTGCTTCTTTGAAAGGTTGGAGATCGTTCATATATTATGCTTCTTGATAGCATCACAGGACATCTTAAGGTTGTTACAATTTATAATGGCACTATCAGCCTTTAGTAATCGATCACTTCTCAAGTGTGCAGCAACCCTTTCGGGACGAGATACTCAGTCAGAAATGGAGACAGAAACATCGTGTGAAGCGTAAGCATTTACACTGGAATGTTCACAACACAGACCAAGACTGTATTACACGTATTACTAAGGCTCTTCGATACTCAAGATCTCGCTGAAAAGAGCAGATAGTAAGGTAAGGTAAGTTGTCCTGGCTCGCCTTTTCTCTAACTTTTTAAGCTTAATTCCAACTTGTTTATGACGAGTTCGAATGACTGTCTGAAGTACCCCGGCATAGTAAATCGAACCCAATCGAACTAAATTTCAATCGAACTCAATCAAACTCAATCGAACTCAATCGGTGGATTGAGTTCGATTGAGTTCGGCAATCGAACGAAATCGAACTCACCGAAAAGAAAAAGAATCAATCGAACCCAATCGAACGTTTGATTTTCGAACTCGTGATTTATGTAAAACAGACGTTGAAAATCCATTACCAGATCTTAGAAGCTCGAGTTACTTCAGCCCTGAGTGTAGCGCACGTGTTTTTCATAAACGAAGAAATTCCGCAGAAATGGCTTCAGATGCGTTGTGGATCGTAAGCTTCAAATGTATAGTCAAAGGCTACCAGGAATGCCGCTTTCAAGGATGGCGAAGTTTTCAGGGTTTGTTCTGTTCTCTTCTCTTAACTACCGTGGACAGTTTATAAATGGGGTTTGTGATATTGAATAAATAGTAAAAAAAGCGCAAGAAAAACTTGCTTTGACGGGCTTGCTTTGGGCTTGCTTTGTATAGGTTCACCAGAGCCAATCGAACGAAATCCATTTAATTGTGTTCGATTGAGTTCCGTTTCCGAACTCAATCGAACACAATCAGACGGATTGAGTTCGATTGAGTTCGATTTGTTCGATTGAATTCGATTTGTTCGGAAATCGAACTCACTGAAAGTGTGGTGTTCGATTTCGTTCGATTGAGTTCGATTTTCGAACGTTCGATTTACTATGCCGGGGAAGTACCCAGTAACTAACATTTCAGTGAGCAATGAAACCAGCATTAACCGTTTAAAGTAAATTATAACTATACATGTGTATTTAGTTGGCATAACCTTTCAATACTAAGCAAGCAACGAGACCATGACGTTGAAGATGATAATGTAAAATCATGTAAGGACTTTGGGGGTCTGAAGGAGTAGAATTTCCTTGTTTTGTACTGGAAAATAGGAGTTTGGTCACTGGTACTGGGAATTACTAAAAGAAAATAATGGAATTAAGAAAGGACATCTGTATAAAGTAAGCTTACATGTAATGTGATACAAACATTCTTATGAAAATTTTCACAGACTATAGAAGAACTAATAAACAGAATAGAAAAGTGTTAACAAGTGTTGAATTTGCAAGTAGGCAAAGATAATCTACGTAGTCTGGTTCTATATTTTCATGCGTCAGTCAATAACAAACCCCAGCTTCCCAATTCCCCTGGCAGTCATAGCGTCATAAGTGGTGAATAATTTAACAGCATGCATGTATTTTTTGAAGTAGGTACAAAAGTTTATTTTTGATTTTAAATTACGTGGGTTTTAACTTAAATGAACAGAGAATGAATAGACATTTTCATGAGTCTTTCAATGCATAGCTAATGCAGACCATGATTGAATTAGAATGTATTTTCATGTAAGTGCCAACATAGTTGTTAACATCTTCACAGTTTCATACCTTCATCTGCAGTTCAAAGTATGATTCATTTCATATATGACCATTAATTTTAATCTTCATTGTGCACTGCTCCTATGAAATTATATTGTGGTTCTTGAGAGGATACAGTGCAGCACATACTGTCAGGAAATTGAATGCCTTACTTTTTGGGAAGCAAAGCACACAGTCATGTTAGAAACCAGAAATTGTTCTATTTGCACCATAGTTGTATCGTCAGTAAATCTAGGTTTAAAGGAAAACAAAATTTAAAGAAACAAGTTGTGAAAGATAAGACTCTTAAGAGAGTCATAGCAGTCATAGCTGTTTTGGATTCTCTTGTCTACATACACCATTATTAATCTGCAAATACAACTGTCTCTCTTGTGAAATGTCCCTGGTGGCAAGGAAAGAAAATAGGCTGCTTTATTTACAGGGTACACTGTACATTATTATTAGGAGGCATTGTTTTCAAGATTGAGGATAAGGGCTTTAAATAGCAAAGTGGCTTCACTCCTGTTACATTAACTAGGAACCTTGAACGTTTAATTATTAAAAGGAAAAAAATATATTAGGTAAAGTTTCAGGAAAATTTGAAACTTTTGGGAATAAGGTGCTTATGTGTTTCTATATTTTCCCTGAAAGTCTTTGGTGGAGCTCATGAGAAGGCTAGGAATGTTTATTGATTTGGAACTTTCGTCCGGGACAGGTAGAAATTTAGTTCGAACATGTAACCCTTTGATATGACTTGTCCGTGGGACAAGCACATTTTTAATTAGAAAAATAAAGATAAGAAACAGTTGCCTTAAATATTCCATTTAACTTTGCCATTCCACTGCCAGTCGTTTCATTCATTTGCTTTTTACAAGCTCTGTTGTAGGTTTAATTCAAAAATAATATACAAGGGTAATAATGTGATTAAATAATGTGATTAAAAACATTAAATGCCCGTTGCAAGCTAAACTTTTTGGACAAGAACTCTAGGTTTCAGACAACCAAATTTAATGTATTGCTCGTGTGAAGGACAAGTGGATAGGAAAATTTCTCTCTTACCAGGGTGCAAAGAAGGTGATTTTTAAAGCTTGCCATTCGGGCAAGCTGAAGCTAGCATATACTAGCCCAAATGTCATTTCAACTAGCCCCAAACCGTTTTGATGAGCAGAATTGATTTCACAGTTCTTCTTTAATTTGAATTCCTCAAAAAAAACTTCACTTGCCCATCGGGCTAGTTAAGTTCAAAATTCACTGGCTCGATAGCAAAATCCACTAGCCCCGGCTATCAGACACTACTTTCTTTTTTGCTTACTCTCTAATAATAATAATAATGTACATCCAGTGGTTTTTCATAACACTTTACAGCGATATTAATGGATGATACTCTTATAAAAATGCATACATTAAAATAAAAAAAGATATACATTGTAAAACATTGAACTCTAATAATATAATAAACCATTGTTAATAAATTTAACATATACATATGCTTCAGTCTCCCCGACTAGTAAGGCACTGTGCCTGAGTTATAAGACATGAGACTTTAATAAAGTTCATTACTATTATTATTATTATTATTATTATTATAGGGTTTCCATGTAGCATTTTACCCTGATTTTCACTCAACTGCAAGTAGGGTTCTAAATGTAAATATTATTGCCTTTAAGGAAAGCCTTTAACTCATACTAGTCAAACATTTTGAATCTTTAACAGTCAGATGAATCTTATTCAGTTGCGTGAATTTGTGGACATTGAAATCATTTGCTACTCAGGTTTTGCACTGTTATTAGACCACTTGTGGAAAATGCCTTATCATTTTTTCAAATTTTTAGTCTTGGTTTGTGAAAAGAGGCATGTGGGGAACCCTGTGTCAAGTAAAATTGTGCTGATTGTAGTAATTTGGCCATGAGTGTAGGAAAAAATATTATTAATCAGTAATAGCAGGGGTGTCCTCTGGCAACTTAGGGGTGTTTACATGACACGGGGCAACTTTTGCCCGGAGCGAGTTCACTCTGGTTCCCTCTCATAGCTCCATATTTGTTTACATGATACCACCACAAAATGTCATGCAGGCGCGAGTCACCTCAGTGTGAGTTCACCCGGTTCTTGTGCCGGCGAGAATTTCACTCTGGTACAAAATCTCATGGCAGTATCATGTAAATGCGAAACGACCACCCGTTTCGGCATGAAATCGGTCTGCCGGTAGACTGGAATGGGTAGCGCACGCGTAATGTTTGCGATTTTGAATCAGTATTTTATCAACATGAAGTGTACCTTCAAATAATGAGATATGAAATGACTCATTCATAATGTAAACCCGATACAAAATCAAAAAGTCATCCCGGTATGAGACTCGCGCCGGTGTGAGTTTTCTCATGTAAACACCCCCTTACTGTACATGTACTTGTGCCTTTAGTGTATTATCACTGGCCTACAAATAATCTGTGTAGTTTACTCAAATAATACTTGCTTTCTATTTATTCAGCAGATCAGCCTGGTATGGGATGTTGGTGACAGAAAGTCCTCTCAAAGCAAACAGGATTAATACATGTTAATTACAAGCCTTAGTCTTGTAAAGTGGTTCCAGGGCTGTCACTAAGGGCCATAAACCAGACTTTAAATCGGCTACTTTGAGCCCAATACTTGGCTGTTTTGAGAGGAAACGAAACTTTCCACATTTTCATTGTCCCGCTCACTAATTTCACTTAAACCCTGCAACTTGTGTAATCTTAGTGACAGCCTTGTGCATCTAACTTTTACATCATCAGTTTATGAAAATGATTTGTTATTTGGATTTTGTTGTTAAATTTGACTGTAAACACTTCTGGGAGTGAAAGGGCTAAATCAAGAAACCATCAATGTTATACATGTATTAGGCTTTCAGTCTTTTTATTTCTTATCTAAAATTGTTTAAGCTTTTAATTTGAATTATGCTAAATTATACTAAATATTTTCATTTTGGAAGAGACCATTTTGACCCACCTTTACATTAATTTGTGTGTTAGAGTTGCTGTTTTTTATCAAAATTTAACTTCATCAGTTTTCTTGTACACCCTGTACCTTACATGTAAATGCTAATAATTATTTTAAACTATAAATCATCTTAATTTGGCATAATACTAAGTTAAGATGATTTTTTTGGATATTTTGAGAAGACTGTTTTGACCCATTTGAAAAGTTTATGTACACTGTATCTTATTTAAACCTTACGTGTTGGAAAAATTTTCGTTTTTTTTAATTTTTAATGTAATGACAAAGATGCTAACACAGAAATAAATCATGTTATATTTAGAAAATTCAGTTTTAGAGTATCAGTGTGTTTTGTTTTTTAAAACCTTGTAATATCACTCTTTGCGGGACTAAACTTAAAGAATGCGATTCGTATTTGCAGCTTTTGCAGTTACAACAATGAAGCATACCTGGCGATTTTCATGGGATTTGAAATGTAAAAATAAAGATAGGCAATTTGAAAATTGGTTATGGTAATGCAAAATTGGAAACGGAAAGGGGCCCTATTTTTTAAACTACTACTTATTCAAAGTTCATTTACTGGTTAAACAATATAACTCCATTAAAGCAAGTTATAACTTAATAGTAGGGATGACTAATGTCAGTTTGAAGTTGGGTTCTTATTTTTCTATAGGTCTATTGGGTTTTCAACGCTTTATAACTTTTCGTTTTTGTTGTCAGTTTTGAAGAATAAAAACAAAATTTCTGGCCTAATCCTTTAACTGTGTGTTGAAGTGTTGTTACATATCAGGGTATTTTATTTTATGTCGAAACTTGAATTGAGGATTACTCATACAATTATTTGTAATGTATGTATGAGTAATCCTCCATGGCTCCAGATTGTAAATACTATGGAGAGATGATGGGGAACCAAAGAAAACAACCGGTATTAAGTACACAACAAAAATCCAATGTTTGTGTGACATGGACAAAAATAAAATCTTGATTGTTAAAAGTTTGGTAAGAAAAATTTACCGATTACCATTATATTTACCGGTATTTTTAAAGTTTCCAGTGTGTTTATGTGTATACATATATGGCGTAAAGGAGCTTGTATTTGCGCTTTACACAAGCTTAAAGTAGGGTTTACACAAGCTTTACGCAAAACGTAAAGGTGTTGCGTAAAGTTTTTGTTTCATTACGCCAGCTTTATATGTACGCGTAAAGGTGCTGTAAAGCTGAACTTTACGTAGAGTAAAGGAAGCGTAAAGCTGTGTAAAATTCAACTATACGCTGACTTTACGTTGTCATTACGCTCACGTAAATTTGATTTTTCATGCTGTGAAGCACTGCTTTAAGCGCCAGCTCCACCGTAAACAAGTGGTAGCTGTTGGTTGGGAACTGCAAAACAGTTCTCCCACGGCGTGCGTATGGAGATGGTATCACTGAGGAAAAATTGAACTGTGTGCCCAAATAAATTTGGTCGGGGGCGGGGGGAAGGGGGTGAAGGAGGGGTTTCTGATCCATAACACATAGTAACTATTCTAAACATCAAATCCCCTCAGACACATTTTTTTCTTAGCATCACTTTCCTTCCAAAGACATATTATTTCTTCCACATCTCCCAGCTAGCAAAAATTGGTCTGTAGAACAGATATTTTGAGGAACAGATCCATTGGGTGCCCCTGAGTGTAGCCCTAGCAGCACTATACGACGCGTCCTTAGGGGTGCAAAGTTTCTTGATTGAAGTTTTGAGACTAACGTTCCAAGTCCTTTAACAACCTTGTTTTAGTAAATAACGCAGTGGTTGGTGACATTGAACGAAGAGTACTCATAGATTATAAAAATTTTGAATTCACTTGAACTGTTGCAAATAAACCATTTAAACAACTCTTGATCGGCTGAAACTGAAAACTGACTTTGTCGGTGGATTACTTTACGTCAAATTCTTACCTAACTTCCACTTGCTGATTTGTAGATGAATGTAGAACAGGACTACATAACTGCCACGATGATGCATACTGCACCAACACCAAGCGTTCCTTCACTTGTACTTGTAAGACAGGATATACTGGGGATGGTGTTAACTGTGCAGGTAGCAAACCTGATAAGGAGCTTAAACTAACAGGATTTCATCTTTAGTTTTATGCTATTCCATACCATAAAGATTAGAGCCAATCAGAAAGCTGGAAACCGGTTTAATATTTAGTCAGTGGTATGTCCCAGATCGGTAGTTTCTTGGTGTTGTGGACTGGGGCAATCTCAAAATGACGTAATACAAAGGATTAAAAAGACACTGAACAATATCCACACCACATAACAATAGCTAACCAACAATAGTTTTCTCATCACCAAGAAACACCCCACAGGTCGTATCCATGAAAAATGTTGGCGTTAGTTGCAGCCTCCAGATCCCCGTAGCCTGCGAACAGGCTCACATGTGCGATTTCGAGGGACATTTTGGCGCGTGCATTTCCTAGACCTATTATTCTGGCCGGCTTTGCGTGCTCGATCCGCCAAAATTTTCTTTCTCTCAGGCTAAATTCCCCCAGCGAAAGCTTTCCAAGTGTGCAACACGTAAAACTGAGTCGGCATAAAAATCGAACAAAGTCAGTTGATAATTCAGCATTAACTCTTGATTGCAGACATAAACGAGTGTGAGACTGGAGAACACCTATGTGACACCGATATTTCAGAGTGCGAAAACGCTAAAGGATCTTACAAGTGTGTTTGCAAAAGTGGACATGAAGATAAATGTACAGGTAAATATACCACCGAGCACTTCAAGATATGCTAATTGAAATGTATACTTTAATAATGTCTTCTTCTTTTCTCGGGTTTACGTGCGGTGAATAAGGTTGAAATGATAAAAGGCATCGACAAAACAGGAACGTGGACGGTATATTATGATGCTTTTTAAAACAGATCTACGATTTGATAATTCAGCGTTAACTCTTAATTTGCAGACAGAAACGAGTGTGAGACAGGAAAACACAACTGTAACGCCACCAGTTCATTGTGCCGTAACACTAAACGATCCTTTTAGTGTGCTTGCAGAGAAGGGTATTTCGAAAGTGCCGTTGTTTAGTAAATCACGCCGTGGTTGGTGACATTGAACGAAGAGTATTCATATAGATTATAACTAGGGGTAATCATAGATTAAAGAGTACGTTCGATATGCGAAGTGAGTTATTCCAGGGCAGACCATAGATTTTTACAGGCTTTTATGAGTTAGTGTCCAGGGAGAAAACAAAGTTGATGATGATGGCAATGATTAACATATTGTTAAAAAACAATTTTATCGCAAAAAGGTTCATATAGAACAATATGTGTTGCATAATTATATTGCGCATCAGTTAACAACAAAATGAAATTAGTTTTTAGTTGACCGAAGAGTTAGTTTCTTCAGCTGCAGGATTTAGATTTATTGGCAATAATCGGATAATTTCATTTGTACTAATAAAATATAAGAAGATTTTTAGTCATGCAGCGACGGAAAAAAAATCGGACAGAAAAGCGTGAATCGTGCATGTGCAGAGTAATGTTTTGCTCGTTCAAAACTTGCTGGAATTTGTTTGACTTTAGTTAAGCTCTCTAATGGAATCAATCGGAAGGATATAAGCTTCCTTTTTAGAGTTTCTAAATCATTACTTAAAAAAAATAAAGTGCAGTGGTACTGGGAAAGCCTCGAGCAATAATTATTTAACTTGAACGCTGCATGCGGTTTTTATGTGACTCAAAGTTGAAATATCCACAATACAATTCATGAAACTTAATTTGTTAAAAATTAAAAATTAAAAATCTTGTAAGCCGTGTACACCAAAAATTAACGCCCTTAATCGCATATGCCTGAATTCGAAATATATCCACGTAATTTAAGGCGCCATAAAAAAAAACAACAAACAAACAAACAAAAGTAACAGAACAAAATTCACCTATGTTCGCGTTAAAACTCGATTTTTTTCGCCTTCGCTAGCATCAGGAAAACTTTGAATCGAGCTTAATTAAAAGGCAAACAGATCAAGAAACGTTCTGAAAGTTTCCATTGTGTGTTACATGTCACGTGGACCAACAGTCATCTCGTATTGGTCAAAAAATGAGTCATGTGTTCTGTATCGTTCGTACCCAGAACAGCTACGATCTTTCAAGAGGCCAGGCTATTTGGAAGTCCGTCCCGAAAAATCTCGATTTTTTCTGGCTACTAATTTAGGATGGCGTTCTGCGAACGCAATAATTTGAACTCAATTGAACTGTTGCAAATAAATAATTTAAGCAACTCTTAATCGGCTGAAAGTGAAAACTGACTTTGCAGGTGGATTACTTTACGTCAAATAAATTCTTATACCTAACTTCCATTTGCTGATTTGTAGGTAAGTGTAAAAGAGGACAACATAACTGCCACGATGATGCATACTGCACCAGCACCAAGCGTTCCTTCACTTGTACTTGTAAGACAGGATATACTGGGGATGGTGTTAACTGTGCAGGTAGCAAACCTGATAAGGAGCTTAAACTAACAGGATTTCATCTTTAGTTTTATGCTATTCCATACCATAAAGATTAGAGCCAATCAGAAAGCTGGAAACCGGTTTAATATTTAGTCAGTGGTATGTCCCAGATCGGTAGTTTTTTGGTGTTGTGGACTGGTGCAATCACAAAATGACGTAATACAAAAGATTAAAAAGACACTGAACAATATCCACACCACATAACAATAGCTAACCAACAATAGTTTTCTCATCACCAAGAAACACCCCACAGGTCGTATCCATGAAAAATGTTGGTGTTAGTTGCAGCCTCCAGATCCCCGTAGCCTGCGAACAGGCTCACATGTGCGATTTCGAGGGACATTTTGGCGCGTGCATTTCCTAGACCTATTATTCTGGCCGGCTTTGCGTGCTCGATCCGCCAAAATTTTCTTTCTCTCAGGCTAAATTCCCCCAGCGAAAGCTTTCCAAGTGTGCAACACGTAAAACTGAGTCGGCATAAAAATCGAACAAAGTCAGTTGATAATTCAGCATTAACTCTTGATTGCAGACATAAACGAGTGTGAGACTGGAGAACACCTATGTGACACCGATATTTCAGAGTGCGAAAACGCTAAAGGATCTTACAAGTGTGTTTGCAAAAGTGGATATGAACATAACTGCACAGGTAAATATACCACCGAGCACTTCAAGATATGCTAATTGAAATGTATACTTTAATAATGTCTTCTTCTTTTCTCGGGTTTACGTGCGGTGAATAAGGTTGAAATGATAAAGGCACCGACAAAATAGGAACGTGGACGGCATATTATGATGCTTTTTAAAACAGATCTACGATTTGATAATTCAGCGTTAACTCTTAATTTGCAGACAGAAACGAGTGTGAGACAGGAAAACACAACTGTAACGCCACCAGTTCATTGTGCCGTAACACTAAACGATCCTTTTAGTGTGCTTGCAGGGAAGGGTATTTCGAGAGTGCCGCTGTTTAGTAAATCACGCCGTGGTTAGTGACATTGAACGAAGAGTATTCATATAGATTATAACAATTTGAACTCAATTGAACTGTTGCAAATAAATAATTTAAACAACTCTTAATCGCCTGAAAGTGAAAACTGACTTTGCAGGTGGATTACTTTACGTCAAATAAATTCTTATACCTAACTTCCATTTGCTGATTTGTAGATAAGTGTAAAAGAGGACTAAATAACTGCCACGATGATGCATACTGCACCAACACCAAGCGTTCCTTCACTTGTACTTGTAAGCCAGGATATACTGGGGATGGTGTTAACTGTGCAGGTAGCAAACCTGATAAGGAGCTTAAACTAACAGGATTTCATCTTTAGTTTTATGCTATTCCATACCATAAAGATTAGAGCCAATCAGAAAGCTGGAAACCGGTTTCATATTTAGTCGCGGTATGTCACAGATCGGTAGTTTCTTGGTGTTGTGGACTGGTGCAATCACAAAATGACATAATACAAAAGATTAAAAAGACACTGAACAATATCCACACCACATAACAATTATAGCTTACCAAGAATAGTTTCCTCATCACCAAGAAACACCCCACAGGTCGTATCCACGATAAATGTTGGTGATACAGTCGAACCTGTATTGGGTGGTCACCCTCGGGGAATGGCTAAGTGACCCCTTAATACAGAGTGACCGCCTAATACAGGTTGCAAGAAATACAGTTCAAAGAATTAGATCTCCAGTGCTGATCAGAACAGACGTTTGACCTCAAATAGAAATATTCATTTCCGGCGTTTTAATGGTTTGCGAAAATAAACAAGGAAATCAGTTGTTGTACCTCGTGTGTTATGAACACCGTGTGACCGTTTAATACAGGTTATGACAATAGAAAAAGTCTCGTTAGGACTTCGCAAATGGTAACCGCGACCGTTTAATAGAGGTCGAAATTACAGTACATCAAGAGAAGTAATTTTCGGGACTTTAAAAACTGACCGCTTAATACGGTGCCGCTTAATACGGGTTCGACTGTAGTTGCAGCCTCCAGATCCCCGTAGTCTGCACACAGGCTCACATGTGCGAGTTCGAGAAACATTTTAGCGCGTGCATTTCCTAGCCCTATTATTCTCGCTGGCTTTGCGTGCTCGAGCCGCCAAAATTTTCTTTTTCGTAGGCTAAACTCCCCCCAGCGAAAGCTTTCCAAGCCTGTGCAACATGTAAAACAGAGTCTACATTAAAATCGAACAAAGTCAGTTGATTATTCAGCATTAACTCTTGATTGCAGACATAAACGAGTGTGAGACTGGAGAACACCTATGTAACACCGATATTTCAGACTGCAAAAACATGGAGCAGGCTTTGGAACGTTCCTTACAACCCCAGGTCCCCCATTACAGGCCACATACCATATCAGGCCCCCCATATCAGGCCCCCCCATTCCAAGGCCTCCCATATCAAACCCCCCATTTCAGGCCCAAATCATTTTATTTTTATCAAATCATTTTCACCCAGCTTTGTTTTTTGGTTGCGGTTTGCCGCCCAGCCAAAGCTTTTATTTTTTTACTCTGGGCATCCAGACGTTTGTACTGCCATAATAATTAATAATATTATTAATAATAAAATTCTTATAACATATTTGACGAAATAGTGACAACGGAATAGTCGGCAATTTGAATATTATATCTCGTCACTTGACTTGCCTAAATGTCGAGCTCAAAATGTTACTCTAGATAATTCAGCATTAACTCTTCATTTCCAGATATAAACGAGTGTAAGACAAAAGAACACAACTGTGACGTCACTAGATGGTGCTATAACACCAAAGGATCCTTCGACTGTCCTTGTAGGGCAGGGTATTCTGAAAATGGAGAAGATAAATGTGCAGGTAACACTTCAGGATCTCTTAATTGAAACACTCAGATACTTCGTAGCCACGTCTCTTTCACATCAATTTCTTCTGTTCGAAACTGGTTTTCCACTAAATTCGCCTTAATTTAAGTCATGTTAATTTCTATAATATCTTTTAGTATCATATAACATTTATATTATGCCATATAATAAGGCAGGTATATTATTGTAACTCTAATCATAACTATAACAAAATTGTCAAATCTAATTGGCTATCAACTGCCATGATTTCAGCCTTAATTGGACAGTTTAATAGGACAGTACGCATCATGCCTAAGTAATTGGACAGTACGCGCCATCACGCGCGCGCTTAAATTGTCTTTTTTTTTCACTGCTAGCAAAACAAAATTTCGAATTTCTTGTGTTTTGATTTAAAAAACAGCCTACTATATCACAAATTTTGTTAAAGTTATGATTAATTGGTAACAGAACTTCGTGTCGTCCAATTCGGTCTGTAATCATACTCGTGATTAAACAAATCGGACTCCCGCTTCGCGCTCGTCCGATTTTGTTAATCACTCGTATGATTACAGACCGAATTGGACTCCACTCAGTCCTGTTACCATTACTAATAGGCCATTTTCGACTTCACTGGAGCTTCTGTCTTAAAACGAGGCGAAGTGCGAAGCCTTTTGATAAGAAAATTAATTTCAAAGGAGAAAGGTGTGACAAAGACCTCGTTTCGAAAATGACGGTTTTTGGAATTTGGAAAATAATATTAAAATATTGATCACATGAAATGGCTAGTATGGTAGGCCACAGTTACTTGCCGAGAAAGAAAAACTAAATCAGTTTATTCAGTGCCTGACTTCTTAATTGCAGATAAAAATGAGTGTGAAACAGGAAAGCACAACTGCAATGCAAACGCTACCTGCGAAAACACTGAAGGATCCTTTGTGTGCACCTGCAAGCCAGGGTATTTTCGTAATGGAGTTAACTGCACACTAAGTCAGTACCTCGGTCTTCTTTATAATATTTTTTTAATCAAATCCATTTATCTCGCATTAAAGCCAAGTTCAGCCACAAGGTAGTATGCTGCTTCGTCCCTAGAGCTGCAGTTTTGTTCTTTTAAGCTGAATAAGAATCGAAATGCCCTTGCATACTACTATAGTTTGTGATTTGCAGTATCTGTATGCAATTTTAGCCTTAAACATCATTCCTGGGATCTTTAAGTTTTTTAACGTATTGTAATTGCCCCCATGCAAGATTGTCATCTCCGCACAGTCACGCATTCACGCTGGGTGAGATAACTGCTTTTAAAAATCAGACCAGTGTACAAAATTCCGCTTTTTTAGCCGCACCACCTACAGAGTACGAGCGGAAACGTGTCCTTTTTATTGCACCTTCTGTTGGTAGTTGTTCTTCACCTGGAAAGTCGTTCTGCATTCTCAAGTATCTTGCTTCCTTAGGTTTCGCTAATCCTCGATCTATAAATGTGATGTTACTTCTTAATTTCTCACTTCCTCGATATATATAGCCATAATCTTTTTGCTTCTCAGTATAGCCAGAAAGCTCTCTCTCTCTTTCGACCGTACACAATCCTAGAAAATAAAAGGATGAGTAAAGCAGTTTTGATGATTCAGTCCTGCACCTGATTTGCAGACGTAAACGAGCGTATAACAGGAGAGAACAACTGTGACGCTAATGCCATCAAGAAACTTGACAAGCTTGCACAGAACTTGGCGGGAAAGTTGGAAAAGAAAAAAAGACTTCCACTCCGGGCATGTTGACCTAAAATATTTCAACATTAAGTTTTGGCTGAAAGTGAATTTTATCCCCAATCTTACCGGAAATATGATTTTTCCTTATAGTCATTCCTGCCTCCTCTTGCAAGGAACTGTATGATAATCAAGGGTAAGTTTACTGGTCGGCTATATGATGCATGACATGCATGTTACAAGTACTTATCTTTTGCCAGTTCACCCGAAGTGTCTATTTAAAAAACCTCCGAGAGAGGAGATAAACTGAAAAGCGCAATCATGGCTGCTGGGCTAAAAGAGAGGGAAATAGAAAGATAGCAAAATATTTTAAAACAAATGTAATTTGCACGCAGCAAAAGTTTCGATAACGCGCACCTCAGCGAAGACAGATTGGAAGACGCTTCATCCTCCTAAAATTTTAATCAGATGGTTTAAACCAAAAACAACAAAAAATAGTCAGAAATTGGTCAAAAATGGATGATTAGGCTCGAAGCCTCTTATCTTGCCGGGTTCAACGATAAATGGAAGAAAAGAAACTTTGCACTAATTCTTGTACTTTTCATATAGGACAAAACCTCTAGTTTTTTTAGTCAGCACCTTGAATTGGTACGAGACCATTTTTCTCGCTTGACATTGATTGACAAAGATCAAGAGGATTGTTCATTTTTGTCCCTTAAATTTTTCTCCATCAGGTTAACTACCAGCCGAGTGTATACGCTGAAGTTTGATTCACACGAATTTTCTGTTTACTGTCACATGGGAGTCTTTGGATGCGGAGATGGAGGATGGACGCCGGTCATGAAGATTGACGGCACTAAGGTACAAGGCTTTCAGCTTATCACCTAACTGTGTTATGAATATTTATTCTACGATTCTCGTTTGCAGAAAACTTTCCACTACGATTCTCATCTCTGGAGCGACAAAAATCCATACAACATTTCAGGAGGGAGAACTGGGTTTGATTCACAAGAGACTAAGCTGCCGAGCTACTGGAAAACATCCTTCTCCAAGATCTGCCTCGGTATGAAGTTCGGCCACAAGATAAGATTCGTTACCATCCACGGGCACGCCAACTCGCTGTACTCGCTGATCGCTGACGGCCGATACCGCGCCACCTCACTGGGTCGTAGAACGTGGAAGTCGCTGATTGGTCCACAGGCCTCCTTACAATACTATTGTAACAAGGAAGGGTTTAATGCTATCTGCAGGAAAACACATCATTCTAAAGCAAGAATTGGTATCACCAGTAATAATGAGCGCGATTGTGTCTCGTGTGACTCCAGAATCGGATTTGGTACAGGAGGAACTCCTGACGACACAAACACGTGTGGAAATGAGGCTACATGGTCACCAGACAACGGACACAAGCGGATCAAGACCATGGGCTACATCTTGGTTCAGTAGTAAAGAACCGGAACTGTTCCATGAGAATTAAAATTTTAGTTGTTTAGTTGCTTTTAAGCTTTCTCAGCTCGGAAGAAAGAAAATCCATAACGGGACATTAAATGCCAGTAACATGTCGGTTAATTTACGATGTAAAGGTAGCCTTATTTTACGAATAAAATGGGGAACAATTAAATGCAAGTTTGTTTTTAAAATTTCATATGAATGATCGGATGATCAGTATCAGAAAGCTGAGATGTTGAAAGCAATTCGGTGCTATCGAAATCTTCATTGCCCTGAATATGCGGTTATTTTCTTGTACTCTCCAGGGGACTTCTATCCTTTTTTCATAAAACCAAAACACAGCGGCTATTTCTGGTGGCCTTTCGGAGACGACGAAGGAAAAACAAATACAGGTAAAAGAATCTAAAAGAGGGTCTAGTCCACCAATCACTCTCTTTGACCGCGAATGACACCAATATAATTTTGTATTTTAATAGCGTTATATGACCAAAACTCCCTAGTTTCATTTCGTCCACAATTCTTGAATAAATCCTGATTTAAGCTCGAAGAACGCTGACGGTAGTTTGCACAGAAAATAGGAAGGATTGTAGTCAAGTACACCATCTCAAGTTATTTTAGTAACAAGGACCATCTAATACTAAGCATCAAGAAAATGCAGTCACCACGTCACAATACGTCTCTTTAATTCACATAACTAATTATTAATAAATTTCTATTATTTAGAAAATTCATTATTACTTTTATCATTATCATTTCTGAATTCACATAAACACATGTACACCTTTCATTTTCACAAAAACTCAACAAAAACAACGATATGAACAAGTCGAAAACCGCCTGGCTCATTTTCTTCATCGATTTATTTCTTGGAGGCTACCATTTCAGGGTGAAACTTGTGTCGAAGGTATTTATAGATCTCTGCAGCACGGGGCCTGGACAGACTGGGAGTTCTTCTCTCCAACTCAGCCGCAGTACTGCAATTTCAAAATGTATACTTCGAATTATCGCTCTAGTATGTTAAGCCTGGTTGTTATTATTTTATTACATACACAAACGAGTTTTAGCCAATCAGAGGAGTGAACTATGTTTTTCACACGTGAAAAAAAAATGTTACGTCCAATCAGTCAGCAGAATAAGTGCAAACAAAAACACAACGATCAAATTCTTTTAAGCTTGTACTTTTGTTACGCTTGCACCTCTTGGCAAGTTGAGTTAAAAACTTAACCTTGTGTAACAGCGCCCATTTCGAGCCAACGACGTCATTCAGGTCTTCTGTCATTTTTTATAAGCTTCACCCAACAAAAGTGAACTCAGTCAACTTCAAACAATCTTTTTTGTATAAACAAATGACTGGAATATTACTTGGTTTGCACGTGACGTCACGGCGGCCATGTTGGCGGTCAAGAACAAAAGCATTTCTCTCCTCTGGGAACTAAACGCTATTTTCATGTAAATTCTTCGGGAAAAAATTCTATTGTATTGACCGCAGACCCCCAGCATGAGAATTTAAAGTTTTTCTCTGCGTTATGAGCCAGAAGACCAACGCGTGTTGAAATAACCTTACCTGTTGATGATTTCATGGAGCGTTTTGAAAGAGGAACACAAGTTGAGAGCTGTTATATAACTCACATGTGGAAAACTGAGAACAACACGGAAAACCTGAAAAAGAAAAATAATCATATAAAAAAGTACGAATGAAGTTGCGCTTCATAAATCATGAAAACAGGCGTAAGGATTTTTCTGACCTCCTCTACCATCAATAAAAATAACGGAGTTTAAGCAAAGACGTTTTCAAGCCACGCACGTCAACCGGAAGTGAACTTTTTTACCTCTTCGGCCGTTCTTTTGAAAATAACAGTGGGCAAATTGTCTTAACAACAGTAACGACATTTAGTAATACAAATTTGGTAGGCTTACGACATATTAAAAGAGAAAAACCTACACTTCCGGTTGACGTGCGTCGCTCAAAAACATCGCTGCGACGTCACTGCTTAAATTCCCTGAAATGTACCCTGGGAGCAGAGACTCCTATAAGAGCGTTTTCACTCGCGTGACCAGCATCTATGCAAATTGGAACAAAAGAAAGAGTTAACACAAGAAAAGAGTTTAACTCCAACAGGACTGGTTTGTGACACCAACATGGCCACCGTTTCATTGTTTCGCAACATCAATATGGCTGCCGTGACGTCATGTGAAACGCTCTATTGTCTTCTTGAGTGAGGAGAAGGAAAGAGAAGAAGGCTTTTCCTGAATCGCGTCAGGAATTGAAGTCACCAAAGCGAGCACTTGTTAAAATGGTGCAATACCACAAAAATTAAACAATCGCAAAGAAGGTCAGTAATTGAAGGGACTCATTTGTACCTGTTCACGTTCTTTGCTGAAAGAGGTGGGTGCTGTAATAGTGGTTCCTTTTTTGGTCTCAATGGCGGCTAGTTCTGCTAAGAGTGTAGCTGTTTGCTCTGTGGAAAAAAAAAATTAAATCAATGTTTGTTTAAATCATTGTTTAAAAACAATTATTATTCATTCAAAATATTTCCCCGATTCTGATTGGCCAAAAGCACAGGCATAATTCACCATAAGCAGTTACTAATGACCAAATTTGGAAGAATTTTGTGTGTAACGAGGAAATGACGACAAAAATGCAGCGTTCTTGCAGGTTAATGAACCGTTAACCGACGAGGTTGAGTTGTTTTGGTTGTGAAAACAAAAGATGGCGGACATTTCACTCGTTTCAAGAGTAAAAACTAGGCGAAATTATAGCTAAAAACATGGCAAGAACAGCAAGAACACAACTCGAAGGGCTATATCTTCTATTTGGAGAATATTTGCGGAGCTGAACAACCCTAAATGTGCACTATCGAAGATGAACTTAACATCGATGGATCGATGGAGGTAAGCATGTTTTATCCATGTTTTTAAACTAGGAATTATTTTGAATGAATAACAAAACAATTATCCGCCTCGGCCGATAACACCCTCCTCGATCTCCATAATTCTTCATAAGATACTCAGCCTCATTCGTTAATTGTTAAATAATGTTCACAGTTGACTTTATCTTCGCCGTTAGTAACTCGAAAACAAGGTTCAGTTACAGTCCATATCTTATTCAGATCTCATGCGTTCTACTCACCTCTTGCACATTGCAATTCGAAGATTAGAAAAAACGCAGAACATAGGGCTGTTTCGGTTTGCAAAATAAATGCAAGGGGCCAAATTTGGTTGTCTTATAATTAGCGTCCATATGGTTCACTTTTCTAGGGTTGATTTGGACCCACTGTCTGAGATGAGTCCCAGAGTAAACAGGCCCAAAAGAATTGATCTCTAACAATAGCACATTGTTAAGAGTGATTAGAAACAATACTTACGATACCCGTGAAAGTCTTAACTAAGCACGGCTTTGCATATTGTGCCCGAGGACAGAAATAAATTGGCGGCTTCCTGGACACACAATTAATAAGTGTCCATTATTCGTGCATCTTTTCACGCAAAAGCGCTGCGTTGAATGTTGAGCTTGTTTTGAGTATACTACCATTTTCAGCAACCAACAACGTAAAGATAGTTCCGTGACAACGTAGTACACGTGAAGGGATCAATAAAAACATATGCTTTTACTGCCACATTTTTGCGCGACAACTTGCACGAAAAACAACGCTGGCAGCCCAACAGACCCACCCAAAACACTAAGTAAAACTTTGGTATATTCCCTAATTTTGTTTCTAGCCATAGGCTTCATACCGTGGGAGTCACTAAACAGAATCTTCACATGAGTCTGAGCGATGCATGCCAGAGTAAATATATAAGCTTTGGTCTTGATACTGAAAATAAAAGAGCGAAAGTTTATTAACACATATTCTTATCACGTAAGACCAGGAACTAACCTTTGAAGGTCATTGAAGCCACTTCACGCATCAATAAGTGACATCATATTAACGATATACTCACAATTTTTTCTCTGTTTCTCCTGGTCTCACACGATCTTTCTCGATGATTAAGCACGGCCTGTCGTACAGATCACACATTCTGCGCATGCACTCTACCAGCTTGGGACTGTTGGCTCCATTTGCCACATCTAAAAGCGAATAAAAGACTATTCTAAGGGAGTCGATTTTATGCCAAACTAGAAGATAATGCCAAACATTATTTTAGGCTTTTTTTTTTGCGCGGGGTGATGGGTCAAAATTCGTCATCCATAAGAAAAACAAAGTGGAAATCGACACAACACTGACCCAGTGTCACGAGTACAGGAACAAGGATTGGCAAATTTGGATACCAAAATTTATACAATTCCAACCCCTACAATACAAACACCCCTGTAATGCAGACACTTGGCTGTCTCTGGTAGCCATATTAATTAGACTTCACTGTGAAATAACAACGTTTTCGAGTAGGAAGCACTCCATGCCACCCAGACAAAAAAATAATTAAACAGGAGAAAATACAGCGCCAAGGTTCTCAGATAAACTCTCTCGTACAACATCTGATTGCCTCTGGAAAAGATAAGACGTACCCTGCACTTAGGTTTCACAACGTTTTTTTTTGCACAAATTTTTTTTCGCAACGTTTCACAAAGTCTCTGAGCCGTGACTCTTCTCAAGTGGTTTTCACAGAACGTAGAGAAAACAACCAAATTACCGGAAGCTGTTTTCCTCTTAACAGCCATTCTGTTACTGACAATGTAGTCACAACCGGTCAGCTGACACACTTCCGCCTTCATGTTATGCTTTAACCGTAATAAGGAAACTACCTGAGAGGGAAGGATAGCGATGATTGTATCAGTAAACATCAAACTGAAAATTATTGACATCAAGCTTGCCACATTCTATAGTGTTATTAAAGACTAAAAGACTTAAATTTCTTTTGTTTGAAAACTTACACGCTCCTCATCGAACAAGAGGCAGAATTATCCGCGCTTGACTGGTTGAGTGTGTTTTTCTGCAAATTGGCGTTAGCCTTTTTTGAAAACCAAATTGTAACTTTAAAATAATCAGATTCGTTCATTTTTCTACAGAAAACCCATAAAAAGAATTTGTTACTTAAACATCGCAAGGGAAAGAAACAGAATATGGTTAGAAAAGAACTCACCTGAGAACTTGAGATTTCGCGAGTATCGACCAAGATTATTGTTTTTCCTTTGTCTTTGTCCGATGACTAGAACAAAAAAACACTTATTACAATAAAATAAGGCAATGTCCACAACTTTTAATCTTCGTAAACTTTAACGAAAACACATAGATAGCTACCCCTGCACGTAAGAGTTAGTAGTATAGTAAGAATGGATTAGGCCTTTTTTGGTTTCCCTTCACCACAAGCACCATCACATTTTCTTGCTGTTGTTGTCGTTTTTCATTCATCACCACCTCATCTCTACTGTTAGAATCTTCCTCCTCATTCCTACCGTTCTCGTTGTCCTCCTCATTTGTTTTGTTTTCCCTGCGTCGTCAAATAAATGAGATTCTAACAAAAAAAGCCTAACCCGGCCCCCACTTTTTTATAATTTCAGCCTTTCCGCATCGCCTTCATTTGTTTAAAAACAGTCCACGCAAAGCCATCGAAAGCGCTCATAAATCATACGCTTTCATTTCCAGCCTATTCTAGGCGCAAACCTCCCGTATACCCATCCACGTTCGCCTCCTTGCTCCAAATAGTCAATGAAGAGAATTAACGAAATCTCTCACTTGAACGAGGTATGGAAATAGGATCGGAATAAGCAAATCACACTACGTTCTTGTTAAAATTCGCTTTGAATTACGGACTCTTTGTGAAGCTGGCTAGAACAGGAATCATCGAACAATTGGAAATTCATCTCAGACACTTGATGTCGTCTCTTCTTACTTAATTATTCTGCTGGCTTCATACTTACCGTGAGAAGAGGACTATTCGCAGGCCTGGTACCCAGAGGAGTGGGACGACATGAGGGTGTTACCACCTGCAACTTCGCATGCGCTTCGGAAACAGACCGCTGAGCGTTATGAGTATCCATGGTCGACAAATTCTTGGAACCAGGTCTACGACTTGAGGTAAGAGAACTACTGTTCGAGATAATTGGTTTTACAACATTCTGAGGAGCAACTCTTGTTGATTGAGAAACCTTGCTTAAAACAGGCTTAGCACTTATCTTGTTTTCTGTTTGTGAGTTATTCTCCGGTACCTGGTAAGAACTTTCCAGAGAATGTTTAGAACTCTGAACTATCTTTGTAAACTTTTCCGCTTTCCGAGAAATACCGTCGTCTTTGTTTGATGCGTTTAACGTCCTATTTGAAACCGTAGATGGGTTCCTTTCGTTGCTGAATTCATTACAAAAACTGTACTTTATGGTATTCTCACAGCTTTCACTCTGCCGTTCTGTCAGAGTCACTGAATTGATTTTGGAAGAATTCCAGTCTCCAGTACTTGCATTGTCCGTGAGAAAAGTCTCCGACAAAAAGTCAAAACCGAGTGAGAACGTTGGAAGGTCCTTTAGTTCCATTACAACGTCATCATCTGTCATTTCCATAGCCAGCGCGATTTCTTTCATGTCTTGATATTGGAAAATGTTGTTTCCTGGTGTTTTCCTGGAAGGTAAAATAAATTTCAAAAAAAGGCCACAAACAGATGTAAATTATTCCCCACTCTTACATTAAGGTAGACAAACTTGGACCGACGTTTTTCAAGATTACCCGAATGCAATCTCTTCTTCATTTTTGCCAGTCTGCGCTTATCCTCTTGGTCCCAAGATAATCTAATCAACGCGAAATGTTTACCGGCTAAATCGTTGCAGACAAAGTTTACTAGACCAGCGAAAAACTCCCTGAATGCTAACTGATACCGAAATAACTCCACACTGAAAATTATTGAAGATCTATAAAGTAATTAAGGAAATTAAACGTCAACAAAATCTGCGACCAAAAACATTTCTGATTTGTGCAACTGAAATGATTACATGGCCAAACATATGGCCTAACTGAAAAAAAGGACCATTTGCAGCCTTGCATTGGAGAAGAAAATAAGCACAAATAATGGCAGAGAGCAAGAAAAAAGAGCAGAAACGTTTTCATAAATCCAACGAGTTCAAATAAATTTATTTCGATCACTTACTTTATTGAAGAGTTTTCTCCTTCACATTCAAGGGCATTGAGCAATTCACTGTCACTAATATCATTGTTCCACTCACTAACGAAAGAACCCGTATTGCGCATGCTCTCTTTGTTACTTGCTGACCGCTGTAGGGACGTGTGGTTGTCATGGAAATTTCTTTTGTCAGCTAAAACGTCAGTGGACTTGACAAAGCCGTTGTTAAGTTTATTTCCAGTAATCTTGGATTTAGCTGGGAAGTTTCCAAACGCATTAGTTTGACGCTGTGGTGGTGGTGGAGGTTTCAGTGGAGGTCCCAGTTCAACAGTGTTCTCTTTGTCATACGTTTCTGGCATTTTGCTGTGTTTGCTTAACTTCGGCGAAACTTCCTCTTCAACGGTATCATCCAAAATTCGCTTTCTCTTCATACGCTTAACTGGTCGTCCAATTTGACTTTCTTCAAAGGATTTGCCCACGCGAGAATCGCCTTCACTTTGGGGCCTACGCGCAACCTCGTCTTCAGAACGAGAATCTGCCTCGTTTTCGTGCAAACTGTCATGACGATATCCATCTATTTCGTCCTCACCCTCAACCTCGTTTTCAAACACGCTCTCTGACCCGTAAGTCTCCTCTGCTTCAGACGGAGATTCACTGCCCTCATCAACCGCATTAAACACCATTTTGTACCTGTTTCGCTGTTTATGAAACAAAGGTGTTTTAAAGTTCAGTGAACCGCAAAGAGGGCTCCGAAGAGACTGTCTATAAACTGCCATCATGTCCATGGGTGAGCTGGCATGGCGTGGTCTTGCAGCAGAAGGTGTTCTCTGTGTCATTTGAGTGGAGTCGTCTATAAAGCTATCCAGTTCCTCCACGTTTTCATCCTCTTCTTCGTCGGAAGAGAAATCATTGATATCGCTGCCGGACAGCTCTGCTTCGTCGTCGAGGAAATGGTTTCTCCGAGGCTTACTTTTGTTTTTCTGGGGAGATAACAACTAAAATTGTCACTGCAATAACACTTGAACCACTTAGGGCCTTTTTGCTACATAGGTAGGAATTTTCCCCAACAGCGTGTTCTTCCACTGGCTACATAACGGTGCTATGCAACGCAATTTGCTATCTTTTAAAAAAGTTAAAACGTGTCTCGGCATAATTCCAAAAATGCTTTAATGCTCTGCCTGCAAAAATCACCCCCCCTCCCCGCGTCCCCTCCCCCTCCCCCAAAAATATGGTTTGTGCTCTCTAGTGAAATTTGTTTGAGATCTTAATCATAACGCTACAGGAACATTTTGTGTATAGATAAAGGTACCAAGTAATGACTTCAGAAAATAATTTAATCAAGAAAGCAATATCCTCGTGACATGGCCCCTTAAAAAGTCACATTACATCATAACTGACAAGAAACTGTCTTACGTAGCTGAGTGGGCAAGACTGTAAAATCCATAAGGTCAGAGGGTAACCGTGTTACCCGAAAATGTTGACACCCACATAATGGTCTCATGTTTGATCTACCAAAATGTTTGTTGAGGTAACAAAGCAACATTGAGATTTGAGAACTGGAATATCAACAGGCAAATTCTCCACTCTGTACTCTACACTTTCGCTACACGTTCATACCAGTAGAAACCGCAAAAGCGTTTTTGAGCCACGCACGTCAAACAGAAGTGAGGCTTTTTCCCTTTTAACATGCCTTGACGCTACTAAATTTGTATCTCTGATTTGGAGAATTTGGGCAAAACTAATGCCAAAGAATTAAAGAAGTCCACTTCCCCTTGGCAAGCGTCACTCGAAAACGTCGTTGCTTAAAAGAGCTGTGTCACGAAATTCAGCCAAATTAGGAAATTACTAAATGCCCGTTAAATTAAGAGAAACAGAAAAATAACTGCTTAAAACTTTAAAGGAAGGTTAAAATAACATAACAAAAACAACAGATACCACGGATGGGCAAAACTGAAGAAGTTTGACAGGGATTGAAATTAGGGTTTCTGACAACTGTTCAGCCTAACAGTTTTTGAAAGTTGATCCCTGCTGCTTGCAACTTCAAAAATAATGCTCAGGAGACATATTTGTTTGTCTCGGATCTCTGATTTTGTCATTTACCAGTAATTTCTTTGCTTACTTTAAGTTCCATAGCGATTGAGGGTGAGTGATTGGCAAAATTAAACAAAATGAACTGGACTGCCGTGACACAGCCCCTTTAAGCTCTCTTCTTCTGTGTTGGGTTAGGCTTGAGTTTGAGTCCAGAATTTAGTTTTGTGGAACAATGGAAAGTCCACGAAATTTAGCCATGATGCATCTACTTAGAAGCAAACATGAAAAACTACAAATAACGATCGGGTACGCAACTGGTTAAGAAACGACAGTAGTGGCAATAATCTACTAACCTTTCTTAATGAATCGACTGACTTCCGTGTGCCGTGTTTACCACCAATCCCACGAGATTTTCTTTTCTCCTTTTCAGATGTGTTTGGACAAGCTCTGGATGATTCGGGCCGGCTTCGCCCTGGTTATGAAAATTAGACTTAATAACTTTGCTTAAACTGGTTATCATTTTCACGCTCATGCAGAAGACACAATTAGCCTGAATTAATTGTGGCCAATTTAAGATAAGAGCCTATTGGGCAGCACAAAGCTTGGTGTAGCACTATTCTTTAACTTTTTGCCATCATGGGAAATTTCAAGGCAATCCAAAGGAACAAGAATCCTTCTGAGGGAACAACAGAGTAAGAGAACAAAACTCTTTCACACAGTATTCAGAGTATAGGACAATTGCATGATGACGTAATTGTATTACAACTACCAGAGTCCTTCAGTCTGTTGTTTTTTATATGCAAATTACGCCAAGGCTTTTGCTTTTAAACCTCAGCAGGATTGATAAATTTCAGTAAGAAAGCAAAAAAAAAAAAAAGGAAATCCGGGACTTGTAGTCAAATGTCGTCATAACTCTACAGGAGCATTTTGTGTACAGGTGAAGGTACTGAGTAATGACTTCAACACAGAATTGACTTAAAAAAAAAAAACAAAAAGAAAAACAATAGAAATTAATATTTAAATCGTGTCTTGATATCTGATAAGGATACGGCTAAACTTTTCGTACATTTTTTTTGACCAAAATAACCCAAATCGAAATATTAGTGCAAGAATGTGTTGATCTATATCAGAGATTTTGAAGCCGTTCAAAAAACTCACAGTCGTGTGACATCAGGTTTAAAAACTCTCGGCTTCCATCCGAGTTTTTAAACCTGATAATACACTCCTCCTCGTTTTTTAAACAGTACCTAAAACAGTCATATCCTGGTGACATAGCCCCGTTAAGACTCAAGCAATGGACTGGGGACGTATCACTATCACTGTACACTACACTGACCTGATTTGTCGACTTCAAATTCCTCGTCACTCTCTGACCCCAATCGACCAATGCGAGATGACAAACTATGAGGTTGATTCTCGCATCGCTTATCGGGTGGCCTTTTAAACCCTTCCTGGGAGCACGGACTTGATAAAGCCTGCCTTCTTAGTGAAATGGCTTTCCTAACGGGACGAATAACACCTTCTTCGTCATCCTCTCTGTCATTTTCATCTTCGCTTTCCATAACCGCTACAACAGTGCCGTTATGAGTTCGTAAATTTGACAGATTGGCTGCACAGTCTTTGGCTAACGATACGTCACAAACCATGTCTGTAGAAGAGGCCTCTCTTGCCACCGTTTCGGAATTCATGGGTTTAGTTGGCCTTGATGAACAATTCAGTGAAGTCCCATGTAACTTAACAACACTGAGTTCTCCTTCGTTGGAATTCATTTTCAACGAGTTCGTCGATCCAAAATTCATGGGCTTGGCGGGTAGACCCTCCGATTTCTTTGCAAGAATGCCTTTGTCTTTAGGCGAAGTACGTTTTCTGCTCAGTTTAAGCTTTTTAGGCAGCGGCGATCTACAAATATTATCTACATCATCTTTTTCATCACTGTTGATATTGCTAGCAGTAGTACCATCAGCATTGGTACTAGTACTACTACTAGCACTGCCAACAGTGATACCAGTATCAATGTTTCCATTCGTCACCATTCCACTAGTTCGCACTACAGTTAGCTTCGGTTCTTTCTCGGGCATTTCTTGGCCTTTTACCCGAGAGGGCAGCCCAACCAGAGAGGTTTCTGTTAAACGATTGGCCTTTAATTTGAATTTGCTTGACGAAACAGGTGGAGCTGCTACCAAGTTCCTACGGTCATCCAGCACTCCTGTATCACTAGCAGTAGCACTGGTGTGCTCGCCTCTAGAGACGACTTCAGGAAAAGTTTGTCCGACATCTACTGGTAAAGCCCCTTCATCAAGACAATCCTTGATCTTTTTGCCGTCTTTACTCTTCATACTTAATTCAGTCCCTGTGACTTCAGAAGAGTCACTGACTATCTTCGACGAATATTTTCTATCAGCAGAGCTTCGCTGAAAAGCACTTAACTTGCTAATGGACGCCTGCAGATCAGTTCCAGCTGAAGCTTTAGAATTCGCAGAAGGCTTTACTTTTATCTCTTTGTCAAGAACTTTGGAGCTTTGCAACTCGGCTTTAGTTTCACGTTCATTCGAGGTTTTTGACGCACATAGCAAACTATTTGACCTGTCTCTTGTGGTTAACTCTTGTTCGCCAACAGGTCTCTGTTGACTGTTTTCAGTGGTAACATCTTCAGGCAAAGTCAGATCAGTGAAGGCGTCGTCATCGGTTTCATCCATGAAAAAAGCCTCAGCAAAGCCTGGATTATCTTGAGGAAAACAATTTTCATCCACATGCTCATTAAACTCGTTCATTGGACTGCCACACCACACACCAAATCCAAAACCACTCTCTGCCTCATCGTTAGGACATACAACTTTCGAGTCATCATCTCCACTCTTTGGAACTCCGGGCACGTTATTATCCATTCCACTAGGAACATCACATGAGGTCAGCACTTCACATTGGTTTAACACAGAGCTATCAACATTGTGCGCGGAACTCACACTATTATAAGAGCGATTCCCTTGATTTTTTATGACTTCTTCATCAGCTTCACTCACAAAGGTCTCAGATGTAGCGACAGTGCATGTTTCGGCAATTCGACCTTCTTTCTCTAGGCAAGTATTTTTCAACACGTTTTCCTTATTAAGCTCTTTGCCAGCTTTGGTGTCATCCTCCTCTAGAAAGTCACCCATCAAAAACGGTTCTATCAGTGAGTCACCCCCAAAGCAAGCTTTAGGTGACATAGCCGACAAAGCCTTTTCCGAAGAAGAAAACTTGTCTACGTTTCCACGCAGATTATTTCTACACGATTTCTGAGATTCCTTGTCGGGTTTTATAGGAAACTCGTCAAGTTCTACACTTGAAGGCGATAGGCTTATCTTATCTAAAGCATCTAAAGAAGGAGGAGTGGGGACTAGGTCCATTGCGGAGACAAAACGTGTCCGATAGAGCTTAAAACCCTCATTAAAACCATGAAAATCAGGGGTTGCAGTGGGCAGAAGATTGGACAGTTCATCAGAAGCAGTATCAGAAACACAGCCGTCCTCAGACTCGTGAGCACGTCCTGCTCCCTCCAGCATCACTGGTTGGTCGTTAGCTTCATTGCAGCCTTTTCGTAGCATTATTTTGTCAGCCTCGGCCTCTGAAGTTTTGTCGGTTTGTTCATGGAGTTCTCCTACGTCAAGTAGGTCACTCTCCAGTACTGCATCATCCCGGTTTCGTAATTCATCTTCCACTGACAATTCTTCGCTTGGTCCTACGCCTGCACTTGTGTCATCAGATTCGAAATCTTCGTCTTTGTTATCAAACCGTTTCAGGTACTCCTTCCAGCGCGCTCTATTCTCGGGCGATCGCCTCTTCGCTCCTTTAACATTCCTCTTCCCTCCACCTACCCCATGTTCCTTACTTACGTCTTGGCCGCCATCTTCTGTATCAGCCTCACTCTGCATTTGCAATTTTTTTCGAGTCTTCTTTGCTTTCTTAACATTTTTCCTTGTGACCTCGTTCTCCTGGCAACCACCATCGTCATCAGCAACACTAACCTCAGCGAGAGAGCAATCTGTTTGCCCAGGTTTCAAAATGTCATCCTCGTTCAAAAAAGATAACATTTCCAGATCGTAGCTTTCCTCTCCGTCCGGCCCTTGACCGCCATGAAGTTCGGTAAACTCTAAAAGCTCTACTAAATGTTGCGTGCGGCGAGAGTGTGTGACAGCCTGAACAGGTTGTAACGTTGTTTGCCAGGGAAGCCACTCTACTAGTGAAGGTTGCGTGACAGGTTTCTTAGCTGCTGACAACGAGCGTCTTGATCTCTTTGTGACTGACAGTTGAGGTGACAGACCTGCCTCGTGATCTGGAAGTTTAAAATGTTCCTGCCAGTAAACTAGCTCTTCGTACGTCAAGAAGCCATCGGTTTTCTTTGAAGTTGTTGTCGCCGATTTAGTAGAAAAGCTTTTGATGTCAGCGCCGTCGGAAGACCGCCCCTTCTTTTTGCCTTTGCTGCAAGCAACAAAATTGTCTACAACTTAGTTCAAATCTTCTAATTGATACAAAAAAATAGTTGCCTGACTAGCCATCTGATTAATAAATAAAAATCCACTGAAGTAACAGAATCGCAAGACATATTTATTTAATTAAGGGATTGTTAAGCAACGTCTCCTGCATCTTCCAACGCATCGGCACAAACAAATTGCGAGACAAGTTGGAACAAAAATGCGCTGTTTAAAATGGCGTTTGGTTGAGATAAACGACGTGTAGAGCTTCCAACAGCGAATAAATGAACAATTAGCGGAATCTCGTCATGGGGAGACGTAACAAACCTCTGAGCTTGAAATTTTCCAACTGTCATTTCCATTTTTAGCACTGTAGGCATAAGCTGCCTAGGAACCATCCGAGGGTTATCCGTGTAAAGATCAAACGACTTGGCAGCCTGTGTCACAGCTTTGTGAATTGACTTTTTACTTCTTTGACTCTTCTGATAAACCTGTAAGCAACAAAACAATTCTCAGCAAGAATCTTAACAGTCTGCTAGCAGGTTCTCTTGTAAAGGAGTTTTGTGCGAGTGGAAGAGTCGCAAGCGTTTTGCCCGCGTGGTGTAGCCGCGAGAGGTTTGCTCGAGTGGCGCAGCCGCGAGAGATTTGCGCTAGAGGTGTAACCACGAGGAGAGCCGGTTCGTAACTCATCCGAGAAAGCAAATGCCAAATTTGGCACGAAATCCCAACACGAGAGTCTGTCCACAAGATAACATCGCAGCTTCAGGTTACTTATTTCAGGCTACATTTATTTTGCAGAGCGGAAGGTCGCAGGGTCGTAATATAACTGGGGAAGTGAAGACGATACTGCTTCTGCCCTGCAAGCGGCTAGACCTTTGCATGGCTCGGACGATCCCCCGAAAAGTGAGAATTATTTCCCTTCAACTATAATTACAAAGCAGAAAAAAATAATTTCTACTTAGTACCTGCTCTTCCTTGCCTTCAGTAACGAGTATCACTATTCGCCCGTCTCTCTTTCGACCTGTTCGCCCCATTCTCTGCACCAGGCGGATAGGAGACGCATGTGCATCAAAGCAAACAATGAGGTCAACTTCGCCAATATCCAGACCCTCCTCGCCAACACATGTGGCCACCAATGTGTTATAACCGCCTTGACGAAACCGCTGTACAACCTAACGAAGAAACATTTTTCGTAATGGTGGTTGTCATACCTTGTTCCGTCTTATAACATGGCATACTAAGTGGTGACTGAGTAAAACTTAAGTTATTTTATGCAGGACTTACTTGCCCTACCTAAAACTTAGCTTCCACAAAAATTAGCATCAATATTACCAATCCAATGGAAGTGAGCGCCAAAGGTGAGCTGAAGCAGCGTATTGGGGGGCGTAAGGGGGCAGCTGCCCCCCCGGACCTGTTGAGCCAGACACATCAAGCCTGTGGATGGATTTGTTTTCGTTAGACTCAGTTATCTTGATTATAGTGACTTGCAATTGTTTGCCATTTTCATATTCGAGGTCGATTTTTCGGAGACATATCTCATGAGAAGTGCTGAAAATAGCGTTTAAGAGCCTCCAAATTTGAAAATGTTCTGGTGGAGGATACCCCAGACCCCCACAAGGTTCTTGCCTTCGGCACTCGCGATAATGCCCCCCCCCCCCCCCGCTACAAAAAAACGTAGCTACGGCCCTGCAGAAGCTCCAAGTCTGAGTGGCAAACGTCGGAAGGGGTAGAGGGAAGGAGGGGGAAAGGAGGAGAGTTAGGGCGCTCTCTTTTCCTTTTCCATTTCGCATTTTTCTCAGTGAATGAAATTCGACAATGAGCTAAAACAAGAAAAACAAGATCTCGAACAAGGTGGAAAAAGGAAGGATTTACGGTCATTTCGGCAACGTATTAGGGACTTTAAGATTCAGCGACGCGACGGCGACGAGAATGTCGGTTAAAAAGTGAATTTGCGTTCCTTCATTCTTGAGGTGACTCGACCCAGTTTTTTTGAGGGGGTACCATCCTACTTTGAAGCTCTCTGGTATCCCCACCTTTACTTTTATCGTAAGTCTAACACATAGAATGGATAACATATAGATCAATCTACAATATAACATAAAATTTTTGGCGATCGGAGTAAATGTCACGTGGTTATAATGCCACGCCCCTTTGAGGTCTGAGTCGAAAATCTGCTGTTGCCGGCATTTTTTCGTGAAAATCTCTCGGCTACACATAGTGCGCATTAGTGCCTTGCGCTGAGGAGAGTTTCACCAAAATCGCAAAGACCCAATTCGAGAAATTCAGCGGTTTCCAAATTTAGGTCATAATTTATGCGAAAATGATAAGCAAACTTTACACGGATTATACCTAATAAACTATGAGATTCATCCCTTTATTTTGGGCATCGTTATAACCAATGGGGCCTTGCAAGTCAGCAAAACGCTTTAGGGCCTTGTAAATGCGCGCGATTTCGAGCAAAGCAAACATATAAAAATTATAGTTTTCGCTATTTGTTGACGTTTGTCAGCGTTTAAGAGTCCTTCTCACGAAAAAAGGATTTTCTTAAAAATTCTTAGTTTTTTTTCCTTCAAATTTTTTCAGGGCCACAATTGATTAACTAACTACCCGGACTGTGAATTTCATGGTCATTGAAAAACTGTGACATTATCTTCTATAAGCCCAAACTTGAGTAAACAATGAAGATTTTTAGCGTTTTGGCTGAGTTTGTGCTTTGGGAGTTGTCTATTGTTTCTAGTCTGTCATTATACAGCATTCTTGTTCCGCACGCGTGCAATGACCACGCTTGGCTGACTTCCGAATGCTCACCGAGATATTCCCGTCACGAGTTGGTTTAATTATTGGCTTGCATTAAACCTATGAAAAAATGATATTTTTGTAATAGTAAGTAGATTTAGTGTGTAGCACTTGTTGATTTTTTTGCAAAGGCGCAAGAATTGATTAAAAATTGTTAGTTAAACCTCTATGTATCACGAGATGGCTTGTCTCACTGTACCAAATTATTATATCTCGGTGAGCATTCGGAAGTCAGCCAAGCGCGGTCATTGCAAGCGTGCTGAACAAGAATGCTGTATAATGACAGACTAGAAACAATAGACAACTCCCAAAGCACAAACTCAGCCAAAACGCTAAAAATCTTCAATGTTTACTCAAGTTTGGGCTTATAGAAGATAATGTCACAGTTTTTCAATGACCATGAAATTCACAGTCCGGGTAGTTAGTTAATCAATTGTGGCCCTGAAAAAATTTGAAGGAAAAAAAACTAAGAATTTTTAAGAAAATCCTTTTTTCGTGAGAAGGACTCTTAAACGCTGACAAACGTCAACAAATAGCGAAAACTATAATTTTTATATGTTTGCTTTGCTCGAAATCGCGCGCATTTACAAGGCCCTAAAGCGTTTTGCTGACTTGCAAGGCCCCATTGGTTATAACGATGCCCAAAATAAAGGGATGAATCTCATAGTTTATTAGGTATAATCCGTGTAAAGTTTGCTTATCATTTTCGCATAAATTATGACCTAAATTTGGAAACCGCTGAATTTCTCGAATTGGGTCTTTGCGATTTTGGTGAAACTCTCCTCAGCGCAAGGCACTAATGCGCACTATGTGTAGCCGAGAGATTTTCACGAAAAAATGCCGGCAACAGCAGATTTTCGACTCAGACCTCAAAGGGGCGTGGCATTATAACCACGTGACATTTACTCCGATCGCCAAAAATTTTATGTTATATTGTAGATTGATCTATATGTTATCCATTCTATGTGTTAGACGTACGATAAAAGTAAAGGTGGGGATACCAGAGAGCTTCAAAGTAGGATGGTACCCCCTCAAAAAAACTGGGTCGAGTCACCTTAATAGCAATTATTCCTACCCACTTACTTTGTCAAATGTAGGCGAACCCTCCTGGAGTTAAATTCCTAGGAACCATATCCAAGATCAGAAAGAGAAATAACATTTCGTCATTGCTTGTTTACGTATTCTATAAAACGCGAAATTAGGCATTTTCACGTCGTATTCGTGCAAACACGGGGAAAGAAATGTACAAACGAGCGTGAAGCACGTGCTAAGTTGTTGTTTCGCTTATGAAACCTATTGTTTTTTTTTTACGTTCTCGTTGCCGTGCGCGTCTTTGAATCTGAAAGTCCCTATTAAGTCGTTTCGCCAACAAGCAAAGTCAGTTCCCCAACTTGGTAGGGAGCGACCTTGATGGAAAATCTCATTAGGCTTTAAGTTAAGAGATGCTAGCCACACCTGAAGTTGCTCCTTCTGTGAAAGTCCTCTGGAACTCTTCCCTGTCGACTGCTGTCCAATAAAACTCATGACACGCACTAAAGGCTTGTGTTGAGCTAGCAAAGCCGCAATTTCGTTAACGCTGTCTCTGTACTGCGAGAAAATCATCACACGCGTGGTCACACCCTTGGAATCAGCCCCACTTTTATCCTGAAACGTTTGAAAATGCTCCAGAACAATTTCCTTAAGTTTCATCAACTTGGGATGACTCTTAAACGTTGCGCTTGGCTTGGGCACGTTCATGAGCGCGCGTCTCCTAGGAGAAAACTGCGAAAACAGAAGACTTTCATTGGCGTTGCTCTCCATCGGTGGCTCAATTTCTTCTCGCAGTTCATCCATGAGCTGCGAAAATTCGTAGTTCTTGGTGATTTCTGTTTTGGCTCGTGGCATACCCTTTGTGCCGTCCATGATGCTCTTGATGAAGTTGAAGAAGGACAGGATTCCATGCTGTAGCAGGAGTTCATAGGCGTGGTACAGACTGATGCACATGGCAAAGTCCGCTTCAATCCGACTCTGTTGGTTACGGTCCTGAAAGAAACAAGAACGTTAAAGTTATAAAAGAAGCTATCCTTGATAAGTGGTCAGATGAAGCTTCCACATTCCGTGCACTTGGCGCTGCAACCGTAATGGTACTGATGAGGAAACATTTAAAAATCAATCATCTCCTAAAAGTTTCTTTTACAATTATAGAATTAAGGGCACCGATGGCCAGCCAGATACATGGTCATCTCAAAGTCAGACATCTGACGAACGTCTGACTTTCAGCCTAGAGGAAATCTTTAATTTAAAGCCAGACGTTAACAGTTACTGACTTACAGCTCTTTCCCCTTCAAGCATTACATATCCAACACCGAAGAAAAAAATGCAAAAAAAAAAAAAACACATGTTCATTCAAGTAAACAACCTTAAAAATTTGAACATCTCTTGGGACTTTCCACAAGAAGTATCAACGAAATAGATAGTTTTTCTCACCATTCCTCCTTGCTCGTTCATCCTTTTTCTGAACTGGTCTCGTGCACTCAACAGAAGAAACTTAGTAACTCGCTGAGGATCTCTCTGCCACAGAGCTCGCTGACAAAACAGCCGACTCACCACACCTTCCAAAACCTGCAGTAAGAGGAACGTTTTGAAGCATGCTGTCACAGTACAAAACGAGTTCAAAACCAGTAATTAAATGAATCATGCCCTTCCACCACGAAAGTTGTATATAGAAATACAGTGAGGGAATGATTGCAGGCTACTTTCACTGGACACTTAACACTTGTAAAGAATGTTTTACCGTGTACCAGTATTCACTTATAAGAAGTAGAATGGAGTTGAATGTACAGAAATGCCAAAATGTAGGTTAAGCAGAGAATCTGCACATCCCCCTAACTATACCTTCAGATATGAAGCCTTAATTTTAGATATATCTTCTCCAAGAGAGACGACCACCTTCTCCACCTTTCGACTGTGTGTATACGGCTGAATATCAGGTGATTCTTCGGAACGAAGCTCCATGTGAGAGATCAGCAGATTGGTGATGACTTGCTGTACAGCCTACATCAAAAAAAAGAACACCCAAAAAGTTATAAAGCAAAGTAAGGCTTGTTTAAACTTGTTTTGTGGTAGACACTTTGATATTGATCGCAATGTTTTGACCGTGTACTTCTGGTCTTCATCAGGCGATCAAAATGTCATAATCAAACAAGCCTATCTAAAACATCGTCATATGGCACTACCACTACTTGGTCCTCGAAAAAACCTGAAAAAAAAAGAGTCTATACAAGAATGCTGCCAAAGGTGAAAAATATATCCCAGAATTACAAAGCCAACAAAATTTAATAGTAAGCTGTGTTAGTTTTGAAACGCTCTTTTGTTCATTTGTCCTATAATATTTTTTAGTTGCTTTAAGACAGTTTTATTTTTAGGTTATAGAACGTGATTATATGAATCGTTCTAGAAACATTTCGTAGGTTTTCACGCTTATGTCATGGTGCGGTACTTTCCGCTAGGAAACGCGTAAAGCGTAGGTACAGTTTTGCTTAGTTAACGCCCTAGACATAATACACGTATCTCTATTATAAAAGAGGCAACGCAATACAAGAAATTATAAGTTATCCCGCTATCATTGGAGTTGCTATCAGAAGATATTTTGCTGCTGCCAGATTGCTATTTTTTGCTACTTTTGGTGCGAGTCGTCGACCAAAGTAAGTCTTTTATTTTCTTATAGTTATTTAGTACTGTAATTCGTGGAACTATCAAGTCTTTATGCTATCTTATGAGGAGGACATTGATTTGAAGACAAATCTGCTGGAATCAAACAGGATTGATTATCGTTACTGTTACCAAAGTATTTTATATAATCTAGTTCCTTGTTTTTAAGATAAGTTCTGTTCAAGCGGAATCTCTACGATATAGTTTTTTGATTGTTTTCACACTGAGAGTTAAATGTTATTGTCTCGGTTAATTAGCTCAAGTATCAATTATCGGATTTTTCAGTTGTCTGCTTCTTGCATCATCGTTTTATGTCGTTTAGATTATTCTACCTTTTAGTCCTAATTTTATAGTTAATCTAAGTAGTTCGTATTCTTTAATTATCGCTTTCAGTTCGAACCTACGTCTAGCTACGTTTAGCTACGTCTACGTCTACGTCTACGTCTACATCTACGTTTTGTTACGTCGTAACTAGGCTACGAACATTGCTATTACATTGAATTGTTGTACACGCGACTACGATTGTTATGAACTCTAAGGATCTGTCATTAAATCTGCTTTGATTTTCTATCACATGGAGTTCGAATCATCTATCGCCTCGCACCGTGCTACCCCTGTTTTTGTTGAGATTTGGATTATTCACCACCTCCAGAATTTCAGCAATTACAAGCTGTGTGACAGCTTAGAAAAGGTGACCACAACCATATGGAACATAAGAATTGCACTATCTAGACTGGTTTTTCATGATGAGTGCTAACATGGATGCCTACACATGGGAGGCCTGCATAAGGAAGCCCGACATATACATACATAAACACATTGGTGAGGGATAGTAGTCTAGAGAATGTTAAAGATCTCGAAAGTTGTAAGAGATATTGAGCCCTAAAGAGTCAGTTTTCATCTAGTCATATTCTAGGCATCGACCAGAAATAAGAAGCAAGTTATCATACAAAAAATCTTTTTATATGCAGAAAGGAAGTACATGTACATGTACTTTCATAATTTAGTACCTCAAGATCATCTCCAGGTGTTGCACTGAGAGCTAGGACTCGAAAATTCCTGGTGTAACCAGAGACTTCACGAACAACCTAAATAATTTGAAACAAACAGAATTTTTAGATGAACTCAGTTTGTTTTTTATTATTTCCAAGTTTGAACATTACCAGAAAGAATGGCTAACATTTCATTCTTTTTCTTACTTGACAGTATGCATGGTTCCCAAGTGCCTTGTGTGCTTCATCTGCCACAAGGAGGACAACTTCTTCTGCTCTACAAGAACCTCGGTTTAAATCATTCTGTAAAACTTGGGGTGTGAGAAAGAAAACACGCCGACTCTGCCACAGGGATTGTCGTTTATTAGGGGCCATGTTTCCTGACAGGAATGAAGAAAAAGAGAACGATTAAATCTTTGCCATGCGTTTAGTGTCCTTCATGCAAGGAGCCCTGTTCAATACCTCTTGACAGAAATACACTGTAAGCTTATATTTGTCACTATACCCACAAAGCCTATCCCACTCAAGACACAATAAACACCAGAGCAGCCTATTTGCAACCCCATCATTAACCTTTTAGAACTGTCAAGCAATCAGGATCCAAAATTTAGTATAGAAATACAGTGGTCTAGGTTGGCTTATTTTTCACTCACTCTCACATTGTAAAGAATCCAGGACATAGGAGAGCTGGTTCTTAAATAATTTAATTGATTTAATTTCTCAAGGCCATTCCATATTCAACAACAAATTTCAGTCACTTCAAGTATAGTTTGCACGTGAACAAGAAAAACATTTGGAGTGAATATTTTTCATTCTTTAAGCCAAGTGGGTGAAACTATTTACACCTTGAAAACTTGGATCAAAATGACCTGTATCAAAATGACTTGTATACAATTGGTGACAAAATTGTTGAGACATTGCCCTCAAATAGGGTAACTTCAGAGAACAAAAGAATCGGCGCCCCTCCACTGTCCCTTCCATTCAAAGTTGGGGTGCTTGTTGTTTTCTATAGGAAGCTTGAACATCGGCACATCATCGCATGGAGCAGATGGGGGAGGAAAAGCTGTATTTCCTCCTTTTGAAGTTAGTAAAACGTACAAAAGCCCAGTTTTGAACGAAGTGTCTCAACTAATTTTGCCACTGATAGTAGAAACGACTTTGTGTGGCCCTCACCTGTCATCTCAGCTGTATCAGATTGCGGAATCCCCATGATATTAAAACAAGCTTCAATTTGCTGTGCAACCAAAGGTTTTGTGGGTGCCATAAAAATCACCTTCCCCTGAGGATACCACCTGTAGAAATTGTACATCACAACTGCTGCAATAAAAGTTTTTCCCAAGCCAGTTGGCAAAGTCACTAAAGTGTTTTTATAAAGAGCCTGTTCTACAATATCATATTGATAATTCCTAATGGGGTAATTTGTAGGGTAAATCCAAACATTTCCAGCTTCAAGATCGAAACCAGGAATGACTTCAACCTCGTCATGATTCGTTAAGATGTCAATTGCCTGCCGAGCGGTGGTTGGAAAATTGGCGGCGTCGTTGAAAGGTGGGATTTCTTCCGCAGCAGCTAGTAATTCATCATCATCATCCTCTCCCAGGTCTACGATATTATTTGGATCAAAAGCGCTGTAAACTCCGTTTTGAGGCTGCAAAACCCTGTTTGTATTCGCATTTCGTGAAGAGGAATTCGAATGTGCCTGGGCAGCTGCTGAATGTCCCCAACTCTGAAAGAGCGTCGCCTGTCCCGCTTTGGATTTCTTCATCCCGCATTCTTCAGTAAAAGCCCTCAAAGAGATAGCAAGTTTATCTTGACTGAAACAAAGGATTGATAAACGTTTCTTTCTTCATATTGCCTCACATTATGGTAAACAAGAAGAAACGTAATGTGGCACACCTGGAGGCCGCCATGTTGATTTGTGTACAAAAAATTGCGCGCTACAGTCATGTGATCAAGATTGACCAATCACTGATAAGAAAAGCTCGTAACCAGTCTACCTCGTTTAAACTATTCGTTTGTTGACAATGACCGACCAAAAAATGCGAGATAGTATTCGTCCGAGAAAAATCGAAATGGAAGCTTTCTAGAGTTGAAAGCCAAATGAAAAGAAATCTTTCAGAATGTATGAGTAACCAAAAAGTTGGAAAATTGGCGGCGTCGGAGACCTCGAAAGTGATTGGATGACACCAGGGAGGATTATGAGGTGTCAAGTTTCAGTTTACGCGCGGCCATGGCCTGATGCTTGCGCTCAGAGCTATGGTAGACATGATTTCTGTTTGACTTGAATTGATCATTGATCTAATTTGTTACTCCTTGATTGCTTTCTACCGGCCTTCTTCCAACTAAATGTGGACGGACGTCCCTAGTTTCGGTGCGCATTGAGGAGATTACACTGTACAGAAATCTTTCGGCTTTTGATCAGCGCTTCTCGAACCACAAGATAAGCTAAGGTTAGGTAGAACCATTGGAAGGTAAGCTTGTTTTGAGAAATCGTGCGGCAAAAACTCGGTTGCAGGCACTTACGTGGTGCGTATTCTTGGATTGCTGCTGAGCTTGTTTATGGTAAACAGGTTGCAGTAAGTTCAGGTAAATAATATGGATAAGAATAGATATGTACACTGTAACAACAAGAAGTGTTCTTGGGGGATCTATCTGTTAATTTAAGATGGAATCCATCAGGAAATTAAATAATTTCAACTTTCAGAGAACAAAAACCTTGAACCAGAATAATTTAAATAATATCGCATTCATTTTTACATTTTTCAAGGGCAATGGATATTTAACAATTATTCCTCGAGCGCGATTGGGCTCTGAGTCAATAGCCCATGAGGCCAAAGGCTGAATGGGCTATTGACTCAGGGGCAATGAGAGGGCGAGAGGAATAATTGCTTTAGTAAAATCCAACTTGTTGGTCAAAAATGTCAAGACAAAACAACTTTAGCTAGCAAAACGCGATTCAGCCGCCACTGTTTTGGTTTTCAAAGCCGGGGCTTTTTGCTACTTATAGCCTAGTAGTAGCTCAACCGTTCAGAACACAGCATTGATAATAGACCACTAGCTGGATTTTACTAAAATTAGTTATCTGTTATCTGTAGTAACACCAAAGACTATTTCTCATGGGATCCCGCAAAAATGTCAAATTCATAAGAATTGTGAAAACACAGGTAAGATTCTGAAAATTTCATGAGTAAGATGTCATTTTGTGAAATTTGACATTTTATTTCTCAGGCTCTCATAAGAAATTTTCTTTGATGTTATTACAGATAAGTAAAGGCATCTATAGCCCTTGAAAAATGAACAAAAGAATGCGATATTGTTAAAATTATTATCCTTACAAGGTTTTTGTCCACTGAAAATCAAAATTACTCAATTCCCTGATGGATTCCGTCTTAATATTTCACATGTATGCATGATCATCAGAAAAATCTCAATGGAGTCCTTGGTAGCCTGCACACAGACACTTTAAACCTTGTACACTATATGCGATACGTGGGCCGGCTTCACCGCAGGCTAAGTCCTTGGTACTCCTTGATTTTTTAGTGCATCTTGAAAAGTACTTGAAATTTTATGATAGGCCCCTCTCCGTTTAGCAAATTTCCTTATTGGAGAGCAGTATTCAATTAGTGTTCTAGTTCAAATATGCCATTTCAAACTGCCACTCTCTGTTACGTACTGTTGTGTGTTTTTAGATAAGAGATTCTGATTCTTGATGAAACAAGATTTAGCTAGCTAGGTTCATTGATCATCAAGAAAGACGTCAAAGCTACATGTACACAATGTATAGAAAATGGTTTACAGATTTAGTGGTTTGCATTTTTGTGTTGAATATTGATAATGTTTAGCTCTATAGATAGTGTCGTAAGGAAAAGCCCTTGAAATAAATGCCTTTTTCTGGCATTTACTTTATAGGATCAGATGGGTGTGAATGAACTCTGGAAGATACTGGAACCAGTTAAAAGAAATGAAGACCTCTCTTCACTTCGAGGCAAAAAACTTTGTGTGGATTTAAGTTTCTGGATCTGTGAATTTCAGAGTGCAAAGGGGCTGCAAGAAAATGTCCCCAGTCCTCATCTCCGAAATCTTTTATTCCGAGTTCTCTATTTATCAACAAGATTAGGTGTGAAGCTGGTGTTTGTCATAGATGGAGAACCTCCTCAACTAAAATGGAATGCTATAGTAAAGCGAATTCAAGCCAGAAATGGGGAGCAAAGTGGACATTTAAGCCCACCAGGTGGGCGAAGAATTGGGCGATCACACTTTGCACAATGGGTCAATGAGGTAAGTTCCCCCTAGACTGGGTCGTAACAGTTATCATATATACAGTGACAGTTGGTAGAGTGGGTTGGATGTATAAGCGACTTAAAACCTGACAACTTGAGTGTAAGCTTTTTATTAGAGAATGGTGTGATGGTAATGATGATGGTAAGTTTTGCAGCAGTACAAGAGTACTACAAACTCTGGGTTGAAGAAAAAGACACATTTCAAAGACACTGTTATGTACTTACTTGACACTTTTGCAATGTTTTTAGTGCTGCACTCTCTTAAAGCTCTTGGGAATACCTTATATCGAAAGTCCAGGAGAAGGAGAGGCTCTCTGTGCCTGGCTTGATCTCCTCGAGGTAGGTACCCAAAAAACACCAAGCCTTTTCTTTCCATGTAGACTACCAAGTTATAGTACAAAAAAATTGGCCTTCAGGATTGATTCTTAAGATTTAACATAACAGAGCAGTTTCTTGTACACCTGACTGACCAAGGGCTAATGGTTGATAAGAGTACTGTCCATGGAAATGATGCGATGATGGTACAATAATTTATTTCTTTTTCTTTTTCTCACATGCATAATGTCCTTAGAAACTTCAATGAAAATGGACATCAAAAACTGTGAGTGTTATTGTCAAAACTGTTCAGAACAATTTTCCATCGTCTATACTCTTATCCACCATGGAAATGGCGTAAAAATGTTCCAAACTTTGCAGTGAAACCACTTGCCCGTGGCTCTTGGTTCCTTTTGCATTTTGGCCCTTTTTAATGTTATTTCTATGGTCGACAAGAGTACAGACCATGGAAAATTGTTGTTGATTTGTTAATTACTCAATGCAACATCATTTTATGTTTTTTAGATTGTTGATGGCTGTATTACCAGTGATGGGGATGCATTTCTATATGGAGCCAGAACTGTTTATAGAGATCTTCCCGTCTCTGGGAAATCGAAGGTGGGTCTTTTTTGCCATTTTTTTTAAGTGGGAGCTGAGAGAGTTTAAATTTTTACATTGCTGTTTGTGGGGTCCTTTTTCTGTTACACTGTTACGCCTTTTTGTTTTATTTGGTATGATTCTCAGTGCTCGACTCTTAGAAAAAAATCTTGGGACCAGCTGGCCCCCAAGTTTTCATTTTTTGTCGCGAGAACAAGTATTCTGGTCGCCAAAAATTATATTAATGGATTTAGTTTTGTGAAGGATAACGGATTATCGATAGTGTACGTTTTCCCAAAGAAGAAAGTCATCTATCTTGGGGGCCAGGTTGGCAACCAGGCGTGAAAATTTGGTCGCCACTGAGTAAAAGCTGATCGCATTGGCGACCCCACGGGTCGCAACGTTGAGCCCTGATTCTACTAAGAGTTACCAGAAACCTTCCAGGACAAGATTTGACTTAGAGATTTTTTGGATATTCTCAAAGAATTAAACACAACAGAAAGCTTCATTTTACCTTTTTTTCCCAAGAAAACTTGACACAGTTATTTGTATTGAAGGAGGTTAAGCCCTCTCTGTTTTGATACGTGCCGAGTACCAACAGAGATCACCATACAATCTCAGTACAGAATATTTTTTAATCAAACCTTAAACTATTGATCAGTGAACAGAAACATGATACATATATGATAAGCTTACTTGAAGTTTGATTGACGTATTGCAACACTCTCCCTATTGCAAAATGATGACTATTCTAACATGATTCCTTGTCTCCATCATGGCAACGTTCTCTAAAACACATAGTAGAATGACAACGGCTATCACATTTTCCCACCAATATGATGCTGGTTCATATCATATGCATGCAGTACGTAACTACTGGTAGTACTGAGAAAATCTTGTTCTCGTAGTCATCCTCACAAATCAGTCTGACAAATGTGGTTCATGTAGGTACATGTAGCACTGCAAGCCAGTATAAACAGTGCATTTCAACTTTGCTTATTCTTTGTTTTCAGGGGTCATCAGTAGACTGTTATAGGATAGAGGAACTCGAGTCCCAGCTAAGTAGGTACCTTTACTAAGCAGTTACACAACTATGATAATTATAAGTCTTATTATTATTGTAATCCACTACCTTGGGAACTGCATGTAAAGCTCACGATAACCATGTAACCATGCTATGAGAATTATTTGAGGTTGACCCAAAGAATGGCTTTGGATAAAATAGTTTTGACCTTAAAGTTGATTCGACCTGTTACATTATATATTGCTTATCACGGGAGAGCCCAGAAGGTTCTTTGAAGACTGTTATCTCAGGATTGCAGCTGGTTGGGCTTCCAAATACTTTGCCCAGGCTACCAGCCTCCTTCTGGGTAACAGCCTTAACTAAGAGAATTATTATTAAGCTGATATTAGTATATGGAATTATATACTTCCCCTCATCTACCTTGCTCCATTTTCAACTTCACCCTCTTCACGCTGTCACATAATGAATTAAAGTGATTCTCATTCATGTACATGTAGTTCAGACATAAACACAATGAACTTGCCCACATGTATTATCTTTATATATTTAGAACTTTTCGTCTTCCTAATTTATGTAGATCTCAACCGAGAGAATTTAGTGGGGCTTGCTGTGCTTCTTGGTTGTGATTATCTTCCTCAAGGAGTGCCTCAAGTTGGAAAAATAAAAGCCATGGAACTGATTCAAAATATCAAACCTGACAACTTAGTTCAAAGGTAGTATTTGCATCTGTTAAGTGTACAAATGTGACAAAAACAATAATGATGAGCACGTACAGCTAGTATTTCATTTACCTACACCAAGCATGACAACTCATACAACAATCTGAACAAATTTTGAATGAACAGTCAGATTACCATCAAGACCAACTTCAACGTCTTTAAGTCCAGTATTATCTCAGGGTTGTTGTACTGGTGTGAAACCTGACGGACTGAAGCATGTGACTCCTTTGTTATTAATATCATTAATACCATCCTTAAAAGTTCCTTTTTTAATGAAGGTTTCATAAATGGACTGCAATGGGGACATTCTCCGATCAAGATCTTTCACGCAAAGAGAAATCTATAAAATGGTGAGATAACAGCAAATTATGATTGAAGCATGAAGTGTACTGTATCTCTTAATGTAAGGCAGAATTAAATTCAGTTGAAGAGTTTTGACCTAGGTTGATACTCAGTTTCCTTTGTCTTGTAGCCCTAATTTATGAACTTTTAGGGTGGGGTCAAAGAAGAGTCCACCTAAGTGTAAGTTAACACTTTTTTACCTGAATTTAGTGTGGATTTATATCATATCCATTGTTTTTATTTTCTGTATGCAAATATTCTACTCCTCAGAGGTAATTTGCATGCACATGTAAAGACAATAACCAACAATTCACTCATAACTTTTGCTCTACATGTAGATTAAAGAAAGGACTGTTCTCGTAAACCAGTTCTACCAATCAAGATATCTTTCATGAAATCATAGTGATTAAAAGCACTCATCAATTTGTCGCACTTTAAACCTTTAATGTCAGCTTGAACAGTTATTGTACAGTTTGTGCTTAAAATACAACTTGCAATTAGTGGAAGACCTGAGTACAGTTTATTCTGTGTGAGAAAGAAATGTATGTTTCAGTAGTTAAACATTACTGTAATATTATTTTTTCAGTAAAGCCTTGAAGGACAAGAGTTTCCCACATCCTAAGGTAAATCAGAGGATGAAATTAAATAAGATACCTGTGTCTGCTATACATGTCTAACAATGTTCATGAAACAGTGCTTGGTGCACTTATTCTAAATTTACTATTAATATCTATTTTTTTATTTTAATTTATCATTTTTTATTTAATATATTTAATTTTTATTTGTATTTATTTATTTTTACTATTTATCCTCGGAGATATTAGCATCTTATTGCTATCTTTTAATTCGAGGATAACTAAAAATTATTGATTGATTGATTATAGTCATTCTTTAGAGTAAGAAAGGATATTAACTGTAAAGTACCTGAAGTAAACTATATAAGAAAATAAGGAAAATTGACAATACGCGGTATTTTCACTGCTACCTAGTAACCTACATTTGTATGAAGTTAAAACTGCTTTGAAATAAATTTTAGTCAATAAAAGGATGAAAACAGTGCTTGCAACTCATGATGTGTATAATGGAAACGGGGCTGCCAATTTAAATCACGGCTTTATATTTACATCGAACATGCTTTGTAATCTATCATAAAGAGCTTTCTTAAGAAATCCTGCTCAATGCATTTCTGTAATAAATTATTTTACTAATATAATTTTATGCATAGGTGATACAGGAGTATCTGCAGGATCCTAAAGTTCCACAACAATTTTCTTCCAAAACATTTTGTCCAGATATCCAGAAACTCCAGGTGACTACTTAATTCACAGAGAATAAATAATAAATTTAAAACAAAAAGACTGAAATTATAAATACACCCAAGATGTGCCATTATTAGTGGTTGGAGGGAAAATAATCTCCATAAAGTTTTATCATCAGATAAAGCTTTATATAGGTGAAAGGACATGAATTAAAAAGGAAGGGAGAGGTAACTTAGATAATCCACAAAATGTGTGGCCTTAAAAAAAAACCTTTCCAACCCCTTGCAATCTGAGGTCTCACTAAAGCACTATGGAAAGCCATTGAAAATCAAGAACAAAAATTTCCTTCAGATTGGCTCAATAATTTTCATCAGAATCAATCTAATTATCTATGGTAAAATTGTTTAAACCTCACACAACCTGCAATGCCTTGATTTGGTATCACTGAGGGCTATCACTTTAACCGTCAGTTCTTTAATCTTTTGTGCGGTTCATTTAAATATTAATAGGGTGGAAAAAATAGAACCCGACCATTTTTCATAGAATCTCCATATTCTTTTCATGAGTCTGCAGATTTTCCTTTATCAGGGGTTGGAAGGTCTGCCTAATGACAATCTTAGAATCGCTAAATGTTGTGATTCTGCTTCCTGATCTTTGTCTTTTCTTGTTGTTTTGTTTTGTTTTTGCTGCTGAATATATATGTCTCATGTCATCGTTCAAATATATTTATATTATTATATTACTGGTATATACCTTGTTACATATATAGACTCATTACTAATAGTATTTATCATGTAGTGTGATGTTTTTCTGTTCCGTCATGTTTGAAAGGAATTTTGTCTCAAGAATTTAAAGTGGAATGAAGAAAAAACAACGGAAAAGGTATGAATATGGAAAAATGAATGATAGCATACAACTAAAACGATAATTTTTGTTTTGTAATTAGTTTTTATTATCCCTTGCAGATTCAACCATTGATTACATACTGGCAAATGACATCATTGCTTGAAAAAAACATAACAACCTTTGTCCAGCCTGAAAAGTAAGTCAATAAACTGTAACTAATGGTTAAAAGATTAGAAATGTTGTGATTCAATTTTATCCTTGGTTTAATTTTTTTTCTCTTTTGTTTCAAACTCAAAAACAAAAGAAAATAAAATTTAAACCATAAGGATAAAATTAATCCACAGCATATAAATGAAATTAGGGCTAGGACACAAAGGAAATTGAGAATCAACCTGAAATCAAATTTGACCTGCAACATGTATGTTGTAGTTCAATTTCATATTGTGGAAGCTCTCCTAATGGACACTCTCGTAAGTGGACAGCTCTACTTACGGCCACCTTGACAAACCCCATTTTATTCAACTACCATGCGAACTCTGTATTTTTTCTTTCTCGTAAGCTTCTACTGTATGTTATAAGCTATCCCACAGTACTTTTAAGCAGTTGACAGACTCCAACATTTTATGCTTAATATAAGCTTATAATCATTTTTGGTGTATTTTTTTTTTCCCCAGGATAGTGAAAGCTCGAGTCCAGCAAAAAGTAGAGTGTTATGAAGTTGAATGGAAAAACTTAGAACTAGGTGAAGCATGTCCACCATATTTTGTGACTGTTGAGCCCAGAGAGGTGAATGTGATATTAAACTGTTATAAACAAATAAACTTATTGGTTGTTAATTCACCAAAATAATATCACAAGGCTGTGCTCTAAGAAAAATTGAAGAGAGACCAGTGCTCTGAACTTGTAAAATCCAGGGAGCCCAGCATATGATTTGCATGAAAAAGGTAAGATTTTCTAGTCGCCCAACAGCAAAAGTAAGGTGCCACAGGCCACTTAGTGCTGCTAGAGTCACAGCTAGCCCTGGACTCCCGTTGTACAGTTATACCCTCCTTGTCTTTTGTTCTGCTGGGTTTTCTTACATGTATATAGGAGTCCTTTATATTGGGATTTCACTGTGACCATTGATACTTGCCAATTATCGCACTTTAGGCATCATTTATTGAGAGCAAAAATATAACCCTGATCTCAGAAGCTTGTGGACCAATTTCTCTTGCTTGGTAGAAACATTTGACTTATAATGACAACATTGGAACATTTTTGAAACATAATTAAGTAACACGAACTATAGAATCAAAGTAAGAAAGCAAAACTTCACGTGAATATAATTCGTACTTATACCAGGGGTAAATTCGAGACTTTGCGAGACCCTGGACAAAAAAATTCGACACTGAAACTTCAAAATCTTCCAGCCTCCAGGACAAAGAATAACCTGAAAATAAGACTTTAAGACCCACCACAAAAGCTTCCGGGATTTCAAGATTGGGCAAAAATTTTCCGAGACCCACATTTTTCGAGAACTGACATTCCATGCCCTTTATAACAAAATCTCTAATTTTAGAAGTCTTGAGAACTTTGGGTCTCTTTGGAATGCCTTCAAAAGTCTTTGGGCATCTTTCCTCTATGAAAAATCCTGGCACTCACCCTGGTAGCGAAACAAGAAAATGTAATGTCTTTGTCTACTTTTCTCATTATGCTTTCTTATGAATGTACCTTTTTTTTTGTCTTTTTTAGCTTTTTGCTCAGGTATATCCTGATCCTGTGAAAAAATTTAATGAAGAACAAGCTGAACAAACTTCTAAAAAACAGAGTGAGTATAAGAAGAGTTTCAGGTTTTTTTTTTCACTTATATCACGTGTTTCCAACAAGCACTAGCTGTTCTTTTTTTTTCCCAATCAAGTTTAAAATTTGATACCATTGCATGCTAGGCCTGCCGGTGTAATTTTTGGCCAAAACAGGTCTAAACGGCCGTCCTGTCCCAGGCTTCAGCCTATGCAGAAGTTAGTTCCTAGAGGAGAGAAATGCTTTTGTTCTTGACGTAGGAGGGGAAGGGGGTGTTCGAGATCACGGAAAGCTTTGCTAATCAAATGAATTAGTATCGTGAGCTCAGAAGCGCTTTCCTACAGGTAGGGATCTTTTTGGTCCGATTATAGAACAGTTGTTAAGATAATTTAAACCTTGGTTAGCAAACGTTCCGCGCTTAGTTATTGCTGTTGGGTTTTCTAACATACTTTAATGAACAAATAACTCACTCAGGTTTAATAATTAGATTAGCCAGACTTGCGCTTGATATGAATGCACTGACCAATACTTCCTAGGAGAAAGGACCGGAAAACTTCAACTCCTGTGACCTCACTCGCTGTACATTTGCTTGGTTTAACTGCTCGTATTCCTAATGACATCTTCGTCAGGTTTCAATCATACTTAGTGCACAAAGATCAAAATACCGAAAATCTTAATAATGCTAATGAAACTTACAGAGCAGATGATGTCGTCCAGGTTCCTAACTTATAATCGCCTCCAGCCTTAATTCTGTTTTACAATATGGATTCAGACTTTTTCGCAGGCCGTACTCTTCGAAGCCGGCTCTCGACTATTAACGAGCCAGACTGAGCATTTTGAGCTTTGGCCAGCGACAAATCCGATACCAAGTTCTTTTTGACCAACAAGCGGATAACTGCCGATCTAAATCTTCTGTATTTAATAGAATATATAATTGGATTGCAGCAACTGTTTGTAAATCCAACGAACATTGCCAAGGTACCGTATGGGCCCCTTACTTTTTCTCCTGTTCCAATCTCAATAAAAAGCAAAATGCAGAAGGGAGACCAGCAGATGAAGTACACCAGAGTCACTGTTATTAAGGTTACCAATCCCTTGTGTCGGTTCATTTTGTTAGCAAATTTAGTTTGCTTTGTTTTATGAAACAAACCAAACTGTTCGATTTCGTTTCGTGATTTCTGATCCTCACCACTTGCAACTTCTTGGGTGCGCTGAAGCTGATTTCGAATAACGCGCCCGATCTTGAAATAGACGAAAACCATAGACAACAAAGCTATTCCATATGTGCCCGACACAACGGAGATCGCGAACGCAAAGTTCAAACCAAATTTGGACCAATCCTTTGCCTCACAAGTGCCGATATAACTGATGAAACATTCGTATGAACTCACTCCAAATAATGGCAAAAATGCCCATAAAGCTGAATACAGCCACATAGCCAAACAGAGAAAAAGAGCCCGCGATTTTGTCATCTCCATCGGATAATACAGTGGCCGGGCAATAGCCATATAACGGTCAACTGAGAGCATCATAAGATGCATTATAGAGGATATGCAAAACAGAAAGTTTCCAAATCCATTAAGCCTGCCCCATACATGTCCACATCGCCACTTGCCTGTGTTAACAGCGTCCAGCGCACAAGGCATCACCAGCGCGGCTACCAGAAAGTCCGCTATAGATAGAGAAATCAAGAAATGCGAGTTCGCAACGTATCTAAACACGCTTGAATACTTTATAACGACCACCACCACGACGTTCCCAATGACTGTTAATACAAAGACGATGGTCATGAAAACCACGATTAGAATTTTCCATGCTTGCGGAATGTTGACTAGCTTGATGTCGTCTTCGGTCTGCGAAGCTCCTTCCGTCAGTGGAAGTGTTGTGTTCATTAACGTTTTCTGTTGAAAGTAGAAAATCAAAACTCGCTGTTTAGTTGTTGTATTGCTTTACTGAGTTGTGTGCTCTCGTTTCATTATTATTCTATGAGTTCGCTCTGATGTTACCTTTTTAAAAGCCGAAGTAATGCGAAGCTATTTGCATATAAACACATGAAGGGCGGCAAATTACAGAATCATTACAAAGGAGTAATACACCTGATTAATCAACACAGGTTATTCGTCAGGATAAATCATAAACATTCATTTTTAAAAGAGAGCAGTGAGGGTTTAATGATCTGCTGTGTTTTCTTTGCCCAATATTGTTCAATATTTCCTTTCGTTGTAATTTGCAAGACAAATTCAGTGAGTCTCATTTTGTCGGCAAAATTTTTACAGCTGTCGAGGAAAACCCTATAATATAAAAACCTTTCAGTGAGACCCTTTCGTAAAAGTTGCATATTTGTTTAATATTATCGACCATTCTAACATAAAATCCGAAGTTTGTTTCAATTTTAATGTCGGGTACTAATGGGAGAGGGGGCAGCATGAGTAAAACTGAGAAAGAACTAGCTTCTCTAAAGTTGGTCGAGCAATGTTACTTTAAAGTACTTGGGGTGCTTTTACTGAAATTCTTTTGGATAAGGAATTCTTATAAACGTAGAAACCCGTCTGGTCCGTCTGCTAAAACACAGATGGTCAACCCTACCGAAGTTTGGCGAGAACGATTTTTACATATATTCACTCTTTACTTCACAAGTTAGTTCAAAAAAGCTATTTTTTCTCAAGGCAGCGGCCAGGTGCGCCTGTCTTGCATCGGGAGAAATGGTCGGACATTTACGCGTATCAATGAGCCATTGAAGTGGGCTGATCAGGCATGAATGTGCCAAGAAAGCGGCATAATAATAGAAAAAACGGGCGATTTTGGCGGAGCAGAGTGACTAAAATTGTCATTTCGGTACTTAAAAAGATGAATTCTTTAACATTATAGAGCGGATTCTTTAAGTTAATGGATTTAAGTAAAGTAAATTAGAATTGGGTGCAGACTTTTAACACTGAAAATCAGGATTTTTACAGTATTTTCGGTATGGAGAACGACCCTTGTCCAGGTTAAACATCGAATTTCTTCAAAAATAATCACAAATCTTCAGATTATAGAGCGGATTATTTAAGACAACGGCCTTACCTACACGTGAAAATTTGACTCGATTAAGTTACAGACTTTAAAGTTTGAAAATATAAAGTGTAAAGTTAGCGCGCAGTCGGAGTGAAGTCATTGTCTTTGCAGTCTTTGTCGAAATAATGGTTGCCCTGAAAAAACAATACGCAGTCGCTTTGAATAGCTGACAACATTGAGAAGCCAGTCGCGCGCGAAATTTAAAGACATCAAAGCACTTGCGGCTTTCGTTTGCTTCTCCGACAAAATTGCTTTCAAGATATCTGATTCACGCTTTTTAGTTATACAGTTTCGGTTATGTTATAAGATCAATTAGGGTCAGACTGGGTTATTGGCGGTTTCATCTGCGCGAATGTGACCATTTTCGACTCTGTTTTCGACTGAAAATTTACATAGAGCCTCCAATTCTCTTTATAGAGCGCGGTTCAACTTTTACAATAAATATTTCTTGCTATCGTTGTCTATATCAAACGTCCCTCTTTTTTGACTTCAGCCTCTTTATTTCGCGTCCCACCGGTATATTCAGGAGACTAATTTCCGAAGCGAAAGGGCCTATTCTAAACTTCGAACTGATCACTCTAGTTGTGCGTTATCTTCGCCCACATGTAATTTATTAAAGGGAAACTGACTTCTTTTTTGACTCCATTTTTTCTCTATAGGGTAATCAGTCAGAGCTCCGTCAAAACTCTAATGCGAGGAAACGAACTAAAATTTTCGACTCATCTTTAAGTCAGCTATCTGTAAGGAATAATCAAAATGCGTAAAGGTGTGATCTGGCCTCACAAAAGGGAAAACAACAGAGAGATTGGGCTACTGTTAGATTCACCCGCCTACTTCACGATGAAGAGTACTGCCGCGCGTTCATGGTAACCAATGAAAAAGACTCCTGTTCAGCGTTTTAGAATAACAATAAGCGATATGACAGACCTAGAAGCTTTCACCGACTGTAAGTAAATGTCCCCCAGAACAATGGCCACTTCTCCCGATCGGGCGGATGTAAATTCTTCGAGAAAAAACTCTATTGTATTGATCCCCAACATTACCGCCTTGTCACGTGAGTGCAAAATAAGAATTGTCGTATGCGTTCACCAAAACTTTTGCTGCTTGTGTTCCTGTTCGCTTTTATTTTTTTCACTGCCGCTCATTTTCACCTTGCTGGCCGCTAGCGTTTCTCATTTGCTCACCGCCGCTATGAAATTTTCGTTTTTCTTTCAACGAAACTCGTCTCTTTTGTTTTTAATCACTTGCTCTAGCTCTTTCTCTGTTATCCACGTGAGTGTAGACATGAAACAAACTAGACTTTGTTGTAGTTTTTTCTCTCTAACAGTCCGGGTGGCCGTGCGATTTCCCGCCCAAAAAACCCTCGAGTTGCATTTAGGTTGCCATACCTGTTGATTGAGTTATGTAACATTGGTAGGCCTGTGGTGTGGACGGACGGGCGGACGGACGGTCACATGACTTCCAAACAGGGCGGATAAAGGTTGGGCGGTGAAACGAGCGCTCCGCTCTTCATTTAATGTGTGATGCGGAGTAGGACTGGCACGAGCGCTCTTTCCGCGCTTCCGGTGCGCTTGAAGGCCGGCGAAATTTTCCTTTTTGCAAACCGGAAATCCTATTTTCTTTCTGTAATTTCAGGCTACAATGTTAAATAGATAAATTCGTTTCATAACAATATCAATAAACAGTTTCATATGTTTGTGACTGTACGCCTATAGGTCAAACTTGTTGGTCGTATAATGCCAAAATTTGAGTTTAATTTGAAAGTGTTGAATACCTCCTCCTTCCACTAAATATCACCTAATCGTCTTTCACCGTTTCGTTTGCAAAAGCTTAACACTTCTTAACCTCAATTTTTAAATATGTTAAAGGGGGATAAATTTTATACAACATAACAAAAAATTAGATTGATATATATTGATATAGTGGCGTTGTACTTCTTCAAACTTTGCTTCTCGTTTGCAACGCGACATGGCGATTCGCGCAATGCGTTGCAAATCCGGCAACTGAATGTAAACAAAATTTATTGAGGTTAGTTGTAAGGTTTTTTCTCCGTTTTTCTCTCTAAAACAAAACAAGGTAAACAGTAAAAACTGAGGGGAAACTAATTTTGAAGTTTCGAAGAAACAGAAAGACGTATGAGAAGTTTTTTCAAAATTAAAAAGAAGGATGATGGTGATTGAAATTAGCATAATTTCACCTTGCACGAGCTGCACGCATTTATAAAATATACGTCATCTAGTTATGAAACACGATCTGCTGTCTTTTAGTTTTGCCATGGATGACATGGATGAGATTTTCCTTTGTGCTTTAGACAGTACTTAGTTGTTTTTGTTTTGGAATAACATCGACATTGGCGAGTAGCAGAACGAAAATATAATTCAGTGGTAGAGTCATGGAAGTAATAAAAGAAACCCTTTGAAAGAGATGTTTGTCTACTCCAACTAAACCTCCCGCAAAAAATAGCAACATTTGCCTCTCGGAGACAGCGTACCAGCACAAAGGAACGAGGAAGAAGTGCAAGAAAACAAATCAAGGCGCCATAATTCAGTGACAGCGGCAGTGTCTTATGTACAAACCACATCGCAAGCCCCGACCGAAGTCGAAGACAAGCAACATTTCTAAACATAGTCCCAGTCCACTGCATCACACCTTTTTGCTCGGACGCGCTCGTTTCACCGCCCTACCTTTATCCGCCCTGCTTCCAAATTTTCTTGAATGCATAGGTAATCAAATTTTTCTACCCGTGGTGCTACGCGGCTCGTGCGAGAGCTATAAAAGTTAAAATTTATTTACAAATTGTTTTGCTTTTGTGCGCTTTGTTTACATCAAGGTTGTACCGAAGCTTATAGGTGCCATCCGACATCCAACATCCGACATCGGACATCCGAGATTCGACATCCGACATTCGACATCCGACAACCGACATCCCAGATTTGACATCCGAGATTCGACATCCGACATCCGACATTCGACATTCGACATCCGACATCCGACATCCGACAGCCGACATCCGAGATTCGACTTCCCACATTTGAAAGGATGGCCGTGATGTGTAGTGCCTGGGATCAAGGTATCTACGTAGTGAGGTTTGAAAGGAAACAATTCAGACTAATCTGGTTTTGTTTAATATTTTTATCATTTTGCATTGTTGCGAATGCGTATTACCCCGGTATGCTCCTTCATTAGGAAACGTGCGGCGAAGTTGTATCCTTTTCAGGTCTGTACGATGAATTTAAACCATTTGCTCTTGCACATGTACTTTTGTGCTTGTAAGTAATATGATAATTTCAAGACATAGCAGGCTTTAATCCATTAAGTTTGGAATGTTTTAGGGCCTGTTTACATGGAGGTCTGGGACCCCAGGTAGGTGAGGTAACCCGCTAAGGTGGGGTGAAAAAATAACTCCCCTTTACATGCCACGCCATCCCGGGGTGCACTTTCTCGAGATCATTGAATGGTCGCTAAGCACGTAAACATGAAAAATGCTGGCAAACCACGTGTTTTAGCGATTAATGCTCTTCTACACTCACTTGCTGTTGTTGCTGCAACCTTCAGTGCTGTTCTATTGTTACCTTTAATAATGATGCAAAGCCACCGCCAAAGTGAATTTTGCGCGAATTTGATGTATCACGAATCCGACCCCGGGCAGGCGGGTTACCCCACCTTGAAACGTCTGCATGGCAAAATTTGACCCCGGCTGAAAGAGTTACCCGGTCTGGCCTCACCTAAACGGGTTACCTGACCTACCTGGGGTTCCCCACCTCTATGTAAACAGGTCCTAAGACGTGGAATGGTTCGTTAAGAGTTGTATCCCAAGGGCTCTCTCGTCTGTTCTTGAAAACTTTCGCCGCCGTTTTATCGGACCCAACTAACCACCCCTGGATCTCCGAGCATGTATCATAGCAAGCGCAGATGACAACACTCTTCTCATTCCGGATCTCCCTAACTTTTAGAGTTTTCTCTATAGAACACCTGACATATTTTATGTTTATGACACACAGTAAGCGGTTCAGCGCCTCTCAAAAACTCGAGGTATAGGTTCCTTGAACCAGCGTGCACAATGAGGACATGTAGCACACTCGCGGTTTTGAATTTGATTAGGAGAATTTTGCTGTGTTATAAATCAGTTAAATAACAAAGGCCGTCTCGTTTCTCTCATAATGGACTATACATTAAATTAGACAAGAGACGAGAGTCTTATGAATACAGTTCAGTTTCCAAGTTAACCTTTTTTTTTGCCTATCATTATCGTCACGAACCACTCACGTTATGTTTTACAGTGTATCTTCGGAAAGTCAGTGACTCAGATCAGTTACTCGAGCCTAGCCATGAATATGGCCCCCTACTTTTCGTTTTTTTTTTCTTTTTTTTTCTGTAAAATCTTCGGCAGGTGACAACACTTTCACATCTCTCGTTTCAAGCTGATTGTTCTGTAAACTGCGTTGACAGTGTAAATCTAAGAGTTGAGCTTACTAGAAATCTTCCCTGCTGATGGAGTGTTGAAGTTATTCTCAAGATCGAGTAAAAGGTTAAGAATTATTTATCAACCTTCCTCACTTGAAATCCCGCACTTGACAACTCCAGAGTCTTGTTCAGCGCCTGATTACATGAGCCAGGCTGGCTTGGCTGGCTAGCCTCGTTTATGGGGATCACGGGACCTCAGGCACAGGTACCACAACTAACTTTGTTATTTCTTGACCACTAAACCAGCTTGCCAACTTGACAAAAAGACCCAACCCTGCAGACAGAGCGAGCCGGCGCTCCGGGGTCAGGTAGTGAGTCCTTAGTTGTGCCACGCTTTGTTTAGACAAGTTTTCCACGTGAATCTAATCAGTTACACGGTTTCTAGCCAAGTCAACAACGATGCAGGTGACGATTATCTTGGATATGTTCAGTCGTTAGGTGTTATCAACTGTAGTTCTCTTCCATAAAAAGGTTATTGATATGCAGGTGAGGTGAGATTTTCGCTGAATTACACATACTTCAAAACGATATTCTAATTGAATCTGCCCAGGGCCCTAAAGAGATGTGGCGCTCACTGAATTCAGTTTTGGGTAATAAGAAAGAAAACTTGGCATGTCAAGTGCAAGACGGGGAACGTATCATATCAGAACCAAATGCCGTCGCCTCTAAATTTAACAAGTTCTTTGCAACCACTGGATGTTGCATCGCCAAAAAATTGGGCTCTGCATCGAGGGAAGAAGTGAAGAAGTACGAATCTGTTATGCAAGCCGATGGTGAATGTCTATGCGACCTACAATACGTCAGATCTGGCGTTCGTTGAAAGTCAACAAGGGAGCTGGATTGTTCAAAATACCAGCCGCCGGTATTTTTCTTGTTTAGGCCTACAAACAAAGATTTATATTTTAAAAACTTAAAAATGGTCCGACCTCCCGTGCAGTAAAGTGGGTACTTACCTGAATTACCGAGAGAGAATCAAATTTACACTTTAGCATGTTCCAGACCGAGAGACAAGTAAGTGGAACCTGTAAGCATTATTTTCAATACGGTCATTCCGGTATACCGGCTCTTGGTATACCCTATGATTGATCAATTTTGACCGTTCACGTCAACCGTGTGAATAGCTTGACTCAAAGAAAAAACACTGTAGCAAGCGTGTGAAAACCTCCTACTCAGCACTTTTTGACATTTTAAATTTTGTCATTTTGACATGAGAAAAGGTTTTTCTGTTAGATGGCGGACTGTGATATTTGTAAAGATGCTTACAGGCTTTTCCCTTCTCTCTTCCTACCGTTTTTCCCTTGCTCGTTTTCTCATTGCTTCCCCGCTTTTTCCGCTCGTCAGCACTGGCCGAGCGGCCTGGCACAGGCTAATTTACACAATTCAGCTATTATTTTGGGACAGGATGGCAGTTAAGAACTGTTTCAGTGGTCAATATTGGACAAGGTGGTGGAGTTTTTCTTTAAAAAGGTTACATGTATGTACAGTACCTACTTCTTCTTTGTCATCGGGTATATATCTTTTGACAATTTTTTTTTTTCACTTCTTCGGTCACAGAAAAATCCAACTGTACCTCCAGAACAAAGAATTCAAAACGTGAAGGTTGGTGAATTCCCTATACAACCCTTGTTTTATACAGTAAATAGTTTAAACCTTGCCTAGTTCCTGCATGGCATCTTCCAAGCCCTTCTCGGGCAATGCACTTCATAGAAGGTTAGACCACCTGATCCAAAACACATAGGCCGCGCGGAGTAATGAGGCCTAGAGACTGAGGCAAGTTTGAACCTAAAAGTCGTGTGATACGCCCCTTCCATATGTCCCATAATGCACCTTATTTGCCCCCCAAAATTTTGCATAAGCATTGTTTTTAATTTCTCTTGGGACAGCTGTAATACCCAGGAGAAATGAAAAACGAAGGGTTTGCAAAATTTGGGGAGGGGGGGAGGCAAATAAGGTGCATTATGAGAAATGTGGAAGTGGCCTATAAGTAGGTGGAGCATGATCGTCCAGGTGAGTGTGGTTCTGAATAGGACTGTTGTTGAGTCTGACTGGCATTTCAACAACCTATGCGGTAGTTATAGCTTCAGGGCTGTGATGTTATAAAGAATACAGGATTTGAATAATCAGTTATACGACACACCTTACCATTGATCCGCTGATACTTATGGAATCCTGCTGAAGATTTGTAAATGACAGTTTGGCATTGAGAGAACCATTCGCTCACTTATTTTAGTGTGACACGGAGATATTCATCTATCCATCCATCTATTCATTCATTAATTTATTCATTCGCTCATCTATTTTTCCTGTTTTTTTGTTTGTTTTTGTTCTTTTTTTTTTTCGTTCGTTCAAGGTTGGACTCGGTCCGTCCACTACTGAAATTATCATCTTTAAGAATGACCTAGAAAAACTAGAAAAGTTTGTGCTGTGTAACTGTTATTTTAAAACCATCATAGAGTAATGTCAGGTTGTCTTTTTTTCTTTTTCTAGGAACGCAGATCACTCCTAGAATTGATTCCTTTTTCAAAAATGTGTAAGTAGATCTTAAAATCACTTTCTTTGTAACTTATAATTGTTATTTTTTCTTCAGTGCAGATTGATTAGTGAGTACGTAATTATTGTACTTCAAGAAAAGAAAATATTTTGTTTATTTTTTGCACGTTCAATTTAGAAAACGGAAGAAAGAATCAAAGCAACAAGAAGTTGAGCAAGGAGTTCCTGTAAGTGTTATCATGAAGCAAGAAATTCTTTCTTTTTTGGTGTTTTTCACGTAAAAACGAAAAAGAAACTGGGTCGAGTTACCTTTCTCAAAGACTTTTGGGATCGTTACTGGAGATGTGCTATTCAGCTATTTGGGGAATTTTTAGAGCCAATGACTTGGCCGCAACCAGAACGTTAAAAAAAATCAACAGGTTTAATAAGCAAAACAATTTTGCACGCGCATCATACTTTTTTGTACAATGGCTAATCTCGCGTTTTACAAGCAACGACGAAATTTTATTTCTCTTTCTGAACTTGGATATCGTCCCTTGGAATTCAACTTCAGGAGGGTTCGCCTACATTTGACAAAGTAAGTGAGTGGAATAATCGCGATAAAGACTAAAAGAACGCAAATTTTCTTTTTAAGCGACGTCCTCGTTGTCGTCGCGTCGTTGGATCCCTATTGGCCAATTTAGTGGCGAATTCTAACCTTAACCGCCCATGTTGAACCACGTCCCCTGTACCACTTGTGAGGTCATAAAATTTAACGATCGCAGGCAACTTTGTCACCTCACATTTTCAGGGGAAACCTGGATAGAGATTTTTTAAACCACATCCAAATGAACTCGATCCAGTCAAGCAAACAACGAAAATTGCAAACATTTACGTAATTCGAAGGAGGCAGACGGCGAATGGTCGTTACTGGAAATATTTATACGTCGTAACTGTTTGTTTGTAGGATGCGTAAAATGTGTGCAATTCCACAATGCGTTCGGTTACATTTAAACCCGAAAAATCCCTTTTCACTGTACACCAGTACTTCCTTAAAAATAATAGGCCACTTCCGAGTCCCGAAAACCCTCATTTTCAAAATGATGCCAAGTGCACAACCTTTCTTGTGAAAATGAGTTTTATTTGCGTGAGAATGAAAAATCATTTCCATATCAAAGGCTGAGCACTTAACCTCGTTTTGATAGAGAACCCGGGGGAACTCAGAAATGGCCTTTTTCACTATTAACGGGTTTCGTTAAAAATTTCACCACCGAAATGAACCCTAGTACAGTGTAAATGCCCATCAAAAGCAAAATCGGGAGGAGCAAATTAATCGAAAGAAGTGGCTTCTGTGCATCACCAGAACAAAAGAAACAAAAATCAGCGTAAAATGACTCGACTAGCTCCAAACAACATTTTTCGGTATAATCTCTCGGGACAGGTTACATAAGGTGAATATCCGTGTGAGTCTTTAATGAATCTGCTAAAAGTCAAAAAACAAATAAGTAATTTTAATATGTATTATTTTAGAGTGGAGAACAAAGCGAAGTTATTTTAGAGACTCCAAGTGTCAAAAAATTGAGGCTGACCGCTAATGGAACAAAAACGGTAAGTTAGCCATTAGTTTACTTTTAGTTTAGGTGCCGCTCGAGTCCGGTCCGAGAAGAGATCGGAGGAGACTGAGCACGAGCTTATTTCCCAAACAGCGGCTACCCACGGTTATTGAGCGTTTGTTACATACTATGAAGAAATTCAATTCAAATTCGTGTTCTGCGCGAAATTTTGGAAGCTCATCTGCTAGTGGTAATGTGTCGTTGGTCTCTAACGGACGACTGCCATGTTTCAACAACTTGTTCCAACCGTTTTAGTTCCGTTCTAACATGGAAATATGGTTATCTTTCAGACTGCGCTGCAGCCAACAGAAGAAGTCATTGTGATTACAGATGACTGACTGGATCGTTAATGGTGCCATTCCACCACAAAAAGAGTGCCCTAGAGGAAGTTAGGGATGATAAGGGCCGGGTGTATAGAGTCTGTTCACGTGACTTCACGGCGGCCATGTTGGTTTCTCTCGTAAACAGTAAAACAGCAGCCATGTTGGTGCCCAAACCAGTCCTATGGGAGTAAACGCTTTCTTTTGTCGAGATAATCAATATATATTTTATCAGAGTCTACCTCTGAGGAAACACAAACGATGTCTTTAGTCATTTTCTTAAACCGCCGCTCGGTAAGCTCAGCTGGATGAACGCTGGTTTCCGGTTTGCCGGTTTCGTTTTTACTGAGAGCAGCACCTAAAACGCTCAAAACGGGTTCTTAACACTGAAATATGCAACGGCTTGTAAAATAATGACTCCACAAAATTAGAAAAGTAGTTACTTAGGTTTTATTCATAGTTGAATATATAAACTATTGTAAGGTTTTATTCAGATTTTATTTATAAGTTTTATTATTAATTTCGAATTTTGACTGATTGTCATAAAGTGGTAGTTCATAGGAAGTGGGGTTTCCAGACATCCGGTTCGGCTTCCTCATCACTTAAGTTGTGTTTGCGTTGTGCTAGCCCTTCGCTAGTCTGCCACACAGCCGTTTTTAGTGTCGTCACGCAACGTTGCGTGACGACACTTAAAACGGCTGTGTAGCAGACTAGCCCTTCGCCTGTATAGCAAGCGTTTCTGCGCAAGTTCATCGAGAAAGCTGGGAAGAGAGCAAAAAAGAGAAATGAAGGGGGAGGGGAGGGGAGCGGAGGAAACTGTCTCCTCTTCTCCCCTCCCCTTCTCCTTCCTTTTTTCCTTTTTTTTTTTTTCGGATATCTCGCTCCAACTTTCGCGCAATAACTCGACTGGAAAGGCTTGCTACGAAAATACGCTAAGTGATTATTTACAGGCAACTTGATTGTTACATCATATAACAAATAAAAAAGCCAAAATGAACTCTACTTTGTGTTTGTGATCAGTATTCTTTTAATTAACGGCCATTTCTCAGGTGTCCTAATGCGCCCAGAAAGTGAATAAGAGAATGCGTATTTTCAGAAAACAAGCGCCTGTGGAAAGAATGAACACGCTGATGTTCTTCGAAGATCCCTTGTGTATTCCTTTTGAAGGTTTAAGTCAGCTCAAGGGTGCTTTCGGTTGTCCTGTTTGGATTAAGTCGCGTCTGTGCTTAATTCAGACAATCCTTTCTTAATACGGAAGCTTCTGTTAGTGGTCTTTGTGAATAAAGTTAGTGACTTTTAATCTGGAACTTTATTATCTTCTTTTTTGTTTTGCTATAATTTTTATACCGAGTGAGCAAGTAGTATGGTGCCAATCCGATAGTAACTAGAAATGAATTGGTGGTAATAGAACTTCCTAAAATGTCCTTGATCTTTAATTTCGACCATAGTTTATTAGTAGAGGAAAGCCGGCAACATCAAAGTTGAAAACAACGCTGCTTCCTAGACCGTACATAATCCCTTGTTTGTCACAAATTGTGACTGAATGAATTAATGCGATGTTTCTATCAGTCAGAAAGTTCAAAATGATTGGAATGCTATTGAACGTTGTGCACAGTCAGGTCTAAAAAAGGCAACAAAAACATATAACAAAAGAGTTGAACGGGTTTCACAAAGTCAACCTTTTAGCCGAGGCAGCACTTTTTGTTTCTCAGGTGAACGGTACGCCACTTTTTGTAAGGAAATGTTTGAAAAGATGGCTCGCCCAGGGGAGCTCGTGGGCGCGTGAGCCCTCAACCCGGGATAACTTTTCTCCATATAATAAATATATAAGTCAGTTAAATCAGCAGACTGCCTTGGTACCAGTCCTCTTTGTCCACCTCAATCGCTGGCGGAAGGGTACAAATTCCCCGATCGAGGGTGCGGAGACCCCTACTCATACCATGTTCCACCCCTGTTTCTTACACTCTTCTAACTAGTTGAGTTTTCGAAATGTGAGCTAAAAACCAAGTTAGCGACCTCTGAAACATGAAGATTGACATCGACTGATCCCACGGAAGAATGGCGGACTTTGAACAGTCTATCAATTGCGCCACTTCCGTGTACAATTGTCTCATACCTTTAGAAGCATAATATGGTTATAGAGTTAAATAGGCTTAGTAACTGAGGGAGGTCACTGACAGCCCAGTGAGAGGTTTTAGTCTCTCAGCCTTTCTTGTCTGATCTTGTAAGATTCTGATAAATTTCGCTTATGTATAATGCACGACCTCTGTAATCCTTCATTTTCTTTTTTCAACAAATTATGTTTATGTATAGTTCATACGTACGGGTGATAAGTGAGTTCACTTGACTACTGAGTGTAAACGCTTGTCTCCTCGCATGTCTCCCTCAAGCGCATTCCGTTGATTTCCTCTAACGCCCATATTTCTTTCCAGCGACTACTAAGGCTAAATATGGCCTGAGCAGCCCGGGGACGCAGCTAAGGGAGCACGGTTTCCGTGCTGTTTATTCTGCTCGATATAAAAAGTTGTCAACCCCCTGTACGCTCAACCCTGCTTAAAGACAGAGAAGGATCTTCATCGATCGACCGAAATTACCAGGTACACTGGGGACTGATTAAACAACATGAATAGACAATATAAGGACGAATCAAGGATTGACAAAAACCACGAAGTAAAATGATCTGAAGTCACGTACAGTATAAAGTGTTTCAGTGTGGCTACTTGAAAAGACAAGATATAGCAGAAAAGAAAAAAAGCAACACTAAACCTGGTTAGTTGAACAGATATAAATAAACGAGATGAACTGTAATCGTTCTCCATATAAATAGTATTTAATTTTTATTAATATTATTTTTTAATTTTCTCTTATCTTTTCTAAGTAGCCACACAGTCATACCAACTTTATCATATATAATATTGTACGTGACTTCCGACATTTCTGGGGAAAAAAATCTTGAAGACTGGCTTGACCAGTCGAAATACTGTAACTCGAGTGTTTTCAGACTTCTCACGTTTTTTGATCAGTCCCTGCAATGGTCTTTTAAGCAGTCATTCCGATGACATGCGATGACATGGTCCGGGGGGTACTCAAGAAAGTTGAATGCGGGGACGCTCCGCCCCAAGGTCCAACCCCTTAACATTTTATATACCATTTTTTACAGAAAAGGTACCCTTCGTATACCTTCTATTGACAAATGGTACCCCTTTCACATACCTAGTTTAGAACTTTGCATCCGTTTTACTGCTGTTACTGCTGTAAATGCACTGGCTTTCAAATATGAATAAATCACAAAACAAAACCATCATCATCAAAATAGGCCATCATGGGGTGTACCCCCCCCTAGGTGACATGGCTCTTTGATGGGAGTGAAGTGATTCACGGCGTTTTCAATTTCAAATTATAGTAGTCAAAACATTAACACGAAATGAGAAAAAGTTAGTAACATTGTAACATCCCTAATTCCCTATTCAGTATCTTAACTCAAATAACCCCCCGGGACACTCGTCATCAAATTTTTTTGCCCCATGATTTAACCGACTTCTTCCCCTCCCCCCCTCCCCATCCACCCTGACACACAAGCAGCTTCCAGGATTTGGCATACAGCGCGAAATTTGAATATTAAAGCTCGATAAATAATAGGTCGTAACACAAATATAAATAACAGGCTCACTTGTGCGAATTCGAGGACATTATTTTTGGCGGCGCAGCTGCCATCCGCCAGGAAAAGTAGGCATCTAACTTGGCATTAAAACTTACTGCTTTCAGTACCATAGAAAATTACAGCTGGTTAAATAAAGAAGAGGTCCTATCTATAAACATAGGTAAACGATTGACGCAATTCTTTTTTCAATGTAACTTTTACTTTCTAGCTGAATAGAATACAGAATCTTAAAAAGTAAATAGGGTAAAGACTATATTTCGGTCCAAAGACAAAAAAAAAGAATATATAAAAAATTTGTCCAACATCATCATTAAATTTTTGAATTTATAATAGATTTTTAAAAAATAAATCAAGTGATTACGTAACCTTGCATTTCCCGTTCTTTAGATCGTATGATTTTATCCCATACTCAGGTATTGAGCGATATTTGAAACAATCTTAGCAAGTAGGTAATGGTTTATTTCTGTAATTTTTCTTCTCCAACACTGCTCATTTTAATGCTGACTCAAGATTGACAATATATGAATCACAAAAAGAAAATTCGAAAGCGTCGTATCCTGAATTGAATTAGTAACTTAACGACAATGGAAAAATATATAAAATTATAGAAACGCTGAGCATGTGTTTTCGTTTCCATATAAATTTTCCCCTGGACATGGCGGGCTTTCCCATGTAAAATCAAAACCTTGACAATTACAGCTCTTTTGATTGGTTGTCGACTATGTAATCTTTGTCCTGATTGGTCATACGCCCGCTTGGTTATTCAAAGGTACTTGAATTTGAAATGAAATGAACGCTCTCGAAAACTCGATCGTCACGAGTGCTTGAATATGTTTGAATGAACATGCCTCAAAACTCCTGTCTTGAACTTTCCGCAGGAGTTCACATAGGAGGAACTAATGTCGCCGTTTTCCTGACCCACTTAAAAAACCGCAAGGAATTTTTTTGTTCTGAGATAATCTTGTATTTCCTTTCGCTGTAACGCCATCGTCCTTTCCTCACGCGAAGGGCACCTGATAGGCAAATTGATTCGCTCGTTGCTAATTTAATAGCCCCGCATAGCGGACAGAATTGGAATCACTTGGACAAGACTTTTGCTGAACTTGTCATCCAAGCATGTGATTGTACACACGAGCAGTTCAGGTTGACGAAGAAAGAGAGCCGTTGTTCGGACGACAACAACCAGTTGTATGCTTGAATTAACACACTACTGATTCAATATGGGTTATTTTGGAACTGCACGGATGTCTTTGATCCTCTCAGCTTGTTAACGACGTTTTATTTGGATTTGCTACTGGTTATTTTATTTCAATTTGCTTCGAACGTCTAATCGAAGGCGCCGATATACGTTGTTCTACAATGGCTTCATTGAAAGTAGCCGTTCGTGCTCGCCCGTTAAACAACAGGTGAATTCGTTTGTTCAGTGTGCTTTTTGCATCGTTGCTTTCAAAATTTCATTAGTTTTGTGGAAAAATGAAACGTTGTGTAGCTAATCTCACTTTTTTTGTTCATCATGCAGGGAATTAGAGCTCGGTTCTAAATGTATTATTCAGATGGAGGGTCAGAAAACAACAATTTTCAACACTAAGGTAAGGTTGTTGACGGCGTACCTATAAATTATTACTAAAGCTTATTTAGGGAAGTTAACGTTTGTGTCTGTCTTTTAACCGAAAGTGAAATAAGCTGAAGTCATTAGCGCTATCCCCAAAAATTCCGTGTCATGTGCTGACGTGATTTTATATTTACGTGCATTTCGTAGAGATCTCCTATTCTCGAAATCTGCTTGGTTAAGATCTTTAATTTCTATTTTAAGTACTCTACATACTGCTGTCGAGCTTGTGTAAACATTTCTTCTGTCTTCTAAAATACCCCTAATCCCGAGATTTATTCGACGTTTTTTTTAATTGGAGCGTTTTATCCGTATAAAGGCAAACGTGGATTTGAAGTTCTTTCGGTGTGGTTCAGGATTTTCCTTGAATGGAAATGCTTCCATAATAAATACTAAGCTAAAATAAAGTACCTCTTTCTGGCGTGATAATCCCCCAAGTATCCTGTTTCAAATTTGTCTATTTACGATCTATTTAGAAGGCGGACGTCAGTACTGTAACAAGATAAAAAGCAATTTTATTCGTATTTTCATTTGCAAAAACTTCAAACGTTCCAAAGTTTCTTCTGTCAGTCGACTCCATATCTTTGCAAGTGTTTCGCTTCGATTTTCATTTCCCATGTCATTCATTGACGTGTGAAGTATTCAAAAGGCCAAGTAATAAAAATAATAATAGACGAATATTAAGGTGGAGTTTGTGAGTTGCTGCAAGAAAAAGCTTGCTTTATATTATCATTTTCGTCTCTAATGTTCATTATAGTTGTGTTTCTTCCTTGCCCTGCACTCAAAATAAATTGCTCTTTTACTCGCTTTGAAAATCATTGTTCTGTGGTGCATTTGAAAAAAAAAAAAAGAAAACACGTACGTTGTACCACTCACGAGATTGTCGAAGTTGTTAATATAAGCTTAAATTGCACTGGATTGTTTGTTTGACGAAAGGAATTAAGAAGATATATGCCACAACGTGCCACCTGGTTAATTACTTCAGCTTCTTAAAGGACAAAGTTCGATTGCTTGCGGTCAACCATGTGAACTTGTGAATGTAATGCTATAACCATAACAAAATTCTACACTTTGTTGTTCTTGCTAAAAAGTTTACTAGTTAGGAGGAAAGTGCTAATGTTGTACTTAGCTTTGTTGTACGTGTTGCTATTTTTCGTCGACACTGTTGATTAGGAAAAAGTCTCAGCATGATCAATATTTTTCTTGCTGTGACTTGATGTTACGTAGCTCTGTATAATTTTTTGTTTATATGTTCATTTGTTTATTACAATTTTGAACTATTCTGACAGCCACTACAGTGCGTCTAATTCCAGTTAAAAAAATATAAATTCTTTGATTTTATGGCGTTTATAAAAGTTAAGGTTTCTTGGAAGCTTAATTAAAATAATGTGAAACAAGCTGAGAGGTCTTAACCAAAAAAATTGTACTAAACAAATAGTACAAATGCACTCATGGGAAAATTTAAACAAGTTTTCCTTGGAAATTTTGACAAAATACCATTTATAATTTATAAACTAATTTCATGATATTATTATTGTCACTGATGCATTTTATGATAATATTTTTTTTCTTATAGTAAAGCATTAATTTATTAAGTCTTCTAGACGGGCCCAACATCTGAATTTCACTTTGATAGGCAATTAGTGTGGTAACACGAATCGTGGATTTTTGTATGTAATTCTGCATTTGCAAAATGTCTGAATCCATGACCTTAACAGAACTCACACTGGTGTCAGTCTAATATAATTATTTGTATTGAAAGGTCGGTTAAATATGTGTGAGAGAAAACATCTATTGTTGGGGAACATTTTAGAAATAACTAAAATGAGGGCCTGTTGTTTGTTTCCACGACACATGATATTGTGTGTGACTGATATCAACTTAGACATACTTTGATGCAAAGAACCTTCCAAAAAACACTTAAGCTGCTATATTGCACTTGATTCTGTGATCATAATATTGAGAGAGATGCATTTTTTGTGGTGAGCAGAAATGAACCATGTTAATTTCCAGTTTCCTAAATTATTTCTTTGTGATGAGTATCCCTTTGATTATAAACAAAGCAAGTTCCATCTTATAATTATTATGTCAAGAAGAAATTCTAGTTACAATAATTGTGTGAAGTGGGTATTTCTTATCATATAAAGACCATGTGTGTGCGCAATATAATGATATAAACTTGACCTAGTTTATATAATTATTATGAGTCACCAGTTCTGCATTGTAACATATTTTCTGACCATTATTAGCCTATGATTAAAGTTCAGCTGAGTGAAATAAAATTCAGTCCAGATTGAATTGATCCTTCTGTTGATCATGCATTCTCCACTGCATGTTCAAATACATTTAATTTTATAAATAAAGTAATAATTTGTTATTATATTAAGATGAAAAAGAACAAAAAAATCTCAGGTTAACCAGTCCAACATTCAGTAGTTGAACCTAACTGAACTTGACAGCCTTTGGATTGATATTGCTGTTGAGTTTGTCGATAGACCATTTTACAGTTGTGGGCGTAGTATCCTAGCCTTTGAGTGAACGTGATGCTTAACTTGATCTTGTTTTGATACAAACCTCTTTCTTTTCTTATGGAAATTGTGCTTAAAAATACTAGTTGGCATAAAAACAACATGATTTACGTAATAAAGCAGGAAGGGTTGTATCAAAACAAGGTCAACTCCAGCCTCATTTTCAGCCGTAACTGTCAAAATAATGGACTATTGAAAAACAATCAGGAAACTCATCAACACATTTTGCCAGTTAATTGTTCAATATTATCAGGGTTTGAGCTAGGATTTGATCACTGGGGGACAATTTGTCCCCTTGGCTAAAATTTTGGGGGACATTTTCATTTTTAGGGGGACAGAAATTTGTACACCCTTCTGCTGATGCAAAGGGGTTTGTCTTCTTAGAGGGGCTTCTAATAGGTCTCGGAAGAAAAAGTCGAATTTCGCGGGATTTTTAGGAACAAATTCGCGGAAAAATCGGCCGATTTCGCGGGAGTTTTCGGTGCAAACTTCACCGAAAAGAATCGGTCAAAAACGGCCGATTTTGTGGTTATTTTCAAGGCAAATTAAGCTAGAAATCGATCGGTTTTGCGCTGATCAGACCAGCCTTTTTAACGTTTTTCTAACACAGGTCATCATTTGCTCTTTCAACAACAATATGCTCCAGAAATGAACCAATGGCAAAGCCTTTAACATCATGGCTAGTGCCCAGTCTTTCGTAACATAATCTGTTTGCACTTTCAGTGACGAAGTTCCGAGATAAATTTGCAAGTTTATGGCAAGTAAATAGCCCCTATAGCTGAAATAAGTTTCAAATATGTTGTAAAGACATGTATTTGATAAGATTTCTACCTAATTTCGCGGTATTTTTCGTGTTTTTGTGAACTTCGCGGCTCCGCGACCGCGCGAAGAATCAGAAGCCTCGTCTTAGATTTTCGACAAAAATAGCAGTAGAGCATGACTGAAACGTAACTTTGGAATGAACTTTACAGGTCCGATAAAATATACTTTCCACGTTCTGTTTCAGCTTGCAATTTCTGTACTGAAATAAATCTCTTCGTGTGTGCTTCCTTTCGAGTTTTTTCCCTAAATTTTGATGGGGACAAATTGTCCCCTTGGCCGTTTTTTAAAGGGACAATTCCAATTGCAGTGCGGGATTGGCGCAATGGCGCGGCCTGGCTCAAACCCTGATATTATGGTAAAAACCCACAACTAAGAACCAGCATTTTCCCAAGTTAGCCCAAACAGGTTCTTAGATAAATGGTAATAAGGTCAAATTTAGGTTCCTGTTTTCTGCTTTTTGTAGCTAACAGTACTTCATTAGTGCTCTTCAGCTTATTCCTTATAAAAAATATGCCAGTACAATGCAGTTGGAGTGATAAGGCACCTGTCTCCAAAGAGGAACCTGTTTCAAATTTTAGGCTAAACAGGTTCTTCTATAGAGGGGGCCTAACTGACAAATTGTAGCCTAACGGGTTCTTAAAAAACAGGTTCTTAGTCGCGGGTTTTTATTGTATTTAACCTAATGATTGGTCAATTGAGCAACCAAACTACTGATAATTTACTAAATGATACAAACCACTTTTAAGAACTATTACTCGTATACTAGTATATCACAAATTTTGTGATATACTATATCCTTTGATGACTTTACATGTACAAGAAGCATTTGAGTTTTGCTGGAGCTCTTGCCCAGGAGAAACTTAAAATCGGACAAATTTAGATTTGGAACCCCCAGCCCATGACTGCCAGATTTATGTAAACATTGATCTACGTCACCAGTACAAAATTCTGTTGCTAAGGTGCAGATCTCCCTCCCTGTGAAATGCCCTATAAAAGTGGCAAAGAGCAATGAGAGACAGCTGTTTTTGCAGGCTAGCACTCCCTAACCTTTGGTTATTATGTACTAGCTGTTTATGTATTTTTTTATATATCTGTTTTTATCTGCAGCTGTATGGGGAGGCTGGAATGGAGGGTGACAAAGGACGCGATTATAAGAAAGAGTTCTTCTTTGATTACTCATACTGGTCAGCAGATCCAAAAGATGGACACTTCATCAAACAGGAACAGGTAAAAGAAGGCATCGTTTGGTTTGCCTTTACTTTTGATCGTGACTTTTCAACCAACTACTGATGGTCCACTCCCCATCAGGTGATGTTGTTATTGTATAATTCAGAATAAGGATGGTGTTGGGTGAAATGTGCATCTACCTTTATCCTTCAGCTAAACAGGGCTGGGAGTGCCTATATCTGAAGGTGGGATCTTATTTGGGCAATCACAGTACCATATTTCTTGAATAATGGCTGTCCCTCAAGCAAATGCTTCCATCAAACATTGCACCCCCCCCCCTCTTGCCATCTCCTCTTTTTTTATCCCCTTGCTGTCAAGTTGAAGTGAAGTTTGATACAGCCAAACTGATCAGTGACGATTCAAGCTCTGAAGATTAATCAAAGAACCATATTTAATTCGGAACACTTAAAAAGCCCATAATAAGTTCAGTTTATTTGATGTGATTTTTTTATTTAATGAGATAATAAAACAAAATATTTTGGGCACAACCTCCAGTGAGCAATATTTGAAATAATCGTCTCCCTCGAATAATCTCCTTCCCTTGAATAATCGCCCCCTTTTGGTGTGAAAAAATAATAGTATTTTGAGCTTGTGTCATGACAACACATAAATAATCTTCAGTGAATTATTTCTGACAGTTTATTCTAATCATTTTGAACTTCAAAATGCACAGCATCGTGATGACGCTGAAAGGTCTGCATAGTTTATTATATCAAGCCTGATATAGAGGGCAGAGAATTGAACAACCAGGGAGTCCTTTGGTTCTTTTCTAGTTGGGGTTTATCCTTAGAGTGACCAAGGGAAATTTCCTGTCTGATCCAGCCTTTGGTGACAGTCTTGCATACAAATATTAATTTTGTCATAACTATCAGGGTTTTCATTAAGAATTCTTGTAGCAGGAGAAAGATGTAATGTTACTGGAGAATATTTTGAAAGCGGCTCCACATCTTATAAAAAAACGTCCTAGGCTACCGGACATTAGCCAGAGAATTCAGTGTAAAAAACAGAGAATTCTCTGATTTCCGATGCTTAATGACCCCTCTGAACTAATTCTACAATATTTTGCAGGTCTTTAATGATCTTGGGCAGGGAGTATTAGATTCAGCATTTGAAGGATATAATGCCTGTTTATTTGCTTATGGTCAGACAAGTGCTGGGAAAACATACACAATGATGGGAACCAGTGTAAGTACAAACTCTTTCCTTCATAGTTTGATGCTAGTGGACAAAACACTGATGCCCAGTCCATGGATTGGCTCAATGTACTATACCCATAAACACAATAATAAACCTCTTGAATAGACTTGAATGGAAGGTACATGTACATTAAGTTACTAGCAGTGAATTTAGTCAAAAGGTAGTCTATATGGGTAGTCCATCGGGACTGGGGATTAGTATTTCGTGTATCACCTATTCTGACTGTCATTTGAGTACCAACTGCTTAGTTGTTAGAAATTTCAAGTGTTCCATGGCAGTTTAACTTTGTAACATTTCTAATTCTGCGTTGATCATCAGTTAGCTCTCCATTTCAAGTCGCGTGCAGAGCAAGGTGCAAATAACACGCAAGCGAGCAGCCCACTCGTTGCACACACTCACACATCCTTTCGCATGCAGCTCTCGCATGACTTCTCACAGCTCCCCCAAAAAGAGAGTTTGCTTGCAGGCTTGTCCAATTTCCCTTCTCCTGCCAGGTATGTCAGTAGTTAATGACACACTTCATTCACTTTCAGGAGGAGATTGGACTTATTCCAAGGATATGTAAGGTACTGTCATGATTACTTCATTTTTGTTTTTTAACTGCAGCTAATAAAAATCCCAAGTCTTTTAGAAGCAAGTTTATTTCAGCAAACTTACCATCATCTTGTTATCCAGTCCAGCCTTCTCATCATAGCAATTTGTACGTCCTTTTTTTCAGGGGTTGTTCCGGTACATTGATAAGAACACATCACTGAACTCTTCATTCAGGACTGAAGTCAGGTAATTTAGATTACTTTAAATCCTCTATTAAGCCCCCCCTCTCAAATAACACCCCTCCCTGTAATAACCCGCCCCCCTGCCTTTTCTTGGGAAGAAAGTTAAATAGCCTCCGCTTTCCCTCTCCTTTATTATTCTTCACTAATAAATGATAGACTGTATTAATCAATCACTACCGTAAAACTTTGTGTGGACTGATTAGGGATGGTTTACTTTACCAGCTGGAAGTTTGGATTTGATTCTGATCCTCGGCTTCATGACCTAAAACTTCATTCTTGTACTTGAGCTTTTCCACTTTGTATTCTAGTTCTTTATGGAGAACTGATACCATTGTCATTTCTTAATAGTTTATTAAATAAGCCCCACGTGTCTATTAAGCCAGTCGGCTGTTAACCCCCCCCCCCCCCCCCCTCAAATGGGCTTGAAATAAATTAGCCCCCGGTGGGCTTAATATTAATTTTACAGTAGGCAAGATTGATTTTTGATCCTGTTGCCTTGAACAGTAAATAGTTTTTAGCACAGAGAAAAAATTAAATACCTGAGCATCATGAGAATGTACATGTACTGTTTTGGTTTCATGTTAAAAAGTTTCAAATTTTTATGGTGATGGTACATGGAACAATAATTATTTGCAACAACAGTTTGTAGCCCAAAAACATTGTTGTGGCATTGTTTTGAATGGTTGCAACATTATTCCAATGTTGTTGTGCCATAAATTGCCATTGCGAATTGTACCGTTTAACATAACCTTTAAAAGTCATTACACCATAGGATTTCAACACAGTCACTCAAAAGTTCTCGAGAGCTTCCTGTAGAAATTATCTCGATGTCCATCAGTTTGGCTTTATTTAGCCAGTTCATATATGATATAACTTGTCTGCTTTACCTGTTTTTATTTATTTTGTTTTCAATTAATAATCAAAAGACATGTGAGAAGTCTCTTGAGCTGTACTGAATTACTAGCTTTTCGCCTAATACGTCAACCTTCTTTATCAAATAAGCTTTAGATTCATAGACCCAAAAACCAAAGCTACATAAGAATTGAAACTGTAAAGAAATTAAGGCGAGACGAGAAAAATTGGGAAAATTTTTGTTCTACTCTATCTAGCTACTTGGAAATTTACAATGAGCATGTGCGTGACCTGTTGAGGCCACAGAAACTTAAGAAGCTTCCTCAGCAAAACTTGAAAGTTCGTGAACATCCGAAAGAGGGTCCATATGTCGAAGGTAGGTGACAATATTTAAAAGTTATGCATTTGAAATCTGCATTTGGTAAAGGCAGTTTTGTTTTCTGGTAGAAAATCCATTTTCTTAATTGGGTTGTCTTTAAAATGTGTGTTTTTTTGTTGTTGCAGGATTAACAAAGCAGCATGTGTCTGATTTAGACTCAATTGAAGTTCTTATTGAACAGGGAAACAAGCTCAGGTTTGTACTGTGGTGCTTGCAGATATTTCTTGTCGAAGTGCAAAAGTTAAGTTCTTTCACATTTTTAACAAGCTTTCAGCTCACCTAGAAGCCACATGGATAAATAAATAAATGATTATTCAATGTTCCATTGTTAAATACCAGCCAGGTAGTTAGACCTAGTGACTGTTCCTAAGCTACTTAGGGAGAAGAAATTAGCCCTTTAAGTCCCAATGGTGACCAACAGCAATTTTCTCCTAACGATATCCATACTTTATCAAGAGATGAGGTTATGAGAATTAATAAAGTGATCACCTAAGAGAAAATACTTTGATCTTTCATCAAATTCTCTTAACTAATTCTTAAAGGAAATGTATGGAGATCAGTTTGGAGAATTTGTATGTGGATATTGGGGCTTAAAGGCTTAATGCTTTGTAATACAAAGGAAGGAAAAAACAAGCAATTACATATAAGCAAACAGACAAATGAAAATGTTCACACAATGCATCTTGTTTGAGTCTCAAATATATGGGATATGTTTGAATTTAATTATGATGTTTTCTGTTTTCAGAGCAACTGCCTCAACGAGGATGAATAACGCAAGCAGTCGTTCCCATGCCATTTTTACAATAAAATTCACTCAGGTAAGAATTGCCTTTAATGAAACTTACAGAGTATTTAAGATGTAAATTAAAGCTGAATTGCCTGGGGGGTGGGGTAGTTTAGGAATTTTGGGGCGGGAATGTGCTGCTGGGACCCTGGAACCCTTCGCCTATACCAGAACTATTTCAGCTGAATTTTGCTACCCAACACTAGACTAAACTGCCCAAATGCCCCCGCCCACCCCATCCTACAGTAGCTTATAGGCTAAGTTGTGTAAATTTAAACTTGCCAATTTGATTTTTTTTATATTTTTGACTGGCGATTCCTGGTTTCCCTTGTCTAGACTAAAATCTTCAACTAATTGATCAGTTTCCCTGAAAATGATACCCTATTCTAGACCCACGCAAACTCTCTGATTTATATACCCTATGAACTTAACTGCAGTATAACCTTAGCCTGTTTACAGGCATTCAGTTGTTGAAGAGTGATGCGAACTGGAGAGTGTTCGATAAAAAAGAAGGAATTGAAAGGATGCTACCCCCATTCCCTGTGCTGTGTTTTCTTGCTCACTAATTTCTTTGCATTGTCCCCTCTTTCTGAATTCCTGGTACAGGCTTGTATAACTTCCATCAAGGTGACAGTAAAACAAATCAAGATGAAAAGTTTTTGAATAGGAAGTGGCTTGCACTTATTTTTCCACCATGTATAACTCCAAGGTAGTCCAAGGAAACGGTAGAAGGGGATTTTATGTGTGATGTATTGAGGGCATTTTAATTCTAATTAGTCAAGTTTTCTGTTATACAACTTGTTTATACTAAATCATGGTATTTTTAGGCCAAGTTGATAGGAGACATGCCAAGTGAAACCATCAGCAAGATCCATCTGGTTGATTTGGCCGGCAGGTTGGTATATTACACTGCATTTAAGCCAGTAGCATGTAGAATATGCAGAGAAATAGTGGGTCCTGTTTCTAAAATAATTTTATTTAGTTTTTATGCAGTAAACTCACTTGGTAGATGGATAGGGGTTTCAGAGTCTCAGTGGTAACTGGAGGGGAAGATGCTGCAATGTATTGCAATTCCGTGTAGTTTTTGTTGCTCGTGTGAGATACTTATGGTGCCCCAACTTGAGTGACTTAGGCTTTCTGATGGTCGTGACAGCGTGGCAACTGGGTCCTGGTGGTACAAGGTCATGTGACCACCACGGCGTTGTTGGACGAGTGTGGGGTGGTAGTGTGTGCAATTGAGAATAGTAGCAAATCTAGTCGCTTGTATACTACGGGAGCTGGGGAAACCTAGTGGGTTTGATACAGTTCCAAACTGGCGAGTTGGTGATAAAGTCAGTGGTTTTTTTTTTTTTGTTTTTGCTTTTCTGTGACATATTTTCTTTTTCTTAGCGAGCGTGCAAGCGCAAGTGGAGCCGTCGGTGACAGGTTAAAGGAAGGAGCCAACATCAACAAGTCTCTTGTTACTTTAGGAATTGTCATATCCACTCTTGGTGAATACAAAATTTCATTTTTTGTTACGCCTCTAAATCTCACTTAAGCTTTTCATACAGTTACTACAAAAACGACTTTATCTGGCGAGCAAGCTCTCATCTTCTCTTGGGGGATATCTAGCATGGGAGCATGCCCTCTCCCTATTATCTGTTTATACCTTTTGCCGAAGGAGGCCAAAAAACGCCTGATCGCAGCTTAGGGGATGTCGTGAGAAGCCATGCGCGAGCGCGAGATCGCGAGAGCGAGGGGCAAGATTAGAAAGGAGCCCCTCGCCGCTTAGTCTCCCTCGCAGCCGTTTTTTGGACGTCACGCAACGCTCCCCCAAAAGAGTGGGGAGCGTTGGGTGACATCCAAAAAACGGCTGCGAGGGAGACTACTCGCGGCTTCACCGCTTGCTCGAGCGTTCTCCCGCAGGTCGCTTCCCTCGCCACTCGGAACGGAAATTTTTTTGCAGGCTAAGTATTGGCGCAAGATGGGCTCCCTCGCGCGTCCTTTTTGTTGCCCCTTCAAACGTCTGTCACACAGGATATACATGTAGTATTTATTTCTCTTTTAGCTGAGAACTCCATTAATTCTTCCACGACATCCAAGCGACCATCTTTTCGGAAAAAGCTATTCGTACCATACAGGGACTCCGTGTTGACATTTCTACTCAAAGACAGTCTCGGAGGAAACTCAAAAACTGTCATGATTGCAGGTGAGCATATTGGAATAAGTTCTTTTTGATAAGCGATGACTGAAGAGAAGTGCCCAAACTCGCTTGTGTCGTAACAGTCCTGTCCATTTTGTATGTTATTGCAAATAACTCGCCGGCTTACACGCTACAAAATTGAACGTTTCGAAATCACAGGTTCGTGGAAAACAAAAATGTCTCCCAATCGTAAAAATGTTCTAAACAACAGAGATAAGCTCTCAAAAAACTGGTAGGTTAGCAAGTTTTGGGGAGCCCCATTTGCAGTCAATTTTTGTCTTCAATTTTGTCCACCCTTGCCCTGTTTTGAATTTGCTGTTTTATTCAAAGCTCCCTCCAATGTTTTAAGTGTTTTTTTTATGGTTTTGCTCAATTTGGCAGCCAGTTCCGCCTTTCTGAATTTGTCTTAATTTCGTCACACAGCTCCTTTAATATTCTTCTCCCTTTTTCTCAGCGATTTCGCCAGCTGAATGCAACTATGGAGAAACACTCAGCACTCTGCGATATGCACACCGAGCGAAGAGTATTATTAACACACCAACAATAAATGAGGTAAAGTTAAGGAACAAATTAGTGATGGTAATAGGACTGAGTGGAGTGCAATTCAGGGAGTAACCCGATTACCATTGAACTGTACGACATGAAGTCCTATTACCAACTCAGGGGTTTCAATAAGCACCGACGGCCGACGAAACGCGTCGGCTACTTTGCTCGTAGAGGTTGGCTACTTTTTTCTAGAAAGAAGAAGCAACTAATTTGAAAAACGTTATAAACAAACAAATATATCAAAAAATCTGAATGAAAAAGTAATTATGGTGTATTTTCATAAAGGTCAACTGGTTTTACGTTATGCTTTAGTACGTAATTTATTTTTCATCAATTTTTCATTGCTTGTAGGAATTGATCCCCAGACCCCCACCCCTGCTAGAATAAGGGGAGCAACAGCCCCTTGTTGATACAGTCGGTTACTCTATTCAAGCCTGCTGGCTACTTCAATTTTTATTGAAATCCCTGCAAACTAGTTGTGTCAATAACAAAATGCGAGAATCTCAGTCTTGGAATATTTGTTAATGTAAATAAAAGTCACTGGACCAGTAAGGTCACATCCATTTTTCTTTTCCAGTTGAAGCTGGACAGCTTACCTGGTCAATATTTTTTCATTGATTTGGATTGGTTATTGTGTGCTATGTAGTATAAGTTTCATTGGCCAGTGGCATTTGCTACTTGAGTTTCATTGGTTCTTTAACTGTCCGATTTGACCTGTCTGATTACAAGCTCATGGTAATCAGACAGGTCAAATCGAACAGTTTTTTACCAATATTGACCAGTTCCACGTGAATGAACTGTGTCCGGTGAAATTTTTCAGCCGGTTGAAAATTCGTCCGGTGCCTTAATCCTGATTTATTTTTTTCTGTTTTGCAGGATCAAAATGTGAAGTTGATTCGAGATCTCAGGCTTGAAATTGAACGTCTTAAAGGAATTATAAGGAGCTCAGAGAAAACGGGAGATCAGGTAGGTTGGTTTGAAACCGGTGCTGATGTAAATTGCCCTTAGTGTAACAATCCATAATTTTTTGCCTTAAGAAAACCGCCGTTACTGACACCGCGAAAGCTGCGAAAAAGCTTAGCGAAAACCAAGCCCGCGTGGAACAGCTGACGATGGAATGGACTGAGAAATGGAAGGAGGCGCAATCCATCATGCAGGTTGGTGGGGCTGTGACCATAAGGAAGATCCGGATTAGGGTGGGGAGGACATTTCTTCTTAAGGCTGTTTTTCACTTGCTTTAGAGTCGGCGTCCTCAGTAATCAGAAGCGTAGAGAGTTATGATCTAGTGAAAGTCAGTGTTCTGATTCCGATTATCACTCCGTCGCTGAAGCCCATAACCCGGAGCGAGCAACTTCCATGCGCTCTTGTCACGGCGTTTTTCGCGGACCAGTTTATTTTTATAACGGATTTGGCGTGAATTTTGCAATCTTTTAAATTCCACATACCAGTCAGCAAAACTTACAGACCTGAAAATGATATTTTTTGCCTTTTAATAACGTTTAATTTTCCTTTCTGATGTCTTACACCTCCAGTGCGCTCATAGACATGGTGTAGATTCTATTTTCGCGGGAAAAAGTGCCCTAAAGTGTGTCTAAAAATAAACTGGTTCGTACAAACGCCGTGACATGGGCCTGGTATAGTTGTTGCTCGCTCCGGGTTATGGGCTCCTGTCCGTCGCTTATGATTTAGTGAAAATTACGTTGTCGACGTCGCAAGCAGAAGCGGAAGAACTAAACCAATTACAAAGCGTAGGTACGAACATTGTGATTGGTTTATCTTTCCGCTTCTGCTTCCGACTCCGATAATCTGGTTTTCACTGCATCGAGGCACCTCCATACAAATCCTTGTATTTCCAACGTTAGCTAACACAGGACAGTGCCGATGGTCATATTTCGGGGCTGGGCCATCTGTGTTAAAACCTACGGATTTCCTTAAGGGCAACAAAGTACAAGCGAGGGATCAAGAGAACCGGAAAGAGGCAGTTCTTCCTCTGCTCGTTCGCTCCTTCCTGTTTGGCAGTAACAGCTTGTTTTCACCTCTAACTGAAAAGGGACGGCCAGCAGTCTAATGAAATATTTGGTTTGTTTTGCAGGAGAGCGAACTGCAGCTCCGTCGGCATGGCTCCCGTGCAGTTCTTGTTGATCTTGAGCTTCCGCACTTGGTTCGCTTAGAAGAAGATCCATTGAGAACTGAAATAATGCTTTATCGTATCATGGTAAGTAATAAAGTCGTCTTTGTTCTTGGTAAAAACAAAACAACACCAAAAAATAAAAACGCTTAGCAGCGTTGTTAGATACCCTGCGAAAACAGCCGTTTTTAGTGTCGTCACGCAACGCTCCTCCCCACTAAGGAGGAGGAGCATTGCGTGACGACACTAAAAACGGCTGTGTAGCAGACTACAGCGTTGGTAGATAGCCTGCCAAAACAGCCGTCTGTCCTGGCGAAACGTCCCAAGCGGCCAGAAGAGACCAGTGTCGGATCCAGATCTCGAGATAAGGGAGGGGGGGCGTTAATCCAGTCTCTTCGAAAAGCGGGGGCGGTCTCCAAAAAAATTTTTTCGGCCCTTGGGGCCTCAGTTTGGTCTAAAAATTATGGGGGCAGGGCCCCCCAGGGTCCTCTCCTGGAACCGCCACTGGAGACGACTGTTTTCGAAGGCTAGTTGGTAGAGCGCTGGACTGCAGAGCGGGATCTCATTGGTTTGATTCCCGGGGCAGGACTAATAGTCATGGGTCTCAAAATAACTCAGAAATAGGATCAATATACTGCCTTTGCTTGGTGGTTCGTGACCACGTGGAAATGGCTTTCTCGTACTAATACTTTGTGCCAGATACATTGACTCGCGATTTTATAGACTGCGAGCAGTCTCTCTTTTTCTTCAGATTTAGTAAGGGGAGTGCACGCGCGCGCGAACGTTAAGCGCCGAAGCTGCGAGACGCGAGAAACGAGGGCGGCAGCCCGAGAAGTAAAAACAGAGACCGCTCTCTTTTGTCGTGCCTCTCCCGTCACGCGCGTTGTCATTTGCGTGTCTCGGGCGTTTTGCTCGACGGACCAAGAAAAAAGAGAGACTGCTCGTAGTCTAGCCTCCCACGCTGGCGTTTTTAGGGGAGCTCGTATTTCTTCCCTCCCCACAAACGCCTGCTCAACGGAAAACAACATTCCTTTTCTCATTGTTTTCTTTGCATGGTAAGTGACCAATCAACAATTGTGCAATTAAGTGTTGACAGGCTAAACACGACTGAACGTGACCTTGGAGTTACCGTTTTCCTTCTTTTCTTTCCTTCGCTAAGGTTATGCAGTGCACGGAGTATTCTGAATTTTGACTAATTTTTATTTTTTGCCGCTCTGAATCTAACATTTATTGCAGGTCAGAAAGCTTTCCCAGTGTTTAATGCAGATTGAGTAATTATCAGATTACCTTGCGGTCAAAGTCAACTTTCCAGAATTTGGAAAGTACAGTGTGATTGGCTAAGCTTGGGAAAGGAATGTTATCTTCAGTTGAGCAGGCGTTCGTGGGGAGGGAAGAAAAACGAACTCCCCTAAAAACGCCTGCGTGGGAGGCTACTCGTAGTCTAGCGATTTTTTCCATTTCGGATAAATTGCGAACTACGAAGTAAGATGATTTGAAGCCCATGCATACTTTAGGTGGCCATGATTTCTGCCTACAGTCTTAACTGACAACCCTTCAGGACGGAAATTACCATAAAACGAGCACCTGCCGTTTTTCAACAAAATATCATTTGTGTCTTTTATTGCCCACAGCCTGGTAAAACGCATATCGGACTAGAAAACGCTCCAAACCCTCAAGACATCGGTAAGTCTCCTCGAACAAGCAAAGACTGATTCTTCTCTTTCTTACTTTTTCTTCCCTAAATATCACGGGCAACCCCGGCATAACAAACACCTCCTTAAAACTCACAGCTAGAGTTGGATCCTGCTGTTCTTCAGGCCTTCTCTAAAACAAATACAAATACAACATAACAGGACTAAAAACCGCAACTGGCAGGAGGCCACCAGTTGGTTATTTACAAGCGTGGCCGAGGATTTGAACTTGGGACGACCGAGAACAACTTCCAGCAAGTGACCAGAGCGGGACTCGAACCCGGGACCGCCGGATTGCGCGTCCGACGCGCTGACCACTCGGCCACGCTGCCTCCTCCTAAGAAGGTCGTCACTTGTTTCCATCCGCCAAACTGACATGTTCCTCTCAGTAGATCTCACAAGACATTTCACTTTTCTTACATGAAATTTCTCTGTCTCTTGAAATTTCTGTTCGTAAAAGTCTAAGTCTCTTCAGTTTTTAAGGAAAAGGAAATCAAAATGGCACGAGGAGGATTCGATCTCGGAGCATCGGCCCTGCTCTGCATTACTTTAACCCCTACACCAACGAGGATTTCCTGACAATAAATGGTGTGATTTGTATAGGTAATAGCATGATTTGTAGTGATATTTGGCATAAATACCACTAGTGATATTTCGAAATTGTTATACGTAATTTCACGAGCCTTTAGGCGAGTGAAATTTGAGACAATTTTGAAATATCACGAGCGGTATTTATGCCAAATATCACGTACAAATCATTCTATTATTTGTTTATACTACCACCCGCAAAAGGTTTGTAATTTTCACATGTAGGTATTTCAAATTAAGCTGAAATACCACTGCTCTAAGCCAATCAAATTGCAGAAATTTCTCATGTAGTAGTATGAGAATATATATAGCAACAACCCTAACCCTAACCCTAACCCTTACTTTTTGTACGAATCATTAATCTGTCAACGTCAGTTTGGCGGATGGAAATAAGTGTTGACCTCCTAAGAACTGCTCCTCTCTGTAAGGCGGCACCTACCTAAGGCGTGCCGCACTAAGTGTTACCCTCACCGATGTTTTTTTAAGAGAGAGAGAATTTAATTTTGTTTCTCTTCTTTTAATGCTGTTATTCGTTTAATACACGTAGAGAGTTTAAGTGGGCGCCAGGTCAACTGGAGATGTAATTGAAACATTCTGTAGCCCTAGTGTCGGCTTTTCAGTGATCGAGAGAAACTAGAACGTGATATGAGTAATGTTCTGTCGTATTGTATTCATAGTTCTTGAGGGCGAAGAGGTCGAAAAGGAACACTGCTTTTTGGAATTTACTAAAGGAAAAGGAGTCTCTCTCTTGCCGATTTCTCCACGGTGTTGGGTAAACGGAGTGGCCATATCTCAGTCTACCAAACTCAATCAAGGTAAGCTATTTCTTAAGATGTACTGCTAAAGACTTGCACAAGACCAAAAGTAATGTTATCACAGGTCAGCAAACAGGACCTTGGGGTCCTTATTGGCTCTTGCCCACCTTCACTTTCCCCTTGCCAATCAGGGCGTCGGATTTTAGCGACAAAACTAGAATTAGAAAACACAACCACATGCCAATCACGGGAAAACTTGCAAGCAATACTATGGATCGGACTCCTTTTTGAAATTCATTGTAACACTGATTCAGATTTATGCAAGCGGCGCCAAGATCAAGAAAATACATCGCCCAGCTCGTACTAATTAGAGCACGTTGCACTTGCGACGAACCCAGACTTACGCGTAATGAGACGTGTTCAAAGTGTGGACTTGGCCTGATGAGACTCGCTTTTTCTTGTTCGTAGGTGATGTTATCGTCCTTGGCAAGAGTGATGTTTTCAAGTTCAACTATCCAACCGAGGCGGCAAAACTCAGAGAGAAGCGACGATCAGGATTGTTCGGCATGGTACGTTTTGTTGTTGAAATGTCTTTGTTCGCGTAGAGGTAAAATCTACAAATCGACACTGTTGTTGAGTTTGTATGTCTTAGGGCGTATTGTGGCATTCGGTTTCTTCATTTATGGGGATATAAACAAACGCGCTCAAACATTTCGCCGGCTAAAGTTTAAAAATAAAGAGAGAAATTATCAAACACACTCGAAACCTTTGGTTACGTTCCTTTTCTTTCCAGGAATCCACAGAGTCGTTGACTAATTTGCATATCTCCCCGGTCCGAGGCAGCCACGGGGACCTGAGTGTGAGATCTGATTCTTCGTCTCCCATGACGTTCGACTCTGGGTAAGCCTGCACTATGCACACATTCTCTTCTTTTTTCTTTATGTGACTTTAAAATAAAAACAGTTCCTTTGATGTTTTTTGTTATCCTTTTTGTTAACTTTCGCAGGGTTGAATTGGATGTTCCTGTTTCGGGCGAAACTTTGGAGGAAGTCATGTTAGTGCAAGCCGTTTATGAGTTTACTTTTTGAAAACGTTTAAATGCATGTAACGCGTAGGTCGTCATCTTTTGTTGTGTTTAACAATCCTTTCCATTAAATAGTTTACTTTCTGATTCTTTCCCGGCAGGCATCAAGTGTCGGATTTGATCGCTAAGCACAAAGAAGCTGAAGTAAGACGACTAGAGATCGAAAAAGCTTTCCAGATAGAAATTGACAGTAAACAAAACGAAATCGACGCTCAGAAAGATTACATACAAAATTTACGCGAGCGACACGAGACTAAGTCACAAGAAGCACGGCAGGAACTTGAGCTAGTTCGCTTAAGCATGGACAAGAAACACGAAGATGCTAAAAGCGAAATTGAGCAACAGCTGGAAGAATTGTTTGAGATGAAATATAGACATGAAAAAAATGTACAGGAATCTGCTGAGGAAATTGCAAAGGAGAGAGAGGAGGTTGCGAGGTTTATGGAGGGAGAGTGGCAGAAGGTCATACAATATGAGACGAAACTTGCGGAGATTGAGCTTCAGAGACGTAAGGCTTTGGTCGAAGCAGAGATTCAACGGGAGACGCAGGGAGAGCAGCATACTTTTGTGCGAGACAGAGACTTGAAAGAAATTGAAGATGAACAGGTTAAGTTGTTAGAAATGCGAGAAAATCTTGAAACAGCAAAGGTGCAAGCGGAAAAGCGGTTAAACGAGGATAAATCAACGCTCGAGCACACGATTAAGAAAGATTTGAGTGAACTGGAAGAGGTTGAAAAGAAAATTAAGTTGCTAGAGGAAAAGCACGATCAATACTTGGAATATTTCAGCTCTATGGAACATTCCCCAGGTGGCGCAGAGGATGAGCAAAGCTTGGGAGAGGCCGATACAATGACAACTTTAGATTTCAGCGAGAAGCGGAGGCGCATCTCGGATGTAGTTCCACCAAGGGGTCAACCAGTTGCATTTGATCTGCGAACGTCTCGACCATTTAGCTGGAATTTCACCGAATCCAGCCAACATTCTTCTGATTCGGAAGGAGTTGAAGAGGTTCTTGCGCAACAGCTACATAGCTTGACGACACTTAAAATGGAAAAAGAAGAACTGATTGAGAAAACGCGAGGTGCTTTAGCGGAGCAGATAACGGACGTGGAATTTTACGGCCAACAAATCTTGGAAAATGAAGAGAAAATTACGCAACTGGAAGAACGCTTCAAAGCAACGCGGCAGCAGCACGCTGAGAAAATTCGTTTGTGTTTGGCAAACTTAAAAAATAAGGAGGAAGACGAAATAAGCGTCATAGACCAAGAACGCGAAAAATACAGGGAGCTTTTAATGAAGGAATACGGCGAGATTGAGAATTTAATTGTGGAGACGTTTGAGACTGAGAATTCTAGTGCCGACTCAGCCGTTTTGTCAGAAGACGAAGAAATAAACTTTTCAGGCGAGAGGGAGAGAAAAAAGGGGGAAGTTCTTGGATTGGTGAAAAGCAGGTTGACTACTATAGGTTCAGAAAACGATGATTTATTTCTTGAGTATGTTGCTAAACGCGCCCATTTTGAGAAAGATGAAGAACGAGTCCATGAACAACAAAGACGCATCTCAGACCACATGTTAGATGGAGCTAAAGAAAAAGAAATTGCAATTCTTAAACTTTCAGGACAGAAGGAGAGATTTCATGTGGAAAGAGCGAGGGAGCGAAGGTTAATAAATGCGAGAATAAAGCGGCTTTCTCGTGTGAAGTCGTCTGGTGATCTTCATAGCGAAGAAATGTTGGAGTTTTTCAAGGAGGAGGCAAGAAAACTCCGAGAGGCGTTTGAGAAAGTCGATGACAGTGAAAGCAGGTAAGATTTCTTGTGATGTTTAAAACATTTTATCGTCTGTTAGCCAACATGCAGACGTCTCCGTTTGCGTCAGTTAGACTACTGCTCGCAGAAATAGCTGGAGCAGAGTTCTTCTGTAGTTGAATTCCAATGAAGAAATGTGCAAATTTAAAGAGAGAAATGAAAATTCGTCGTCGCTTGTTTACGTTCTCGATGAAAAGTGAACTGATTAGGCTTTTTCACGTCTTATTCGTACAGTGGCGGCAAAGAAATGTGCCAAACAAGTCTGCTACACGTGTAAAGTTGTTGGTGCTGGATTGCTTTCTTGACCTTTTCGTTGCCTTCGCCGTCGTGATATCGGAAACCGGTCGTTGATATCGGAAACCGGTCGTTTCGAAACAAAAATTTCGATCACTTCAAGTTAAGTTTGCAATTGAACAAGAAAAACATTTTGGGTGAATATAGCCAAGTACGTAAAACCATTTACACCTCGAAGGAATTAACCTGCATCGAAAGGACCGTTAACCGTGATAGTATCTGCCATATCTTAAATTCCCTAATCTCACTTCATTCACTTCAGCCGTCAGTTGGTTTTCTGGGAGTCCTTGACTTTGATTGTACAGTCATGTAACACTTCCAGTATAACTTGGTTGTGATTTTATAAATTTTCCCAGGCTTCTATATGAGCGGCGGGAAAGAGAAAACATCAATCTACAGTTGGAGGAAGCGCGTGCTAAGCTTCGGACCAGCGAGGAAGACAGAGAGGATTGCCTGGACAAACTTAAGGATCTAGAAAATCAAAAACTTCAGAAGGAGAAGGAAATTCTTGAATTGAAACAGAAAATGGAAGAAGAAAAACAGAGATATGTTGAAAACCTCAAGTAAGATTCTATTTTTGTTGAAGTGAGTGGACACGTTAGTCTGATACTCCCTGTTCTCTCATGTGATGGCTTCAAGAACAAGATCTCAAATTAATTCATCAGCTGAGAGAGAGGAAGAAATTTCAGTAACTGACCTCGGCAAGTTCTAAAGATTTTGTATTGTCTTTCTAACGTTTTCATGTTTTGTTTTCTCTCCAGGACAGGAGATTACGAGGTTATCGAGAAACCTCTTGGTAAGTTACATTTTGGCAAACTTTGAAACTTAGTGACTTAAAGGAGGCCTTTATTCTCAGACTTTGTCATGTCCTGTCTTTTTGCAGTCAATCGGCTTCACATAAAGTTCCGTGTCCTTGGAAACCACGCCGCCGCAGAAGTTCTTAAAGAGGCACTACTTGTTTCCAGTCTCCCCGAGATGATCAGGTCGATTCCAGTCTCCTCTCATCATCCAGTGTCCGAGGATTCGTCTCACGGTGGCTGGATGTAAGAATCATATTTTTGTTTCCGTTTGTTTTGTTTTGTTGTTTGTTTGTTTCAGAGCGTTGAGAGTTTTTTTTATTGCTTAGTATCTACTGTAGGTAATGGTCATTATTAGATTCTCAGACGGGGACGGTTATTAGATCGAGATTTTTTCAGTGCGAGGTATTGCTTGCACGTGAACCAGCGTCATTTTGGCGGGAAAACGCGTTAGTCGTCGTCATTCTATTACGGGTTTTAGCGAAAATGTCGTAGTGACGGAAACAAGTTTCCAAGTTGCTATCATTTTGCGACCGGGGCAGGGGTTAACCTCCTTTAATAAAAAAAAATGGTGTTGACTATTCTGGTGAAAAAAAAAATAGTAAAATAAAGCTTTCCGGGGTGTATATTTTTTGAGAGTACGCGAAAGAATCTGGAAGCGAAATATCTTTCTCGAATCTAAAGGTCTCTATATCCTGTATCCCTAGAAACAAACATCAGTCAGAGTAGCTGTATCTAAAGTAAACTGACAGAACTGCGCAGACAGTCAATAAACCATGAACCAGTCAGTTCGCAGGGGAGAAGCAGTTATATGTAGTTGTCGCGAGGCGCGGGAAAACGACAGTGAACAAGTCGACTAGTTTGGGTTTTATTCCTGATTGGTCAGTCAGCGTAAGAAAAGAAATTCACTCGTGCGAGAGAGACAAGACAGGTTTTAACTTCTGATTGGTTGACTGAGAAAGCGCGAGATTTTTCCGCAGCCAATCACAAAGCGTAGCTGTAAATTTAACCTGCGTTGCGGCCGGACTTGTCAATCAAGACCTAAATAGAGAACTCGATAAAGTTTACTGTAAATTTAGACCGTCCTTTTTGTAATCATTGCTATGTTGCACTCGTAGGTTTCATAGCATTCAGAGGGATGTTACAATAGCGAGGAAACGACAAGAAGGACCTAATGGTTTTCTGCACTGGTAAGATAAGCGAATTAAAACGCACTACAAAAATAAATAACATCTTTAGTAAGGAAAGAGAAACGAGAGAAATTATTGCAGGCCCAATTTTACTGCACCGATTAAAGTCCCTCTTAAGTACACTTGGGTAAAAAAAAAAATTTCATAATTTGCATAATTTCCCCAAAAATCCTTGGGACAAGGTTGTTGTGTTGCGAACTCCATCAGTGCTAGTCAGACATCTTGTTCTCAAGTAGACACGAACTGTCCAGTTTCTTCCCATATTTTTCGTAAAACGATCCCGTATTAAACCGCCGCCTGGTTATCTCAATTGGGAGAGCGCCGGTCTGCTGAGCGGGAGGTCGCGGGTTCGAACCCAACCGGACCAACACTCAGGGGCTTTAAATAACTGAGAAGAAAGAGCTGCCTTTGTAATGACATCTGCAGACAGTTAGACTTTCTAGTATTCTCGGATAAGCACGAAAAACCGTAGGTCCCGTCTCACAGCACTTACACTTATCTGGTTCTTGTGGGACATAAAAGAACCCACACCACTGTTCGATAAGAGTAGGGGACGTAGACCCCGATGGTGTGGCCAATTTTCACGCATCAGTCACATCATGGGTTGGATGGATACAGTAGGCTCATAAATGGACTGAGAGCGGCTGCCAGTGGCGCCTTTGTATGCTGACGTCCGAGCTTACTGTTCACATATTAATGTATACTGTTAGAAAAAAAAAAAGCACTTTATTTGAGTGTCAATGTATTCAGCACGAAAGCACTAATTGGGGACACTTTTTTTACGTCTCCTACCGATGACGGGACCACCATTTTACGTGGTCATCCGAGCCACGCGAAGGTCCAACCGTTAAGGCAGTACCTTCAATTCTCAGTTATTTTTAAGACCCTGAGTATTGGTCCGGTCCCGGGAATCGAACCCGCGACCTCCCGCTAGTCAAACTCTCTGCCGACTGAGCTAATCCTGCCGCGGTAAGAGGGCACGTCTGTTGTCCTCTCATCCATGACTCCTTCCTTCCTTCCTATTAATAAGACACTTAAAGCGGTTAAAACAGGTTTCACTGAATAAAGTTACTCTTTATCTTCTGTTAGTTTCATGGGTCGAGGAATCGTTGAAGCATCACCACTGACTGTATGGGAGGCTGTCAAGAACCCACTATCCAGATATATTTATGACAACATGCTCAAGGTACTGTCCTTTATCTGTTTTCACAAGCTGGTGGGACGTAATACTACGACTTCCATGTCGTCGTCAGAACTCAAGGCGTGAGAAGCTAGGGTACGAGCAGTTAGCAGAGAGAAACGCGATTGTTGGTGTTTGGGTGAAATACGTCATAGAACGTCCGCGATCTTCCGGCCCCAGAGCCGGTCGTTTCGTTAGGTCCCATTGCGCTTTGGAGAAAAGCATGTTCAGAAATGCTACGGGGTATATTGCGAACGCTCAATTCGACAGAAGGGAAACTTAGTTACTTTTTCTACCATTCTATAGCACTGACCACCGCAAAGTTGTGACCGAACTGCAAAGAATTTGCAGCCAATCAAATCAATGACTTTTCAGTCTTTTTGCATAGGCGTGCGGCCTTAAAGTAGATGCGAAAACGTTAATTGATACCCTGCTTACCTGTTACAGTTTGTCTCAACCGACTTGGTTCTTTCAAACACCATTAAAAATGCTTTTACTCTATATCTAAGATAATTATCCTCTTTGTTTGTTTTTCCTTTTACTGCAGAAAATAAATATTGTAGAGCATGTCGAAGAAGGGCTTAAAATTGGTAAGTGATGTTTATCGACAGGAATCCTAATTTAGTTAATCAATCCTTAATTGATTGTTTTCCGAATCTCGTCCCCAGCGTCTCTCGTTCCGCTTCCTGTTCCGATGTCATCCCTTTCCTTTCAATCCATTATAGTATATACCCCCCGAGACATAGCTCATTTCGCCCCATCTAAGGTATTTAACAATTATTCTTCGAGCCCGAATGGGCTCTGAGTCAATAGCCCAGAAGGCCGAAGGCCGAATGGGCTATCGACTCAGAGGCCATGAGGGCGAGGGGAATAATTGTTTTAGTAAAATCCAACTAGTTTGTCAAAAATATCGAGACAAAACAACTTAAACTAGCAAAACGCGATTCAGCCGCCATTGTTTTGGTTTTCAAAGCTGGCGCTTTTCGCTACTAGTGGGCTATAATATATAGTCCAGTAGTAGCTCAACCAATCAGAACGCAGCATTGATAATAGACCTCTAGTTGGATATAGCCTTGGAATCTGGATTCCAGGCACTGGACTCCGGATTCCTTAAGCTGAATTCTGAATTCTAAGCTCAGGATTCCGGATTCCACAAGCAAAAATTTCCCGGATTCCTGAATCCGGATTACCTTGTATGGGCGACTCATTATATTTCTTTCTATTTCAGTATACATGCTTCACGAGACATCGCAGTGCTTCATGACTCACTCACGTGATTTTTGTTACGTGAGCAAAGAACGTATTGAGGTGAGTAAATGTGGTATTTGCCCACCTACCCCTCCCCCTAACCCTGATTTTGCGTGAGTGAGTGAGTGAGTGAGAAGTAATATATCAAACATGAGACGTAGTGTTTCATCACTAGATGAAACACCGAGAAGAGAGTTGAAAATACGAGGCGCAGCGGAGTATTTTTGACGAACTTCGAGGTGTTTCATCTGGTGATGAAACACTGTGTCGAATGTTTGATATTTCTTCTCAAACAAAATCGTTTTTGAAGGAGAAATTAAGGATGCAAAAATGAGCAGTTTTTCATCTGATATGCAAACACTCATTAAACATTAATTTCCTTTGAATTTTCTTTATGAATTATTAATGAGTTTGAGAAGTTAGTTTTAACATTGGTTTAGGGGAGGGGTAGGTGAGTAATTTCCTCCGAAACTTTTACTTATCCGGTATCTGTTTAGGATGTCGCGGATTGCAATCCTTGTTTAACACGAACGTTTCTTTTTCATTTAAGCTTCTGTTCATAAAAAAGTTTTAAGTTGTCCTAACTCACTGTGTTTTCTCCGCTATTCTAGGGCGAAAAGTATGTCCTTGCATCTCAGTCAATCGAACATCCCAAATGTCCACTGTCGCCTTCAATTATTCGCGGCCAGGTTAGTAAGTCCAAGACCAAAGGGGTTGTAGTCACGTGGTACATGATTGATATGTACATAGTCGAACCTCCATAAGCGACCACCCAGCCAAAACACTAAAAAGTTTCCCAGTCAAAGCCTTACAGTTGGAACCTCTAGTAAACGGCCACCTCCTGTAAGCGACCGCGACCACCTTTTGAGCCTGACAGTTATGATTTCTATTGTTTTTAACCTCTTGTAAGCGACTGCTTGACACATTCTCTGATCTCTATTTTCGCTGTGTGCACTATGCTACTTAGAGTATACAAAGAACTTTAGTGACAACATGGAACTACACACTCGCAACTTAGACATTGCGTGCAACAAATTATCTTCCATAAAGTAGATGTACCTAGACCTCTTCTCGAAATAGGCGCCCTGTGGTCGAATTCTTGTAAACGACCACCTCCCGTAAGCGACCACTCAGTCTTTGGATTTTTGGTGGTCGTTTACGGGAGGGACGGTAGGTGTTCGAGTGTATTTTGGTTTTTAATTCGTCACTAGGAAACTAGACCGAGTGATCTTTCGCAATGACTTCTGGGCCTGTTAGCGATCCCGGAAACAATTGCGGGACGCATTTCGGCTCCAGTTCCCTTGTCGTTTCTAGAGTGGCGAATTTCGTCTGTTCGAGTCTGGTACCAATTTTACTTCCTTTGTCTTGGAATAAGGCAATTCATGTAAAGGGTTCGAGAAGGAAAATAAGTCAACAAGGATAAAATTGAACTAAAACACAGTTACTTAACATCTTCTCGTCATCTAAGTTTTCTCTCTCCTTTCCCCATAGATTATTTCCAGTGGATGGATTGTCGAGCCGATACAAGTTGATGGCAAAGATTGTTCTCTTGTGTGGTACATCACCAAGGTAGTTATGTGCATTGAATAAAAGGTTAAGGCAAAGTCAGAATTCAACAACATTCGCCAGTTCTACATCTGCCACAATGCACCTTGTTTGTCCCCGATAATTTTGCATAGCCTTTGTTTTGTAAGTCTTGGTTTTGTTTTCTCGTAGGTACATCTAGGCTCATCATCTCTTCCGTGGAGGTTAATCGATCTGCTATCCAAAAGACAGCCTCTCAGTATTGCTTATCTACGGAGTTATCTGACACCACCTTAAGTAAAGGGAGGTTTATTCGTGTGCTGTCAAAACGAACAGTCACTTGCGCACCTACGTACAAAACTACATGAGTTTTATTTTAAAGGAACTTAACCTGTTTTTCAGCTATTCATTGTCCAGTGTAAAGAAGTAGTCTACACGGAAACGCTCCATCGCTTTCGTAATTCAAGGGACGAATGGTTTAACATTTTCTTTTTGACATGAACGTCAGTCAGTGTATTCTGATTGACTGGAACATTTAAATATGTTTAAGGTGGCTGCACAAAGTTTTGGCAGTTTGTGAGTATATGTCATTTGCCAAATCGTGGTAAGAGAAAGGTTGCAGCTCACAAGCTGAAACTTGGCGAGTGAAAAATACAGTACACTGATGAAAGATTTTGATTGACAGGTAAAATTTGACGTTTTTATAGTTTTCATGGCAACACGAACGATTGAATACAACCTTAAAATTTCACTTTTGCTCAGTTTACATAAAACGTTTCCTCTAAACTTGCACACAGCTTACTATAATTAATCATTACCATTTGAAATTCATTTGACCAAATTTTGACAGACGGGTTTTTAGATAATCAATAATACAATTGTGCTGAAATTATTAAATCTGTCACAAAATTCGTCTGTTCAACTTCCATTTTAAAGTTCTCATTATTCAAAATAAAAATTCTGCCAAATATCACAAAATTCTAATGAGCAGATTTTGGGAAATCGTCTTCTGTGTACCATTGCTTTTTTCACCATGTTTGTTGGTTTAATTTAAAACACGCGCTGTCACGCGAGGTAAGGCTGACCGCCCGCAAATCTGTGTTCAGCCACCTTAAGCAAATCATCGAACATTTGGCAAACGAATGCCAAGTGGAAATCGCTTCGTAGAATATAATTTTTTTAGAGTTAAGTTGCTTTATTATAGGAAGGAAAGAGAATTCGTCCATTCACTCTTAAAAGATAACCGAAAATAGTTTTTGAACCTCTCATTAAGGTATCTAAGCGACTATTGCGTAAAGTTTTCTTTTTAATACGTTTATGTTAGCATGTTACTTACATAGGAAAAGATACGTTAGGAATATAACGTAATGGTTAATTTATATAACTTAATAGATAATTTAATTGGGAATTTTAAATCATTTAAGCAAAGCTCGTTCATATTTTCCTGGCGCGCACTCAATGTTTTTATCGCTAGCGTTGGTCAAAATGAACTAAAACGTTTTCCTGTTCAGGGTATTTGATGCCCCAAAAAATTCAGGATATAATTAAAAGTGTAGTGGTGTGAATTAGTCACTAAATTTGAAGAAAACCTCGTATTTGAACTGAAAGTTTAAAAAAATGTAGAATATTTTGCAAAATTTAAAGAGATTTTAATAGTAAGAAAACAGTGGGTTTATTAAGAGTTAATGGTATATTTCCTAAGTTGGAATCGGGTAAAATACTTAAATGTTTGTGCATGGTTGATACCGAAAGGCGTCTTCTTCGGATAACAGTTTTAATATAAAAAAGATTTGCTTCTGTGATCGACTTTATCAGCTGACTTATTTGCCGAGTAAGCCATCAACCTCGTTTGCGCCTGTTTTTGAACCAAAGAATATTTAATCGCTTGCTCAATTGTCAACTGTAGTAATAATTATTGTTATCATAAACCTACGGACTGGAGGTGAACAATGGTAGATATTTGCAGCTTAATTGTGTAATTAATATCTTTCCACCCGAAACTTTAACTTATCTTCTAACACTGATTTTAACGCATAGATATGAAAAATCTCGCGTGATATTCCTTCTGGTGAACGAGAATGTTACTAGGAGGTAAATTAACAAATGCTTCTCACCAGTCAGTCACAGATCTCATGAAACAATATTTACTTGTGTGAGATTTATACTAGCAAAATAATGATAGTTTTGATAATCCAAAGTCGGTATATTTAATATCAAACTACCAAGTGTTTTTGGAATTTTCTATACTTAAAATTAGAGCAAACTAGTTTCGTTGGTGATCAAAATTTATACCATAGTTTTTCGAAATACATTTCGCTCTGGAACATTCTTTGGGAAAATAAACTTAAAAGAAAAGTTTGTTCTCTGTCAGTGTCTCACCGTTGGCTTGAGCATATATGAAGGTTAAACTCGTGCTTTGCAGCGATCTTTATTTTGTATAGAGTTAGGAACTTTTCAAGCCTTTTCGCTCTATCCCTTGCGAGCTAGCCTGTTCACTAGCAACGTATCCTTGATAAGAAACAATACATGCACTTAAAACCGTATCTTAGCAACCAATCTATTAAGAAGCTATAAAGGTTTTTCTCGCCTGCAGTGGGAATTTCCGGTGTTAGCCGAAGGTCGACACATCTTCGGCCTTAGGTCGAAGCCACGAGCGGCGAAAGACTTGTCAGCAGGGAACATTTATCCGCCCTGCTTGACAGAAACCGGAAAACGCGCTAGAAAAGTCCTCGGCACCCAGGGTACACTCTTAGGGACGGACCATTATTTTTTTGACGAGGTGGGGGGGGGGTTTGGAAAATTTTGAAATAAATTGTTTGCAGAGGCTGTAAACACTGAAATAAATTGTATGCAAGCACAAAAATGTGTTTGCAGGAAGACGGAGACACCAAAAAATTGTTTACAGCAGGAGCTGCATATAAACAGGAGCCCATCAAATTGATGGGCTCCTGATATAAAACAATGTTTGAATGTGAAAATTTTCCAAAAAAATTATGGTCCCGTCCCTTAGGCCCGCCGGTTCACACGGTGAAGAGGAAACAGTTTTCTTATCTCCCCTCCCCTCCCCTTTTCATTCCTATCGTCCCAACTTTCTCGACGAACTCACCCAGAAACGCTTGCCACGCCGGATAAGCGATGCTTGCATATAACTTTCGTTTTTCGCTCGTTGCCTTGGTCCCCTTCTTTTATCGTCAATTTGCATCATTTTACTATTCGCTCGCAGCACGCTGCTCTGAGGAAAGAACAACGACCACCAGCGGTCATTCTCAATTATTATGCTAAATACATCGACAACTTCTGTAAGCAAAGAACAGTGGAAAAACGTGGCCGTAATAACAAGGTGACCGTATTAAGGAGGGTTTCTGTACAAGAAAATGTATGGTCGTTTTTGCCGGGCAGCCAAAAACAGTGGGCGTAAGGCGGGGCTCCATTGTACTTTTTAATAATAACTTTGTTCTTATTCATGTTTTGTTAACAGATGCGTGCCCCCTAGTACTGTTTTCATGTGAGAGTGACTTGTAGCAAAATGTTGCTAAAATAAAATCCTAAACTGGGAAGAGCTTAAACAGCTGCTTAAAGATTCCTCCGTCAAACAAAGGGCTTAATTAAGTTGACGGCCTTATCGTTCTCCAAAAAGATTATTCTTTTCTTTTTTCTCCGTAAACAAACTAAAGGGAACACAACACCTTGACAACCCTTCAAACCATTAAGAATGTTATACTATTTCCAAACGCTAGCATTTCAGTATCGCTTTACTACGAAGATTAAGACCAAACGAACAACCGTTGGCTTACTGTTTTGGAGGTGAAACCCCCGTCAATACGGAGACTGAGGGAAAAAAAGTATTGACGGGGTGTCCATATAAATCATGTGTCCGCTAATATATAAGCAGCGTTCGACTTTATGTGTTTCGCCACTTTCGCATTGCATGCCCACTATGAATCTTACTTATCATCGCCGCGCAAAATTTTGTGGAATAATTGTTTTGAATTTCGCTTTGGACAAGCGGCAAATGGAAACAATGGTTGTACAAAACAGTTTTAAGGAAAACATATAACAGGGGCACCCAACGACAATTTTCGGGAAAATATCTGTTCGGAAGGCGATTTGAGATCTAGAATTTTCGGAACATTTGTTGTAAAATTTCTTCCTTGCCTGCCTCTCCTAGGATATTCGAACATCCAAAAAATGGTAAAATTGCCCATTTTCAACGGATTTTTACCCTAAAAAGGTCATCTAGAATTTTCGAGAGCCTTTTTTCTGGCTGAAATTTTCGAACGGGTAAGTTTTGATCCCTATAATTTTCGGATCACTAGACTTTCAGCTAGGAAATCCGAACAGATGAAAAATTTATAGGGGATAAAAATATGCCCATATCCACCGTTTAAATACTAAAACACGTTTAACAATGCCATGTTTAAGTGGTTTTGAACTATATTCTCGTTGGGTGCCCCTGATATAAGGCATTTTGTGCCATAAGCAGTGCGAAAGAGACGAAACCGGTTTTGTCCAATGAAAGCGAGCTTATCGACGCAATGTGCAGTTAGATCTCTCAGCTTCAGCGAGCGACAGAAAAGTGCAACTCAGAGTGCAGCAGTTGCCAAACGACGCCAGTTCCTGGCCAGTTCAATTTGGAGCAAACAAAAAATTATTCACCTTAAGCCAGTTGGAAATCGCTTTGTAGAATATTATTAGACACAGTTCAGTTGTGAAAATTTAAAGAAAGCAATTCTCACATTTACCTCAGCGTACGTGGCAAGCGTTTGAAAGGTGGGGGGAGGGGAGAGGCAAAAAACACGAAGTTGAGCGAGCGTGTGTTGATTTTTTCTATCAACTGTATAACAAAATCTCTAATCTTATTGGCAATCGGCAGCCTCTTTTTATGGGAGCGAAGTACAATTTTGTTTGTCGTCGACTGCATAAACAAGGCGACCGGCGGTCGTCCGATTTGTTTAACCCTGGTTTAATCATCACGACTACCACACAAGCCGGCTACTTGTCGCATCTAACGACAACCGAAGTTAGTTTTGCGCCTTTCATGCAAGGAGGATATTACACTATTGAGTTTGTTAATATATTTTGCATTGGTTTTTCACACGTCAAGGTATCTTAACAACAATCGCACGTTGTTAAGAACTTTAAGTACTGTTACACGTTAAAAATATGTAAATAATTTATTAAAACATCAATTAGACAGGTAAAAAAATACATAAAGAGACGTTGGAAGAAATAATTTCTTCTGTGATTCGCAAGCACCTTAGAAAAAAAGATCAGCACTAAGACGGTAAGTTTGTTTTGTAGGGAAACCCCAAGCAGTTACATATTCTCTTACTTTAATAGTATATTTCAGTTATAAAAATAAGAAAAATTGTAATTTACTAAGATATTACTGGCCAATGAGAGTTAAAGGTTTTTTATCTTTTTTTAGTATCAAGTTAGCCTTTATAATGTTTAAATAACTTTTATCACAAAAAATTATGTAGAGAGCGATCTCAGGGACTTAACCAGATGGAAATTCTGAACAAGGAACTATCTGAAATAAACTATCAGCCGATTTTATTGGAAACTTCAAAATTCAACAGGAACCAGTGCACTGTGACGGTTGACCGGCATAAACACTAAACATGCTGAAAGGGAATATTGCACTGCAAGGTTGTCCATGTCTCCTTAGGTTTCTTGAGTTGCAAGCCGTAGGTTTGATAATTTATTTTGTCTTTTGTTGAATCAAAGACTTGAGTAATTCATTTAATGTTACAGCTCGTCACAGTCGTCAGTGTTAACGAAATTAAAACGTGTGCCGGTGATTTCCTCAAATTAATTCAGTTGTGGGAAAGTGAGAAATATTTCTTCAATTCCATAAGTTAAATACTAACAAACTTGTCTACAATAAAGGACTCTATGCTCCCAAGCTCACTCAGTTGTCGATGCAAAAGGAAGGGAAAATCAGGAAAATTCAAAGGGATTTTAACTGAGGCAGTTCGACTGCACGTAGCAGCCTCGTGATCATTGGAACTGGAGTCCAAAGTAGGAATTGCTAATTTCGCGCGGTATTATATTGTGTATTGAAAGAATTTGCTTTAGAAGGTAAGCCGGTGTTTACATTTTAAAAAAACTTTAAAGGGAGCTTTTCGGGTAGTACCTTGTACCCGAAAAGGTACGTAAGACTGCCTTGGCGAAAGTAAAACAGAACAAGACAGAAAGCGTCTGTGTAGTTGAATGAATTTAAAAAACAAACAATAACAAAAACATTCCCGCCAAAAAGAAAACCGCCGCAATGATTGAGTTTAGTGTGCAGATAATACCTGCTCAAGTGGAAAATGTCAGCTTCGCCTGTTCACAGACCTTCTGTTTCCCGTTAAGAGATTGCCGAGCTCGCTCTCATAGAAGATAAAACCACGGGGATTCATTCATTCTGGCCAAAAATATCGAGACAAAGCAACTTTAGCTAGCAAAACGCGATTCAGCCGCCATTATTGTTATGGTTTTCAAAGCCGGCGCTTTTCGCTACTATAGTCCAGTCATTTTGTGGCTGGACCTGCCACTAATTGCAACAGAACCTTTCTCTTCGCCAATCATTTAGGAATGGTCTCTAGATTAACATACTAAAAGTCCCAAAGGATCCAAGCACGGGAACATGTCAAAATTTAAATGGCTAATAACTAACGCTTTGCTGCGACATGGAAACGAGGCTAAGAACCGGAAGTTGCTTTTATTCTACTTGTTTATCGCCAGGACTGCACCTGATTCTTCCAAATTTGATTAATAGTGCTCCAGGCAGTTCTGTGAACTTTCATCTTGTAGATATCTTCACTAAATCATGTATAAGTCAAATAATTTCATTAACATTTCTTACTCAAAGACATACAGAATTTCATTTTTTGTCCCTCAGAGAGGTTGGTACTAAAGAAAGGCTATGACACTTCGTTATCTCTCAACAATACGCAGCTACTAAAACCGACTCGTTTTCAAACATACAGATAAGGAAGATGTGTTTTCAAAAATACAATATAACTTGTAAAGA